GGGCAGGAGTCTATTCAGAACGAGGTAGTTGCGGAGCAATTGCAGAATAATGCTGAGAATATTGATTCAGCATTACTAATTGAGCAGCCAAAACGTGCTCGTACAAAAGCACCAAGCAGGTGTAGTAGATGTGGTTCATTTGAGCATAACTGTAGAACCTGTACTTTGTAATACTGGTGTCGTTATTAGTATAGCTATAATATTGTAATTGCAATAAGTCGTCAAAGGCACATTGGACGGAAACTTGACCGGCTCGGTAGTGTGACCGGCTCGGTAGTAGGGTACGTTATTTCCATGATTCAGCGTTGCAAGCTTATGTCATCTTTGAGACTGGCCAGAGAAAATGGAGATTCAAAATGTCCGGAATGCCCGACTGTGAGGTGAACTAACCCTAGTCAGAACCTTACTGCTCTCTTCTACCACCAACAGAAGTACTTCCTTGCATCATTATACGGGACGACGACTTGCTAGGAAAGAAGCTAAAACGATTATCTTATGTTCGCTTGCCGGGAAACGCAAATTTCGTGGTAGTTTGTAATCTTAATCCCGGATTGATAATTGATGATCGACATTCACCTTGGGCGTGACGTTGAACCACGGGACTAGAAGAGAAACAACCAATAAAACACGAAATAGACAGCAAGCTCACAAACATCGAATCCGACGGCCCCAGACATTGCCCTCAAGACTTTTGCCACTCTCAGGACCCCTGTCGACGTGGAACACCTCGAACTCTCGTATACGACCGACAAGATGCGCATCCCACTCGTCGCCGACAAAGACCAAGCCATCCTTTCTGCTCACGATGAGAAGGCCCCGACCCCTATACGCAAGCATAAATTCCCCGAACCCAAGCTCCGGGTGCACCTCAACGACCTCTCGCACCCGGGCAGTGGCACAATCCTCAACCGTCTGCGACCTGCCGAAGACTTCTCCGAACAAGTCCAAAACGTGCTCAACCTCCTCTACGACCCTAAAGACCCCCGTCCGGCGACCCGCTCCATCACGCTAGTCCTCCGCGACTGTGGCGGTGGTGTTGCGTACACGACGGGAATCGAGCTAGATGATGATCATAAAGAGATCCATTTCGACCTCAACTATATCTGGAACGATAGCGACCGTAACGCCTCTGCGAACAAGGCCACGCAGCAGACGCGCGAGGAATTGCTCGGGGTCATCTGCCATGAGCTGGTGCACTGTTTCCAGTGGAACGCGGAGAACACGGCGCCGGGAGGGCTGATTGAGGGTATAGCGGATTGGGTGCGGCTGCGGGCGGGATTAGCGGCGAAGCATTGGCGGCGAGAGGCTGGCGGGGATTGGGATGCAGGATATCAGCATACGGGGTATTTTCTGGAGTATCTTGAGCAGAGGTTCGGGGAAGGGACGGTCAAGGGGATTAATGCGAGACTGAGGGAGGATCAGTATGATGAGGAGGAGTTTTGGAAGGATTGTTGTGATGGGAAGACGGTGGAGAAGTTGTGGGAGGATTATAGGAAGAGTTTGAAGGAGTTGGATGAAGGTGTCAGTACGCTGGGATGAAGTGGTTTTGATGAAGACGACGACGATGGCAACGATGATGCTGATGAATATGGTTATCATGACGACCATGACGAAATTTGGAGTCAGAAAGACTGATGTGGTATTGTAACTTTGTTTGGAGTTATGTTTAGTATCGTGGAAGATACACTACTTTGGACCAGGCACCGTTCAAGCCGCTTTTCTCTTTGATATAACGCGCTGTAAAGCAAGTGGGACTTCCTACTTTCGTTTGAAAACTTCGGGGAAAATCTCCCGCACCTGTAAAATGTTCGAAATCTGGTAATGTCCGACTGGTTCTGGCGGCGAGGTTGCAGTCTCTTCAACCAGATGTGCAGTCTTCCAGCCGAAGGCTTTGCTAGCCTTGGCATTGAGGGTTGAGTCATCTACAGGAGAGACGTTCAGTCAGCATCCACGCAAATCTCTCCCGCAAAGTATAAGTGGTCCGCGACTCACCGACAAAATAACAATCCTTGACATATTCCACACCTGCATCGTGCATCGCCTTCTCGAACATCCTCGGATCGGGCTTGCACAATAACTTTTCAGCCGCATAATCACAATACGTGATCCCCTCGAACAAGTCTTCAATTCCGAGCAACTTGACCACCCGCTGCCCGTGATTGATGTAGGCATTTGTAAATAGCCAAGGCTTGATTCGCTCCCTATCGATGTCCTCCAGCATTGCACGCAACGCGGGGTTCGGTTTGATGATGTCTTCTAGCGGCAAGGCATCGTCCACTTGGGCGTTGTATGCCAAAGGATCTACCTTGTGGTAGCGCACGAGACCTTCTAGTGCAAGACCGTAGTCTTTGTAATATCGCTGGTGGAGCGTTGTGGCTTCTTCGGGACTCACTCCGAGATTCTTCTGGAAGTAGTTGTCGATTAGGATGGCCATTTTCTCGTGGATCTGGTAGGACTTGGGGTAGAGACAGTTGTCGATGTCGAAGAAGAAGACCTTCCGGGAAGCTGTTGGTGCCATCTTGATTCTACGCTCTTGCCAGGTTTCGCGAGATATGTTGAATTTCCTGATTGGCGTGAAGTGTTTCTGGGAAAAGAGGCTCGTTGCGGAACGGAGAATCAATCTATACTGTAACAGTGGCGGCGAAGTGATCATTTATTCTTCGGCGATGAGGGTGAACCATCACACGACACTGCAGAAAGTATACTTGGCATTGTTGGAGTTATGTATGTTTGTTATTTATCATGTCCGATTTCGCAATCGGAGCAGGAGGTGTTGTTGGGTTCTCGTTGAGCGATGTCATCCATTGATCGAGTCACGTTGTGATAAATTCATACATCCGATGAACCCTACCGTCAGCCGGCTTTATCCGTGTCTCAGCTGAGTCATGGTAGTGATCTCAGGCTCGTGAACGGCAGCTCCCGCGCCGCGCAGGCCGGTTCCTGAGCGCGCCCTTGTTCGGCTAGCAATTTCATTGAAGCCACATCTTAATCACTACTAATATTCGTCTTGTCTTCCTTCCATTTGCGACTTTTCCCTTGTCGACATTCCTCATCGCGCTTGCGATTCAGCAGCGCGCATTTACTGCATTGCATTTCGTTGTATAACATTGCATTGAAATTGGCGTTCGGGTGCTTCGCTGAATAGCATTCACTCATCACTGCGAGGTCGATATCCCGATCGAACAAGAGCAGGAAGTGTGCAACCATTCAGGACTCGCTTGTTGACAAGCAGACCGAGTGAGCGGTTTCCTGATTGCATGATCAAGAGAACTATTAAGTATCATGATGAGTGCTGTCGCTGCCAATAGCACTGCCCCTCTCGCGCTTGCCAACGGCAATGGATCAGGGTCGTTGCCAGCCGTCGAAGAGGATCGATTGTTTGATGAACTGCAAAAGCTTTATGATCTCGTGATCACTGGCAAACATCCACAATTCTCTCTCCCTGCAGCTACAATTGAGAAGCTCAAAGCAATTGCGCAGGACCCGAGTCTATCCAATGGCAATGTCAATCCAACGGGCGCCGCAAGCCAGGCGAATGGCTTACATTCCTTATCTTCCTCTACTGCTGACAATACGCGATCAGGTGTAGCACAACCACCAGTGACAGATCCACGTATTGCTGCTGGTCCAACACACGCGCCACAATCACAGCCTCCTGCGCCGAGGAATATTGGTTTGCCTGGGCTGTTACCAGGCCTCTCCATGACTTCGCAACCGGGCAGCAGTAATTTTGCAACGGCATCCCAAACTGCCCGCGCTTCTCAGACTCCGCATGAAGTAGTAAGAGCAGAAAGGCGTCTGAAACGCCAGAGGATTGAGCGTGATTTGCAGGCTCGATTGGAGCAGCAAAAGAATCACAGTGATTCAGCAGAAAAAACAGGTGGCGTTTTGGATGTTGGAGCTGTGCTTGAAAAGGCTCTCGTTCGTGAGAACCATGTGACCGGAGTAAAATCTACCATAAACGGTGCTGCAAGTCAGGCCAGCTCGTTCGACGAGAACGACTACTATTCAAGCCAAGTCGAGAGTGAATGGTCCTCCCCATGTGGCAAGGATGCCGATCGTGCTGGAGCTGTTTCGGCATTCGCCAATGCGCGTAGGCATGAGGGCAACACGCCTTCTTCTCGCTTAAATGTTGTTGGCGTGGCTGATAAGACGATTGCTTCGCAGTATCCCGTCATTCCCCATTCTCAGGCGGGCCCAAGCGTCTACATCACGAAACCCCCAAACCACGAAGAATCCGACATCGATGACGACGATGAATATAGCCCGCCTGATGTAGCAGGCGCCTCGGACGACAGTCGTGACGAACAATTCGACAGTGAGATGTTACATGATGATGCAGATGATAGCTCCGAGTATGAGCCAGGTGAAATCACATCAGAGAGCAACGGTGGCACTCCGGTGCGACCTAGGCAAGTGGATGGACCTGCATCACCTCAGGTGCCTGTGATTCGCAATCATCTCACCCATATTGCCGCCCCACAGCCTAGCCGTGTCTCGCCCTTGACTGTGACCAAAGGTCCTGCTGCTGGAGAACTTCAGCTCATCAATGGCCGACCTGAATTTGTATCAGCAGCTCCAATGAATCAGGTCCACCAAGCAAGGGGAAGATCTCCAGATGATGCAAATGGCGGAAGCTCTAAGAAGGGCAAGAATAAAAAGGGCAAACGCAAACGTGATGCAGCTGAGCGCGAAGTTGAGGTTCCAACAGAGACGAAGCTCACGAAGAAGCAGAAGAGGCAAGAATTGGCCAAAGCTGAAAAGAGTCGGAGGCTGGGAAAGGCGTCCGAGCCGTCACACATCTCTACTACACGCCAGCAACGGCAAGCACATCAGCAACCGCAACCGCAGCAGCAGCCACAGCAACCACTAGTACAGCCGCCCATTAAGGATGAGCCGACGTCTCCTGCGTCCTTCCTCCACAACGTTCCCGCAGCACAAAGCGGATCGATACAGTCTCAGCCGGTGTACATCGATCTGGCGTCGCCGAGGAGAGCGGCTGATGAGGAGCGCTATTATCAGGTGGAAGCTCCCAGGCATGCGCCCGCCGCACAGCCTAAGCAGTATCGCTTGTCTTCGCCTGCTCACGTGGGGCCTGCCTCGCGGGTAGCTTATAGACCTCTGCATCGAGACTCTCATGATTTGAGACGAGTGGCCAGTCTGCAACATGCCCAGCGCCCGCTCTCACCTGTTGCTCGGTATGACCCTGCTGAAGCATCCGGGTCGCCACTGTATCAACCTTTACGGACGCGAGAAGCTCGATCTCACTCGCCTACGTTTGCTTCAGATGCCTACGATCCGCAACAATACACGAGAGTTGCAGAGCCACTTCCGATGGCACCGCCACCGCCACGACGGATCTTTGTCGACCAACACGGCAATCACTACTATGCTGAGCCTGCACAGCCGTCTCGCGCCTCTGTTGCACCCGTCGACCGACGGTCTTATGTGGAAGAATGTGCCCCAAGCCGTGTCTCTATGGCATACGCCCCCCCTGCTTCCGCTCGGCCACAGTACGAACGAGTAGAGGCTAGCATGGCACCACCTCCATTTCCCGGACGAGCAGCCTCCATCGCTGTTGATCGTCCGCAGTATGCGGAAAGCCCTGAAGGTCATTATTCGTCTCGAGAGCAGAGCGTCCGACCTGTTGTCAGAGAGATCCGTTACGTGGAGGCCCCGACAGCATCGTCCTATCAGCAGCAGGCACCACTCTATGACACTCATGCCCGTGCCACGTATGAAGCAAACCATGCGCGACCTGCATCACCAAGTGAAATGCATCCCGCACGAAGTTACAGTGTCCGACCTGCTCCTATACCAATGCCGCGCTCTGGGAGTGTCGCTCCGGTCCAGTATATTCGCCAGGAGGGCGCACTCCCCGCGACATCTTACACCTCTCGTCAATCCATGGCACCTCCACCACCACAGCAATATGCACCACCACGTCGCCCAATGAGTGTCGCGCCAGGCTACGACATACCACCACCCGCACCCTCTCGGCCAATGAGCGTCGCTCCTTCGCCATACGCTCCTTCGATCAGCCATGTACAAGCGCATGAGCAATATCTCCAGCCTCAATACCGTGCCACTAGTGTCGCCCCGGGAGGTTATGACCTACACACAGCATATGCGACTCAACCACCGCAGCAACCGCCGCAGCAGTATTATTCGGTCCCATCGCGAGCTCCTGCGGCCCCGGCACCACAGCAGATCAGATATGTGGACCAGAATGGCCAGGAGGTGTTCCCGCGGGAAGTCTCACAGTATGAGGATTATCGGGCGCATGCTTCTCCGAGATATTGAGAGATGGATATCGATAGCTGTTCTTTCGTGCGATGTATCTATATGATGTGATGTTGTGTATATCACAATGACAAAAGCTTTTACTTGTTTACAATGGAATAAGTTACCGTGCGAGAGTCCTGAGCTCTGGTCTCTCAAAATTAAGGCGATGATGCAACTTCGCGAAGCTCTTTCCTGCTACAATTGTTGTCCTGTACGATATCACCACTTTACTCTGTAGCATTTCCGGAAGCTTCCAGCCCACAGGCTGCAAGCCAAGCCGCACACAGCTTAGCACTTGCTGTAGTCTCGATGGCCCCTAGGTAGTGGCAGGCCTTATTGACGCCGTTTCTACTCTACGAGCTTTTCTAGAACAGACCAGTACTGTAACAATAATAATCATGGATGTATGGAGATCAGTAGTGTCATCGTCACAGTTAGCTGCTCGTCAAACGTATGGTGGCTCATCGATTGGTGTTCACCGGCAGCGTCTGTTGCAATTTGACGGCGTTGTCCATGAGTGTGCGAGAGCTGCCTGGATTATACAAGGAACACCTGCGCACAACAAGGATGATAATAAGCGGGACATGCTGCACAATATTCTTGTCATTATGCTGGTGGGAATCCTACGCACAAAGTACCGTGCACACTGCAGATACATAGAGCACAGTCCAGTCCAGTCAAGCACTCCAAACCAGGTGTAAGGTTCTCACCACTGTGAGCGAGCAGCAGCAGCAGCAGCACCACCACCACCGCTCACCTGCACAGCACATCACATCACCAAACAAATTCGGAATTTCTTGGTCTTCCTTCTTCACCTCTACTCCATTCTCTGTCTGACGTCCCTCCTCCTCCCTCTCCTCCACCAGCATCACCACCACACTTCATCATCACCGACACCACCACCACCTCCAGCATCTCCGCGAATTCGTCCTTTTGATCGCCTCCGTTCCTGCCCTCGGATTGTACCTGCTGCGTCTCCATCGCCTCAAATCCGCCCCCACCGATTCCGCGCGCTGTTGGCCCTTGCTGCTTGTTTCATCTTGAATAGCCGGCGCGCGTCTTTTGTCGGCCTTTCCACCCTCAAATACACCTAATCATCACCAACGGTAAACAATCCGTCTCCGCTGGGAAGAGAGGACCATTGACCTGGCTGTCGATTGTCTCCCAAACAAAACACCACCACCTTCTCCACCAAAAACACGCTTACCCATCATACGACACCAAAAAACTACATCTCCACCAACATTGTTTGCCGCGTCTTCTGGGCTCATCGCTTCCACATGTCCATTTCGTCATCATCGCGGCCTTGAATTTCCCCTTCCCTCCACCCGCTTTGTCGTGGTTCAGCCGCTGCTGTTGCCGATCACAGCTTACACGTCCACCCAGACGGTCTGTGCTCTCAGACATCCCATCGACCCGCTGGACTCGCAATTCTCCGACCGTGTCATTTATCAGCTGTTTGTCTACTGTACTATCTGGCCCTCGACGTCAAATTACCCTTCCATCCTGTCATCACCGCTCTCCCTCGTCCTCGGACTACCCTGTCCGCATCGTCACTCGTGACGATAGAAAGAGATAGGAAGAAAAACTCCCGCCAGTTCGCCGCTGCCGTCACGTACGTGCTGCGGTGAATGAATCCTCAACGCTACGAGCATGCATAAAATATCCAACTTTACGGGCTCTGCCAAACATGGATGGGAACGCATGACGCCTTCCATGGGCTTCGGCATGTCTCGGCCACATCCTCAACATGATGGAGGAGGCATGGCCCCCGTTCCACCTCCGCCGGGCAAACGCAACATCCCCGGCGCGGCTGTCATGAATCACAACCCCATCGTGCCGGGTCACCCCATCAATCTGTCCTTCAACATCCCCTTCAACTCGAACCTACCCGGCCCGGATCCGGAAGAGATCTTGTACAGCAGCACGGGTGCTGAGCAGAAATGGGTACACCCAGACGGCGGTGCAGAGGAGGACTTGCCCAACCACGCCCTACCGATTCACACGCGTAACGTCGAGAACTTGCGGGCTCTGTGCCAACATCTTAGCGCCAGTCACGGCGATCGAATCCGCGCGACCGTCACGTCTGCCAAGCCGAAGCCCGTGCCGGGCATGCAACGCGGTCCTTTGACCGCCCTGGTGACGAACGTGTGTATTTCGGGTGACGCGGATGTGGTACACAAACTTCGAGCCAAGATTTTGAACGAGACGCCTATCACGTTGGTGAGTGAGCTGAGGAATCCTCATCGGAAGAGTTGTCCATGCTGACAATACTTGCCTCCCTAGCGATGTGAAACGATTGACGTCGATCGAGAGATAGTCTTCCCTGAAGGTCAAAAAGGTGCCAGGAGTGATGTTCTTGGCCACATGGATGAAATCGCTGCCCAGACTCGTGCCGACATCTTTCTCCTCGAGGCCAAATCCCGGCGAAAGGACTCGGACTCGGTCAGTTTCAATGGTGGTCTTGAAAAGAGCATGGACCAGCGATTACGGATTCAAGTTTACAGCGACGGCGAGAGTTTGGAAACTGCCAAAACGAGATTGTTGATCATGATCGACCAAGTTCTACAGCGACAAGTGGACACCATCCGTCTTGAGCTGTCCCTACAAAACCTCGTCTCTGGCCGTCACCGAAAGAACATCAAGATGATCGAATCGGCTACTGGCACGGCGATCTACTTCCCTCCAGTCTTCCCGGCCTTGTTTGGCTACACTCCCAGCGGTGCCATTCCCTTGCGCAACCGCGACGAGATCATCATCACTGGTGAAAGCATGGAGAACATTCTGCAGGCGAAGAAGCGGCTTCATGATCTCGTCGTTTCCATCAAGACTTTTGTCAAGGATGTGCACATCACCACGAGCAAGGTGGATTTTATTCTTCTGGAACGACTGGACAAGATCCGGAAGATCGTCGAGGCCAATGGATCCTATGCCTTGTTACCGCCACTTGGCAACCACAGCGGTGTACTTCGTGTGCAAGCCACGGACATCCTGAACGTTGAACGGACGGTTCGCGAGATTATGGGTCTGACGGGACAGTTCTACAGTGCCTCGTGGTGGGTGACCCACCCTGATCCGGCTCAGCGACTTCCCACAACGGCCGATGTTCAAACCATGCTTCCTGATATTTGCATCAACTCCGGATGCGAGATTACTTTCGAAAAGCTTAATTTCCACATCAATGGTAGTGATGATGCAGTCAAGGCGGCTCTGTCAATCATCAACACGATGCCGTTTGTCAAAAAGGCCCAATCGACTCTCCGTGTTAAGGTGGAGCTTGCGAATGAGCACAAGGAATTCGTCAGTGGCAAGAAGAATGGCAAGATCAACAAGATCATGAGCCAAAGCAATGTTCAGATCGTCTTCGACGGGTTCAACGAGTACAATTTCTACATTGATGTTCGTGGTGCGCATTACGAAGCGACCAAGAATGGTTTGGACCTTGTCGAGTTGGAGATGCCAGCTTCCATCTCTTTCCACGTTCCGGACCAATACCACAAACGCATCATTGGTATCGGCGGTCAGCACATCCAGCGCATCATGAAAAAGTACTCTGTCTTTGTCAAGTTCTCCAATGCAATGGACCGTGGTGGTGTTGGCAAGGACGATGACGATATCAAGGTCGACAACGTCATCTGCCGCACCCCGGCTCGCAATGCGGACAACCTCGAATTGGTGAAGCAGGAGATCATGGACATGGTCGAGAAGGTCGATGCTGAGTTTGTCATTGAACAAGTCCCCGTCGACCGTCTCTACCACCGAGAGCTCATCACCCGCATGCCCGAGATCGAAGAACTGGAGAAGAAATGGAACTGCAAAATCATGTTTCCCGGCACCGAACAAGCTAGCGATATCATCACCGTTTCAGGCCCTGAGTATCAGGTTCCTCAAGCTGTTGATGAATTCCTCGGCATGGTCCCCGAGAATCACGAGATTGAGTTTCCTCTCACCGATGCGCTTCGTCTGGTGTTGTCGTCGGAGGAGTTCCGCAATGACACCGTTCAGAAACTCAAGGATCAGTACGTCGTGGAAGTATCGCTCGGCGAGCCGAAAAAGGAGAAGCACGGCAACGAGGAGATCACCATCATGAAACTCGTGTTGAGCTACACGCGTAACAATGCTGGTGGTCTCAAGGACGCCATCGACTTTTTGCTTCTCCCACTGATGGCTCGTGGACTGGACGTGAACAACGTCAAGGGTGCAATTCCTCGACCAAAGTCCGACTCTTTCGAAGATAGCATGCCTTATTTCGAATCCAAACTTCTGCAACGCGCGGAACCGCCGATCATCAACGAGTCGCCTACCCGACCCAATTTCGAAGACGGTACCTCTCGTTCTATCTTCGATAAGCTTCGCAAGCCCTCTAGCATGGCTTCCTTCAGCTCGTTCATCGACCGCCGCCGCAAGAATGGTACCAATTCTCCGGCGTCGTCCTTGTTCATGCACGCCTCCAACAATGCCTCCAAGGCATCCCTCGTCAGCATGGAGTCCCGTGACTCCGGCTACCGAAACCCATGGAACGATTCCGGCATCGGCATCGACTCCGAACATCCCGACCAGCAAGGCGGCGTGACTCCCGGCCACGCCCATGCCAACAGCTGGGGCTCTTTTGCAGGCGTTTCTTCCGCCTCTCGCCCCAACACCTCCTCGGCCTCCCTCGTTGGCACCTCAGCTTTCCCCTTTGGCGCCAATCCTAACGTTTCCACGAATTCCCTTTCCACCCCAATGATACCCGGCCTCGGCATGGTCGGCGCCAATGGCGTCGCCGCCGCGTCCATGCTCCCCTCCACCCTGGGCGATGTCACGCCCAAGTACGATGAACACTCCCTCGACGGCACCGGTCGGTCGACTTCAGTCGCGGCCGCGGCTGCTGCGGCGGCTATCGCGACTGCTGCCGCTGCTGCCCGTCCTGGCTCTTCTCCGAGGAAGCTGTCATCGTTGTCGTCGTCGTCGTCGGTAGAAGACGGCGATGAGGAAGCCGAGGACGGCGCATCTCCCTCGTCTTCCTCTTCGTCTTCCCCGCCCGCGACTGCGGCGACTGCTGCCCCCAGCGCCAAAGGCAATGCTAAGGCCAACGGAAAGACCAACGGCAAGACTTCTCTCGCAGCGACATCCTCCAAGGGCCCGACTTCCAACGTCGGCAAATCCGCCAAGTCCGCCACCGCCAAAGCCAGCGCGAAGTCCTCGACGACCGCTGCCGCGGACAAAAAGTCTTCTTCCACCAACAACGCCGCCGGCAAATCCACTACCGCACCCATCAAAGCCGGCACTGCTGCATCGTCGGGACCATCGGCTTGGCCTACGCCCGCTGGTGCTGCCGCCGCCGGTGCGAAGACGACTTCTTCCCCTGCTGCGAATACGCCCTCTTCTTCTTCCTCTTCTTCTGCGAAAAACGCCAAATCTGCAAAATTGACGGCTACCACTGCTTCTGCGACTTCTGCTGCTTCGAACTCTTCAGGATACCCCGCCCCTATCGGGCCTCCGCATTGATTATTCTTACCCTTTTTTTCTTCCCGAAATTTGAATCGATTCTCGCTTTTGAGGCGTTTTGGGGTTCTTTTCTTCTGGCTGAGTGGGACATTGTTCGCTCGTTCCTCTGGGGGAGTTTTGGGTTTGTTTTTTGTTGTTGTTCTTTGGGGGAGGGAAAATGGGAAAGCGTTTATCTATATACAAAATATCCAAGTTTCGCTTTTCCTTGCCTACTCGCTCGCTCGTCTCTCCCTCTCGCTCTCTTGTCTCTCCCCCTCGCTCGCTTGTCTCTCTCCCTCTCGCTCGCTCGCCCTTTCCCGCGTTCATAATGATGTTATTCTTGTAGCATGTTTTGCGCTTTGCGTCGCTTGGTGTCGCTCTCTGATGATGACGATCTGATTATTATTTTTATTTTAAAAAAGTGATATTTCTCCCGTGGTATTGCCAAAACGAGAGCTCCCACAGTGGGTGAGAAAGTACAATATATAAATATCCGGCGATAGCCGGTGTCTTTGTCGACGGAATTCCTCTCCTTAGAATCGAAAGTTCTTTAGAGAGTGTTTGCCGACGAAATTCGTCTTTTGGTGCAAGAGTAGATCGGATTACACGTTGCTTTCCGTTAAGAGTTTGCTCCCTATCTGCGCGACGGAGAGCTAGAGTCGACACGGTAAGGGCCAAGTATGTTTCCGCCTTTTCCCTTCTAGCTAAGAACTTCTCAGCTAGCTTTTCTTGTCTGTCGAGGATTGAGTACTTTATCTTTGCCTCCTCTTTCTTCTTAGAGTCGGAGGATAAAAGGTCTTCGATCGGGGGAAAATCGTCGGGGTTAGGACTCTGCGGTTCCTCTAGGATCTTTGCCTTTATGTCGGCTAAAGGCGGTACCTTACCGTCGATCGACGGGTCGGCATATTGCTAAACGTTAAGCGTAGTAAAATAACGCTTTGTTTAGAGAATCTATTCATCGTAGTCGTTTGGCCCGTATAGCTTAATCTACGTCGGGACGACGATGCTTCGAGTGGATTCCATCTTGTCGGTTTATCGGCTTAAGGACCCGATAGTTCGCGGTTGAGTCTAAAGACTTCGGAGTATACGGTTCCCTCCGGTTAGTACCGGTAGGGGGGAGTTAGAGTTGATTATTGTAGTATCGGAGGGCGCTCCTAAACTAGGTACGCTACCGGGCTCATAACTATCGCCGTATAGGTGATATGCGGAAGGACTGCCTACATGCAGACGCAGCTAAAATTGTATTGAAAGATATGTCCTTGTCCCCGTTCCCATCTAGGGAAATTCTATACACAGAAGAGAAAAAGGGGAAGAATTGATGCCTCAGGCAGCAACTACGGCATTTGCCGCAGGTTGAATGCCTCAGGCACCACATCTGCTTACGTCACGGCAATACGTGGGAAGACTGTTTTTACGCCGCACACATCTCTATTCTATAACTCTATATGACTTCGACCGTGAACATCGCCTCTGCGTAGGACCGTCACTCACGGGAAGAGAGAAGAAGAAGTATCTTCGCCGACGGTAGTGACATTATATCGTCTCCCAATGGGACGAACTTCGATATATCGACATGGCCAGACCCCGCGCCAGCACCCACCCGAGTCAAGAAATCCCCAGACTTCGCCGTGCCTTTTTCCTGCCTGTGGGTTCTCTGGGACGGTTCGACGATGATGACGTTTGGAGCGGCGAGGTCAATGCGGGAGGGTGGGTGGTGATGGGTTTCGATATACTGTATCTCATCTACGTTTTGGGGAGAGGTGGGATATTGTCTCACCCTCATCCGGACAGCTCCAGAACAAGCCGCTCTATTACAATTTCAAGGGTTTTTTTTCTCCTTTCCAAGGTTCCCTTTGTTAGGCACAGAACGTAGGACGCTTATGTAATTCCAAGGAGGGAGAGGGGGGAGGAAGAAGTGACGCTACCTTGCATACGGGGGAGACGTAATCACCACAGTACAGTACTGCAATAATAAATAATAAATCCCTCGCGGGCAGCTGACGGGAGGAGTGCAGGTCAACAGCTCCGACGCGACGCACGCGAAAACAGCAGCAGCAGCAGCAGCAGCAGCAGCAGCAGCGGGCCGCCCTGTTTGTTTGGGCTGGAGGATTTCGCTGTTGACGTCGATGGTTCCTCTGCACCACTGCAGGTCAGACGGCTGTAGGTTCTGTGGGAGGGTGTGGGTGTGTAGGCTGCTGCTTATTTGTATGTTCGGGGCAGGTTGGTACTGTAGCAGTGGTGGTAATAGTGGTAATAGTAGTAGTGGTGGTGGTGGTGGTGGTGGAACTGTCAACAAACCCCCTCTCCCTCCCTCTCTCCCCCGAATTTTATACCGTCTGTCTAGCTAGGTATACACAGACAGTATCGTGGAAAGGTTGTTATTGTCATGGTACGGTAGCGGCGGATCGGGATTTCCTCCCTCTCTCCTAACCACTTCACGTTCAACCACCCACCAACTCACATCTCTCACCAACGCACGAACCGCTCATTCACTCACTCACACTCACACTCACACTCACACCTGCAGATCATCTCGACTTCTTCTCGGCACACAATCATCTCGCATCTGGACACACGTCTACTCCACGCGCACGCGACTTTCTGTCGATCGTGATACCCCAACACTACAGCCCGCGATCTTGACCGGGACTTGGACCTCAACCATCTACCTCCTCATCTCCTCTCGGTCTCTTCCGGCGGCGCCGCCATCACGCCTGCCATGGAGCAACAGGCCGTCAACCTGATGAGCATGCTCAAAAGGCCAACCGCTCCCTCAGAAACCAAAGTCAACCTCTTCAATTCTCTCAAATCCGACATCAAACACTATCGCGTCCCGGAAACCGCGCAATCCAATATCTTCGACTGCATCAAACTTGGAATCACCCAGCAATCCTCGGCCGCGCTCGCGAGCTCGGCTTTTTCCACCCTCGGCCATCTGATCAAAAGGTTAAAGATTCAAGATGCTTCTGGCCACGCCATCACACAGCTCTCGCCGCGGTTATTCCCGGCGATCCACGATCGCTTGGGTGATCTCCGCGAACCCGTCCGCGCCGCCGCCTCCCAGGCCCTCATCGACCTGTATCCATTCTGCGCAACCGAAATCGAGCAGCTGGTCTGCGACGAGGCTCTGCCGGGGACCAATCCTCGTACAAAAGAGACGGTGATGCGCTGGGTGGTGCGCATGCATCAGGAGGAGAACATGCCGTTCAAGGCGTACGTCTCGCCCATGGTGGCACGACTGGCGGACCCTGATGGCGCAGTACAGGAGGCTGCGAAGAGCGTGTTGATTGAGCTGTTCACCGATGCGCCAAACGGCGCGAAGATCGACCTGAAGAGGCAGCTCAAGGCACATTCCATCAAACATGTCATCGAAAGTTCGATCCTGACGCAGATCGGAAGCACAGCAGCTGCGCCACGGCCGGCACCTGCTGCTGCTGCTGGACCATCGTCGGCGGAAGACCCAGATCTAGACACAGAAGCAGTGCGCGCCGCGCGAGCGAAGGCATTTGCGCAGGCGTTCACGAATAGTCTGAATAGCGAGGCGGCCCAACCACCTCCGCAGGAGGTCGTTCCGATGGACCCGAAATACGTGCAATCGCTCCGTGAGCTCGATGATACCTTTCGGGAGATGCTGCCGTGTTTCGATGGCAAGGAGGATGAGCATAATTGGCAGGCGCGCGACAAGTCGGTTACCACGGTGCGATGCTTGCTCAAAGGCAATGCGCCCACGGAATTTCACCACGCGTTCATGTCTGGGGTCAAATCTCTCCTGGAGGGCATCATCAAGACGAGCAGTTCCCTACGGACTACGATGTCCTCGAATGGATGTCAATTGGTTCGGGAACTCGCTGTCACCCTTGGACCAGCGCTCGATCCGCATGTTGAGATTCTTCTACAGTCATTCATCAAAATGTCGGCGGCGACGAAACAAATTGCTGCGGAGAATGGCCGATCGACGACTGATCACATTTTCCAGAATTGCACATATCACATCCGTATGATGCAGCACATCTGGAATGCTGCGCAAGACAAGAACATACAAGTGCGCCAGTTCGTCGGAGATTGGCTCCGTACGATTCTCAAACGTCAGGCCAGTTACAAGCAGCATTTCGAGACATCGGGAAGTCTGGATCTCGCGGAAAAGTGCATCCGCAAAGGTCTGGACGATGCCAACCCCAAGGTCAAGGAGAATTCGCGAACAACATACTGGACATTTGCGAAGATCTGGCCAGAAAAGGCCGATAAAATCATGGCCAGCTTGGAGGCCAAAGCGCGTGCCGCGCTCGAAAAGGATCCGCACAATCCGCATGCATCCATTCACAGCTCACAAACTCTCGCGCCGCCTACTGCGCGCTCCAGTGGCGCGTCAAGTCGCAGCACTCTGCGCGAAGCCATCGCAGAACAGCGCAAAGCAAAAGCAAAGCAAATGGAGCGTCCCAACTCCGCCATGGCGGATTTCACCCCCGCGAAGATGAAGTCGCACTCTAATCTTCGAAATGCTGCACGTGCCCCCTCAAACCTTTCGAGCGTCCAGAGCCGAAACCCCTCCTCGAGCTCGACCGCAGCAGATCCCGCCCCCGGCTCAGGATCGGCGGCCAAGAAGGGTAGTGCCCTCATGTCCGGCCCGGTGAGGAGACCGCGTCGAGTGGAAGTCCAGCGACCTCAAACGGCGGATCCGTATGCCTCCAGACGCTTGCTACGTCCGGAGACACCCTCAATAGCGGGTTCTCCAGGGAGTCCTAGCCGAAGCACAGGCGCATCCAAAGCTTCCATCCCGACGTCGTCCAGCACGGTGAGAAATCGTGCTCTGGGTAGTCCCGCTAGTAGTATCGCTCGCAGAAGTCCCGTCCCGACCAATCACGGCCACCACTATCCCGACTCAAGACCCTCTAGCAAAGGAAGTTTGACTGCTCAGCCGGATGAGGATATGACCATGGTTGCGCCGGCCACAAGTCGGTTCGCTGCTACGCGTGGTCGGGATGTTCCTTCTCCTGGCCAAAATCGTGCCGGCCACGCTAAGACCATGTCGGTTGATAACGGAATTCTGGCCATGGCAGAAGATGAGGGCTTCACGATGGTTCTGCCGAATATTGCCGATTCCTCCACGCGGCAACGTTCGCCGCTCGCATATCGAAGTCCGATGCGAGCCATGTTTGATGATGCCCGGGAACGCGCGGAGCGTCTTTCTCCCGAAGCACAGCGGGCGATGGATTCGGCGGCGACGAGGAAGAGCCCCAGTCCAGCGGTCGTGGTGCATGATCATCTCAACAACAACATTACCCACAATGGTACGAGCAACGGCACGCCGAAGAACGACGAAGTCCAAATCTACGAAGACCCTTTCACCGACGAAGAGCCCGCTTCAGGGGATGCCGCCGGTCGTAAAGTCCTCGGGGAACTCCCCGTGAATGAAAACGTACGCTTGGTCAGCCCGACGCAAAGTCCGATATCCCGTCCGAGCCCTATGGACAGTCCCCATCGGCACTCCGACCGCTCCGACCTCCCCGACGACCCGACCAACACCTCCGCATCGGCCTCTCACGACCAGACCGAAGTCCTCCGCAACCGCCGCCTCATCGCCTCCGGCATCGAACGCATCCGCGCCCGCACCCTCGACGCCCACGGTTTCCGCCGCGTGCAAGACCTCGTCAAGAGCCCCATGGACCTCTGGGAGAGTGGCAAGAAATACGATGAACTCATGGCCGTTTTGCACGATTACCTCCAGACCTTTGACCGCGACGCGAAACTCGCCTCCCTCCCGCCCTCCAAGGCCGCAGGTCTGAAAGCTCAAGCTTTAGGTGCCGTCCGCGCGCTCCTAGCTATCCATCGCAAATATGCACACCCCTGGTACTCCCGCACGCTATTGGTCCTCCTCGCGTGCCGCGCCACACTGCCTGTGAATCTCAACCCCATCTCTCAATCCTCGCCGTCGGCCAATCCACCCAGCGATCTGACGTCTTCTTCACCCGCGAACTCTACTGCAAGCAACAATCACCATCACTACCACCTCGTCATCTCCGACCTCCTCCGCACAGCCGATGACATCGTCGCCGTCGCTCCCCCGGCGCCCTGCCTCGAAGCGATCCAAGCCTGGCTCCCGTCATCCTCGTCAAATTCCTCCAAGGATTCAAACGGCACATCGACCTCCCCCCGCGCCATCGCCATGGCTCTGACCCTCCTCAAGAACCTCCTCGTCGCTTCCTCCTCCGGCAAGACCTCTCGCCCGCCCACCGCCTCCTCCGCCTCAACATCCACCCCTCCCAACAACGGAGGATTGGAACAAGGAACCGCCTCCCCCCTCCCTGCAGACCTCCTCATCCTCCTCGCCCGCTCCTCCGCGCGCTGGCTCGGCGCGAGTGACGCCGAGGTCCGGAAGGCGGATGTGGATCTGGCCAGTGAGTTGTTCGAGGGCTGGTTTGCGGGAGGTGCAAATGGCGGTGGGAATTTCGCTGGAGCGGGAAGTTTGACCCCGGAGCTCTTCTGGAGGGAGTTTCGCGGCGTCGAGGAGTCCCGTCTGGGCCTCTTGACGTATTACATCGCGAAGAGGGGCAAGAAAGCTGGAACTGGGACTGGGAACGTCGCAAGATGAGGAAAGGTTTCCGGTTTTCGCTGGGAAATCTCCGCCCGTCCGACCGGTTTCGTTGCTGTTGTTGCTCCCTGTTTTTTTTTTCCTTTGCCCTTTTTCCTTTCCACTACAACTTCACTATCGTGTAGAGCTTCCTCTTCCTTTTCTTTTCCTCGTCTTGGGATTTCTTGCTTCAAGACTCTAGCGTTGGCGCTCCACGGCGAATCAGAAAGAAGGGAAATGGAAAATGGAAATCCTTTAGTAATCAAAACATTTCAGGCTCGATTTCTCCGTCCTCTTTTATCCTTTTTCTATGGCTTCCCCCTTTTCTTCTGAGATCATGTCCTCTTTATCTCATTCTAACTCCCTTGCTGTAAATAAAATTCCCATCTCTCGCTCTTTTTTTTTACTCTCTGGGACGTAAAGTCTATGTCAACACATCACCTTGGCCCTGGTTGCCTGCCAATCTGTCTACCCTAGGTCATCTTGTCTAGGAAGGTGTTTGAAAAACCAAGACCCAGACCTGGGGTCGCTGAGGGGAGCCCATCGGCCTAGTTTGCCCACCAACGCTTATCTCCGTCTCCGAGCAGCTGATGTGCGAAAGGGAGTAGGCGTGAGGGCTACGGCCAGAAACTCCGGACGATTGGTGATGCAAGTATGGATTGCATTGATGCGTTGGACTCACCCCGGCGATCATTTTCAGCGTGCAAAATGGCGGCGGATGCAACGACGGATTGACGGGGGCGGATTCAATTGGATGCGGGTCAGCTCGAGTGCGCGGTGAGCCTCCGGCCCGGGACTCCTGCACCAAGGGCACCTACATGAAGCGAACGTCAGACTAACCCGTGGCCGGTAAGTCGTCTTGCGCCAATGTTCGTTCACCGAATGGAAAGCTTTGGATTCCTGCCGGATTGGATGTTGGGGTGCGCATCCGGGCACCGTCCATGCGTCGACTGGGGTTATTGGCCGCAGCAGGATGAGAAGGTAAGCACACGTCATAGGCCCCCAGCAATGCTGACTGCAGGAACCGGTATCGATCTTTCGGGTGATGGTAATCAGATCTCTCGGCATCTCCTTTCCCAGTTCTTGATCTTCCTCTCGCGCTCATAGTTTGCCGTGGAAATGTCGGAGTCGGGCATAAAACGGCAGAGGCTGGTGCTGTCTTGCTTCGAATGTAAGCGCCGAAAGCTCAAGTGCGATCGAAGACTGCCGGCGTGCTCACGATGCATCGACGTCGGCCGGGGAAGCTCCTGCGAATACGACCCACGATATTCTCGCAACATGACCGCCGAGGAAGACCTCTTCGACGTGGAGCTGTGGACCAACAATTTCCTACAACAAAACATGACCCAGATCACGGGAGCGACGAACCCTTCCGATCCCACGAACGAAGCTCAATATTTGGCGGATAACATGCAAGCCCGGATCCCCCAGACGTCCATGGGCACAGATCCGGGCGGTCAAATTGTACCCCCGCCCCCAGCAGCCGCCATGGCGGAAGCGGGCTCCGAAGGACCTACCCCGGCCCGCAACGCGCGCCCGCGCGCAAGTCCGCCCGCGATGGAAATCCTGGACGGACGGTTCAAAGGGCGGAGCCACTACCTGAGCCTCCTTAAATCCTTTCAGGGCGTCCGCGAATTCCTCTCCGACATCATTCGGAGCCACAGCATTTTGGGGGCTGCGAAGTGGGACAATGCGAGTCCGCAAAGGCGCCGATCGCTGCCGACGTACTCGGCGAGCGAAGCGGAACATGCGATGAGCGAGCTTCTCCCGCCGAAGCAGCTACGCAGGCGCTACCTGGGATCCTACTTTGATCATTTCATGGGGTCGTACGACATAGTGGATACAACCCGGTTTTGGCGGGACTACACCAGCTTCTGTCAGGATGCCCATCCCAGAGGATGGTCGGGCCACTTCGTTGCGCTCCTCCTCTGCATGATGTCTTGTGCCAGATGTCTCCCCGAGGAAGCTTCGTCCTTCGACGGTGAGAGCTCCACCGCTAGAAATGAAGCGGTTCGGTGGATCGATGCGGTGGAGCAATGGCTGAGGTCGCGCATGACCGAAGGCACGACACTCGAGACGTTTCAGATCAAGTGTCTGGTTCAGATCGCCAAGACCGCGAACGACATCGACAGCGATGGGGCCTATACCGCATCGCAGACATTGATCGCGGATGCGATCTCATGCGGCTTACATCGCGATTGGGAGCTGTCTGGAGCGACGGGATCTGCATCGGGGCAAGATCTACGCCGGCGCATGTGGGCCGCTGTGGCGGACCTGGACATTGCACAGTGCATCGGACGTGGCGTGCCTTCGGTCGCTGCAGACCTTTTCACGGATGCCAGGGAAATGCCAAAACTGTCTCAGGACTGTGCCAATGGCTCACAGAGCCGGCGGCAGTCAAATCTCACCGACACGGATGGGTTGTTGACCCAGCTTTCCACCTCTATTCGACTCCTGCGCTACGAGATTGTTGGGCTCGTCAATGACCCGGATAAGCATGGGTCGCTGCACAAGACGCGGCTTGCAGCGTTTCGACAGCGAATACATGATGCTTTGCTGAGCGTCACGGCTTTCACGAATACGGGAGGAGAAGCGTCCAAAGCGAAGTCCACGACGATCACTCGGGCCACCCTTTCTCTGTGCCTCCATGAGCTCTTGATTCTGCTTCATTGGCCCTTTGCCCTCGTGAATGACAAAAACGCTTCCCTCGATAGGGAATACTTCGCTTTCGTGTGCATCCGCTCTTCGAGTGCGATTGTCAAGATATACGAGCAAATGTCCGAGTGCGGACTTAGTCAGATGGCGCTGCCGGCCTCAACCCTTCTCAGAGCCGGGTTCTGTCTGAGCCTCATCCAGACCGAGGGGACGGACAACGGTCGGTTGCAACGGTGAGCACCAGAGCTTCCGGACTCGCTGACGCGACTTTCTATAGGCATCTATACACTTCTGAGCGACCGCCTCTCTGACAATCCTGTCCACTCCGTCCTGAAAATGGTCGAGCAGCGAGTGCTAGTCTTCGGCACAGGTGGCCTCCAGGGTCTATGGCTCTTACATGTTGCGACTATCTATCACGGAAATCGCCAGGGCCTGCAGGGTTCGACTCGGTCACGAAAGCAGATATCAGATCACATGGTCGCATTATTCAGCAAGATCTGTCTGGCACAGAGTCACACTACACCCAGTACGGATTCGTTCGACACGAATTTCGCGCAATGCGTCATCGAGATCAGAAAAGCGAGTGAAGACTTCAAACCCGTGAAGGACACTGACGCTGATAGGTTCGCGCTGTCCGAATTCACAAATCTAGACCACCTTCCAGAGGTGAGTTATCTGATGTTCGCTCCTGCAACATTTTCCCATTCCATGGTGACGCGACTGACGAAACGGAAAGGAAGCACTCGAGCCTTCAATTCGCGCCGACTCATTGATCAACGACATGGACTTCATCCAGTGGAGCGACGAGTGGGCGCATCGTTGAGGCCGTCGACGACTCATCCGCAATGTCAACGAGTATGCACGCGCGGGGAGCTTTCACGGCAGACTGACAAGGGCTGAAAGAGGAACATGCTCGTGGAGCGCGTGGAAGCTCAACGCTTCCGATCCCTCATCGCCCTCAACCTCGCTCCATATCTCCATAGGATGCATGTAGCCGGCAACGTGATGCCCACCGACAGAAATGCAAGCAAGGAGTTGCCCCAACCATAACCAAGTGCGGCATACAAACGATCTGCAAACAGAGGGAACGCAAAAGCCAACAGACTGCTCAAAAGTTGAGTCGCAGCCGATGCGGAGCTGACGTGTTCCGGGTAGGCGTCCATAACGTAGGCGTGTAGTGTAGTAGAGAAGACCTGCATTCCCATCGTGAGCAATGCCCCGCCCACATCGACAACGATCCAGATGAGCTGATACTCAGCCGCCCAGCCGTACAGAAAGAACCCGGCAGGTGTGATCAAGAGGCTTGGGAGGAGAAGCGGGACCCGCAACTCTGGCGACGACCTGTCGCCGGCGCGGGATGTGAGAATTGCATACACACGATCCATCAAGGGTCCGCATAGCAAGGCGCCAGCGATCTCGCCGACCGCAAGCGCAATGTAGTGGAGACCCGAGATCGAGATGGACTCTTGGTAATTGTTCACAAAGAGCTGAGAAAACGACGCCAGCGCGAAATATAAGAGGCCATATTCCAGGCCCCCGAGCAGGGCCTGTACTTGTATTATGGGATGGAAGGCTAGGAGCTGGATGGGGCGGCCGAGCGCAGTCGATAGCGCGTTGAGAGCGGACGGCTCTTCGATCTCGTTCTCGCCATCGGTGACCTGTCGAGACCCCGAATTCCCCTCTCGCGACAGCCTAGCACGCCGCCGGAGGAGTAAAGGCGCATAAGTTTCGCGAATGACCGGCAGTGTAGCGATTTCGGCAACGACCTGGAAAATCGTCGTCGCCCAAAACATCCACCGCCAGGTCGAGTACTCGACAATGAACCCGCCGACTATGGGGCCGACCGCGGCGCCAGTGAGCGGGACAAGGAGATAAATGCTCAAGGAACGTCCACGCTGTTCGGCGGGCCAAATGTCGGCCAGAACCCCGTACGCAATGGTGTAGACGGCGCTGGCGCCGAAGCCGGCGAGAAGCCGCGCAGCAATCAGAAGACCTTTGGAATTGGCAAATCCACAGATGAGATTCCAAGCAAGGAACCAGATGTTGGTTATATGGATGATCTTCTTTCTTCCGTAGACTTCGCTCAGAGGGCCGATGACCATCGGTCCGAAAGCCGAGGCCAGCACGTATACCGAAAGTGCCATAGTGCTTTCCACGTTCGACATGTTCAGGTCGGTCGCAATGACGGAGATCGCCGGTGCCATGATCGTGGAAATCATGATTCGGTTGAAACCTTGTGCCGATAGAGCCAGTGTCGCGGCCCATTTCACCCCCGCGGACCAGTTCTTCGGATCTTCTGGATCGCCAGGCGGAAACCGCATGGCGGAGCTTTTGTCTTTATCGTTCCGAGACTCGGCCTCGGCGATAGCGATGGCCTGCACGTGCTTGGGCGAATGTTCTCCGCCGAGGTTTCCTCGTCTGTGGATGTCGGCCGACTCCTCTGTCAGCCCTTCTGGGGAAATTGTCGCCGCTTCGGCCATGGGAGTATACATTTTGCGTATACTGGATCGAAGACGGAGGTGTTGGCGGGGGAAGACGGAAAGAAGAGGGTTGCCCTGAAATATGAGCACAAGACGGAGAGTGCCTTCCGATTTAGTCACGCCCATAGAGGACCATGTAAAGCTTAGCCCTTATCACCGAGTGCGGCGCTGCGGCACGGAGGAGACGAGAAGATCACTTCCGTCCTGGGCGCTAGATCGACACAGCGATGGGGCAGCAATCTTAACTCCGTCGCTAATCACACCCACGTGACACCATCGCGTTGCGGTGCCCGTAAAGAGTTCACACGGTCCACATAGGGCCCACACCCCTCTGGAATTCCTCGACCTATCATGTACACCGCGCTCCTCCTCTAGGCCCCTTTCCTCGGAATCGTCGGCATTGCTGATACTATCATTAACTACCATTGTTGCCCTGAATGTTCATTGCACGAACACCGATCTCGTAGTTTTTGACGCCAGCATCACTATCCATACCGAGTTCGAAAGACTCGTCGGAGGTGGCTCCGGACAATACGCGGCAGCTTGTCCACTTGCTTGATACGATGAGAAAAATGTCCCGAGACTTCCCTAGGGTATCTACAAAACGCTCTCAAAGAACCCGCGGCTCTCTCTGCCCCGTTTGAACTTGTCCGCCACTCGCAAGGCGCGTCTAAACTCACGCACCAGCGCATCCCGGTCCTCAAGGCCGACAGATACTCGAACAATCGCCTCCCGAAGCCCATGAGATGCAGCCCAACGCTTCTCCTCCTCTCTTGGGAAGACCAACTGGACATATGGGAGTACAATGGTAACTGGAGTCCCGAGTGACGGGCCTTTGTGTATGTTGAGCGCGTCGAAGAACGCAGAGGCGGTTGAGATGCTCTCGAACTCCACAGTGAAGAGGCAGCCATAGCCAGGGGTGAACTCGCTTGTGGCATGGCGCATACGAGCATCATAGTTCGGTCGCGACCAGCATCTCGAAGGATAGTAAACATCGACGACTGTGCTTGAAGGTGTTCCGGCCAATGGCTCGAGCATCGTTACTAGGGCACTTGCGTTCGTGTTCAGTCTACTCGCTCGGGAAAGAAAGTCCCGGCTGTTATGCTCCAAAATCAATGAGTCGGTGCTGAAAAGCTCGTTGACATAGTGATCGTTGAATATCTGCTTCAGGCGAGGGTAAGCTATCGAGTTCGGATCCAGGACGATGCTTGGCGGAGATCGAGGTTAGATTGATATCTTCCGATCGAGATCTGTGCCCGGCACTTACCTCCCAGCCAAGACATTGGCGTAACCACTGAAAGTTTTCGTCAGGGAGGTGACGATTATGTCTGCGATACCGGCCAGGTCGACGTTGGCAAAGCTCGCGATCGTGTCGTCAACAACAAGTAAAAAGCCGTACTCGTCGGCCATCCGACGAAGGCGGGCAAGGTCGACCGTGCGAAGTAAAGGATTCGATGCACATTCGCACCACACTGACTGTACGGAGCGACCATTGTGCCTTTCGTTAGAGAGGTATTCCGCAAATTGATCTAGTTCTGCTGAAGTCCCCCGACCGTAGAATTTGGCTCCTCTACCAAAAACCTCGAGAAGCTTCAGGGTGAGTTCGTACGAGAAGCCGAAAACGACGCTCTGCTCGGGCATCCACGCCTGGAGAACCTTGTTCAGCCCGTATATTGCAGCCATGCCCGAGGGATACAGATAGACATCTGACGGGGAGAATTGTGCACTGTGGGTTGGGTTTGTGGAACCTCGCTTCAGCAGACCTACGATGCGTGACTTCACAATCTCATCAGTGTCTCTATTCGCAAGTTCTCGGTGCAGGCCGGGTCTATCGGCCGAGTCATTCAGGGGAACGGCCTGGATACGATGTAAACCGGCATGGAGGCTTTCGGCGAGACGCGATGAGATACCTGTTCCTGTCAGTCGCCAGAATCCCATCGCTGTGCTATTAGATTTAGCAGGGAACAGCACCAGGAAAAACCGCCGACGGGTGTTCCCGAGACCTGCATCCAGCTCAACATCGCGGATCTTAAGGATGCCATCTGTTGTCGACGTTGCTGGCGGCTCCTCCACAATAAAGTCCGCAGCGAGTGTCCGACACTCTTGAGAAGAATCAGAAGCCAGACTTTGGAGTAAGGCTCTGCAGGCGAGTGCGTGTTCACGCGCAGGAAACACCAGGCAGTTTTCGTCAGGTTGCCCAAAATGCTGGAGGCATGCATCGCTGACCTGTTTGCATCATCCGTGAGATCGATACGTCATCGGTCCGGTGAGATTTCACACACTTACTCGAACGACATTCTGATTCAAGAACGACCTCGGATACCCAATCTGCTGCCGTTGAAGGATGCGTGGATCTTGTGCGACCATTCCCTGTAGGTCCGCCCATGTTGGAAGTTGGACAGATATTGCGTGGCGGTCTGCAGGAATCGGAAAGCCAAGTGGCGGCGGCTGGGGAAGGGATCGAAACTTCTGATCAAGCATCAAGGCCGCCATGATCGTGCTGAATTGTATTGGGAAGCCGGGGGATTCTCGGGTTTGGCGCTTTGGGTGATTTCGCAATCGGGGATCAGTGCCATCGCGTGGATCTTTTGAATCTCAGTCACGGGCGATTTAGTGTGTACCAGGCGAAGCTGAAACCGTGGGCCGATTGGCCATCAGAGCCATGTGGCGTGAATCGACCGGATATCACTAGATGTCCCAGCTCATTGTGCGGACATGAGTAAGAGTGATCGGCTTTTCGGCCGAGCTTCTCTGAGCTACATCAAAGGGGTCAAAGGTGCTCCCATCCTTTCAAGTCAAATCCGACTTGAGATGAACCTGCATTTATCGAACGCGGAAACTACACTTGGTATTTCACCAACCAACTACGAAGTGGGTATGACTTCTTCGACAAATAGCGAGGAATTCTACGGCAGTGGCAGTCATGCCAAATCGCAGCTGAACACTGTGAAGCGTTACCCTGGCCGCGGTAAGACTTGGATTAGTTCCTGTCAGGCTCATTCTAACTGGTTTGTGACTAGGTAAATATGACTATCAACAAGTTTATCCTATTGTCGACCAAGCTCCTATCCTCCATGTAGCTTTCCAGCCGTCCACGAATGATGAAGGGCCCACGTTTCCCGTCATACTTCCTATGCTGGGCTGCATGGGATCTTTTGGGTCTTCTGCTGCTATTGAGAGCGTTTCGCCGCCCGACTTGTACCTGCACGGCTACGTTTCTGCTCGTATGATGCGGCTCTCGCGCAGCGCTACCGCCGAAGACCCTTCCGGAATGCCCGTCTGCGTGTCTGCCACGCTGATGGACGGTATAGTGCTTGCATTGACACCCAACCACCACAGCTGTAACTATCGATCAGCAGTGATTTTCGGACACGCATCAATCGTTGACGACGAAGCCGAACGGCTTTTTGCAATGGAGCTGATCACCAACAATCTTGTTCCTGAACGTTGGCAGCATACGAGATATCCTAATGGTGCAGAGCTAAAAAGCACGGGAATCTTAAAGGTCACAATTCATTCTGCGAGCGCGAAAGTGAGGACGGGGAGCACCGGGGAGGCGCGGGAGGATCTGAAGAACGAGGAAATGAGGAAGACAGTCTGGTCAGGCGTCGTGCCTAGTCGAACAGTGTATGATGAACCAATACCCGCGTCGACAAACATGCACAAGGGCACTCCACCATATATCGCGCAGTGGGTGGAAGATTTCAATGCAGTCGGGAAAATCTACGCAGCACAAGCGGGCAGGCCAGTCAACTAGAAAGATCACACCTATTTACCTTGTGGTCACTGTGACACTCTTTGCTAAGTTTACCGTAGTTCGACCGTTTGCATGTCTTCTGCTGCGCGCCCAGAACTTGGAGGCTCTACTTATCAAACACGCTCTGTGCTTGAAAAGGTTACCACTGCAATTTACAAGAATCAGTCGCATCGGACGGCAGACGGCTTACTAAGACAAGCTGATAGTCTATCTCCTCCACATCTATGTGCATCTTTCTATATCATACAACGTGGGAGACATTTTGTCGATGTTACCAAGAATTGCTGCCTGTCCATAACATACGTATTTCAGACGCATGAGGCCTAGTATTATGGTGATCACCAGAATAATGAGTGTCGGATTCGTCATCGGACTGCACGGTCCAATTTCGTTATTCTGCCCGTGCCATCCGGCGGCGATCTGCAGGCTCCGCCTCTTGGAAACGGAGATCAGGAGCATCCCTTGGCCATTTTCAACACCGCTCAACATCTCCGTCTCATACTCAGATCTTTCGCCGGTGGCGCACTTTGGCTCCTTGTTCTCTCTCGGCCGAGAAGCAATGCAGCCGATGGACCGACCCGATTGTCCGAGCGATTCGGGACGGCAAAGCGTATCGGCTTACAGACACATGCATGCCAAGGCGCACGGCAGGATTGCAGTCAAACCTCACCTCCGCATCTTAACCGGCCACCTTCTCGGATATGTAGACTTTGAAACGTCGATCAAGTAAAGGGGTCCGTGAAGGTCACGATGCTGACATTGGGGGAGGGGACATCAGTCTGTTTTCCAGCCGGAGCTACCGTTGGAAGTATAACATGTCGAACGTGACAGCGGCGAACATTTTTTGCATACTTTGATCAATTTTGTCCACGCTTTGACCAATTTTGCCCAAGTCAAATCCGCATCGACATAAGCGTAAGGCTCCCCACCAGGCTCAATGGAGAAAGCTGTGATTGGCCTGTCCCCCGAGATCAACGAATCTCCAGTCCAATCATTCTCATGGCGTATCAACCGGACGCATGCGAGCCTTCAGGTTCAGTCTATTGATTTGGTGATTGCCCCCACAGGATCGACGCTGGGAAGCAGTGGCGTAACATCACTCCCATGGCCATCGGAGTTGCACGAAGGTCTTAAATGGACGGGGAATAATCTCAATATTCGCATGTTCATCGAAAAGGCTCTGAAAGACTCTGGCTCTCCAGCATCACTGGCAATCAAACTCCTGATTCCGCAAACCAGCGGGTATGTCGCACAGTCAAATATCTTTGAAACGCGCTTCTACACATGCCCCAATGTCGCAGCTGTTGCGAGTTTCATCAAACCGGGAGAGTTCATCAGAGGCTTCGCCGCCACCGGCGTTGACGATCCGACTTCGAAGCTCCGTGCCTTGCTTTCATCTACCATCGGTGCTATGAGAGCCTCTTCGGACGAGACAATATCCTCATGGAGCGCACTTGATGCTTTGGAAAATGAGCTCCAGAACCGCATGGCATTGCATTTCCTCCTCCCTGATCCAATTCCAAGAAAGCGAGTGGGGCTTGTTTTCTGCCCATCGAATACTATGTCATACGAACTCTTGTTACACCTGGGGATAGATTTGGTGGTCTTCGATGAGCCCGGTCATTTCATGGAAGATTCCACTGGCCCCGCGGCCCATCTACGCTCATCATTCCACACACTAGACTTTACTCCCGATGATGGACTGGTACAGCGATTGTATGAAGTGATGCAAAGTCTTAGATTGGACGGTCTTGTTTCACGCATCGAACCTTACTTCCCTATCCTGGCGCGCGTGTCTGCCATGTTGGGTATACCAAGCGCGTCAGAAGAACACTTGATCGTGGCGACCAACAAATACCTATTTCGCACAATTATACAGCCCAAGGTCGCGGAAAGTCATACTGCAATCAAATGTATGAGCACCTGCGAACTCAAGGGTCGACTCGAAAATAGGGATGAACCTCTGCATATCGATTATCCTGTTGTGGTGAAACCGACTCAAGGTCATGGTAGCTGGGGCGTACTTAAAGCTACCGACGAGAGCAGTCTCCTGGCCGCCGTAGAAACAGCGACTCAACTCAGAATGGGGCCCGACCGCGAGTCCAACCCATATCCTGAAGTTCTCATCGAACCTTACATCGGAGGTCCTGAGATCGATATCAACATCGCCATGCTGGACGGAAAGATCTTGTTCAGCGATGTCGCGGACAATGCTCCAACACCAGGCGACCTGGATACGCTTGGCGAGAGTGGATCATTGGATTTCCAGGAAAGACTCTTCATGTACCCTTCACGACTTCCGGAAGCCGAACAAGCACAAGCGCGCGAACATCTGCGAGAGTGTATTCTTCACATGGGATTTCGCAGCGGCATATTCCACTGTGAAGCTCGAATCCGCGACTCTACGATGCATTACGCACTACATGACGATTCCGGTATAACCGACCTTGTAGAAGTCGGCAGCGCTTCGAACCGGGAGCCAAGCACGTTTGTCATTGAGATCAATTGTCGGCCACCCGGCTACTTCGGGCTGTACGCCACGACAAGACTTTACGGTGTTGATCTGTGGGGCCTGTACGTCTTGCACGCTGTCTGCGATGAGGCGCGGTACCGAGCATTGTCCGTGCCATTCGCATCTGGAGCGCAGCATGACAGTGCTGTCGTCTTGATACTGCCTGAGAAGGGAGGTATAATGAAATCGGAGGACCCAATACCAAATTTGCGAAAGAATAATCCAGCCCTAGCTGCATGCATACCATTATACCGGAATTTTTATAAGGTGGGAGATGTCGTGCCCTCACCCGCCGATACCAGGAGTGAGTTCACATCGATTGTGAACATGGAATCGATGTTGGGAAGGGAGCACCTCCTAAAAATGGTCGAGGATGTCAGGCGGCAATGCGTGCCGCTCGTTGAATGACACTTTTCAAAGTTTGCAATAGCGTCGAGGAGTCGTCTGTGAGCTTGAAAAGATTAGCATCGTCAGTCTCGAATCATCTACTTCCATGTAATCGGGCATGCAATTCCTGCCAACTATCGACTTCTAGTCATCTATTTCTACCTCAGTGAGCTTCATCCCGTACAAGTTATGATTTCGGGGGGCGAATGATCGTCTCAAGTATGGCACTTGATCGGCATCTATACAGCGAATAAAAGGTCTGGGTATAGCGGAACCCCGACTCCACCAAGTCAACGCTACTAGGTGATCTTGAAAAGATATTGCGTTTCCTCCGATGCTCCTAACTCGTGCTTCCACAAAATGCGGTCGATTCTGTTTTGATGTTCCTGAAAATGTAACTTGAAATGATCTGCGACCAGAGGATATGTAACCATGCGACCTCTCTTTACCTGCTCTTCACGAGATGCTAACCAGAGGAAGGTATCTCTTTCAAAATGCGAGAGTGACCATGCTTGGTTGTCTAAGCCTTGGAAGGCGACTTCCATTCCAGAAGGTGAGGACGCACATCGCCTCACGTCAATGGACCATCCGCGCTTTTCATCTCGATACGTGCCGACGTATTCGTGGATCTCTCGAGGACCTGCGCCGTTCGTTCTGTTGGCCTCGAGCTTGGCCTGAAAATTCTTGACATTCATTTTCGCATTCTGTGCAGCCTCAGCAGCCAGGGCCACGTAATCGGATGGTTCTTGTGTGTCCACAAGCACTTCGATGATCGCCATACAAACCCATCCGGATACGTCACCGAGCGCAATGGAGTTGGTACAGGCCACGACACTGCTTTCGATTCCCGGCAGAAGCGCGATTGAAGTGTGATAGCCAGGTAGACTGCCACCATGCGCGATTAGTGGCCCAACATGAGTTCTGGGTACAATTCTTGGCATCTTGTTGACATATATGGAATTCCAACCCATTCCCAAGACCGTGTTTGGTAATTCCGTGCGGTACCAGCCAAAGGCGTAGGACTTTTCGCGAAGAGCTGCGCCGATGAATATATGACCCGAAAGTTGCATCAAAGCATGTTTAATGGAGGGTGGTGCACTATTCTTGTTGGCATTGGACTCATATTTGAATGCTTGGAGGAGGCAGACACAGTAGTTTGCAAGGTCTTCTACTGTGCTCACTCCACCTAAGGCTGGAGCCATGATGGTTTTGTCGTTGTAGGTCGGATGTGCCAACCTATGAAGTGACCCGTCATCCAGAGCTGCGTAAGGAAGGGCCAGATTTGCCGCGCCGGACGGATCGAATGATTCGAAGGTCGTGTCATTGAGACCCGCAGGCGCAAGCACTTTTTCTCGAAGCACTTGGCTATAAGACTTGCCGGTGAGTCGTTCGATAACTTCGCCAGCAAGCGCATATCCCCAATTGCTGTAGCCCCAGTCTTCTCGAAATTGCCCACTAATGGGCATCTTGTTGTAAAAGGGGAGAAGGTCCCTTTTCTCGAGCAATGGCGTAGCGCTCGCGCCTTGCCACCAGAAGTTCGATCGCCCTAGCCCAGCCCTATGGCTCAGGAGGTCGACCATGGTCAAATTCTCCGTCACGGTTGGGCTCGTGGTATGGAGCTCCGGGATAATTTCTCGGATGGGCGTATTCCATTTCAAAAGTCCTTCAGCGACTAGAGCACCTGCAGCTGAAGCCGTGAAAGTCTTGGCCATGGTTCCGACCGGAAATCGGGTTGCGCTGGTGACAGGTTGTCGGGTTTCGAGATTGCTGAAGCCAGCGTTCAGGCTGTAGATATGTTCGCCGTGTGACGAAACCGTAATCGAAATACCTGGAGCTCCGGCGACCTCGCAGATCTTGTGAACCGTGGGCTCGATCGCCTCCAGACGCCGCTTCACAGCAAGAACATCCATCATCGCCATGCCTGTTCTGAGCGTATGAGCCACAGTTCACGAGCATGAGCTTGCCGTCCATTCGAGAGTCCTCTCTGATTTCACGACATAAAACGTAGCGATTGAACAAGATCGGTCAAGAGTGCATAACCCCTAGGTCGGTGCGGGCCAGATACTATCCGATGGCGATCGCCGACTCGGCCGACAAACATCAACCCTAACCATCGGGGATGTTGCAATATCCTCAATGCCTAGTAATCATCGTCTCCAGGCGGATTTTACTTTTTGATGCGAGGTAAGTCTGTCAAGTATTGTACGGATCAGTCCGTCGTAATTGAGTACATATTGACCGAAATCACGCTTCGGGCCTCCGTTTCTTCACGTTGTTTCGCATCATTTCGTGTGTGGTCAGTCAAAATCCAGCAGTCGTGAAGATGAGCCTTGTTCATCCATTGGGTAATGTCCCAGAGGGTCAGCTTGGTAATTGGAGCGAGCACTCCCCTGACACCGTTCGCGTCGTTGACCATTTGTAAGAAAGTCTCGATGGGTTGATGGCACTATACAAAGAAGATGCCCGTCCGTACAAGGTCGACCTCATGTGCGGTGTGTATCGCACAGATCAGGGAGAGCCATACGTACTGCCTTCAATCAAGATGGTGTGTATCAACCGCTATCTCCGCCGTTCTTGCTCACGGAATAGATCATCAGGCACGACAAAAGCTCTTCTTCGATCCTGATTGGAATCATGAGTATCCATCCTCTCACCTGGGGGAGGCTGCGTTTCGGGATCTGAGTGCTCGCCTACAATTCGGGGACGACAGCGTGATCCTCGCTCAGAAACGGCAAGCCCCAGATGAAAGAGAGAAATCGATATATGACTGACACTTCACATTCAGACTTGCTTCCATGCAAGCCCTTGGCGCAAGCGGGGCCCTTCACATGGGAGCCAAATTCCTTCGGGCTCATTACGAACCATACCTTTCCAGGGCTGAAAGTAAAGTTTACATACCTCTCGAGACATGGAGTAAGAAAGCCATTACGAGGTCTATAGCCCTTGATGCATTGGCTGATGATTTTTGAACAAGCTAATCACCCCAACGTATTCCAATCGGTCGGATTCACGACGGCGAGCTTGCCATGGTACAACGAGGAACGGCGAGCATTTGACTTGACTCTCTTCCAGTCCGAAATTGTTAAGATCCCATCGCAATCGATCGTTGTTCTACAGATTTCAGCAAATAATCCTACGGGCTGTGATCCATCCGTGGACGAATGGAGACAAATCGCCCTCACCTTCAAGAGTTGCGGTCATTTTGCGTTCCTTGACCTTGCCTACCCAGGTTTTGTGTCTGGTTGCTTCGTCACAGATGCCCTCCCTCTTCGCATCTTCGTAGACACTGGTGTACCTTTAGCAACCGCCACCACCTACGGAAAAGCATTCGGTCTTTACGGCGAACGCGTGGGACATCTGTGCTTCACATTACCTGATGCGCACACTGCACAGCGGGCTGAGCAGCAAATGAAGCTATTGGCCAGAGCTGAGACTGGCGCCCAGCCACGTTTCGGTGCTGCATTAGTTGCACTCATCCTTGGAAATAAGGAACTGAAAGCTTGTTGGGAGAAAGACATTCGGAGGCTGGCACAGGATCTTGATTCCCGCCGAAAGAATTTAAAGGAGTCGTTAGTGAGAGCAGGTGCGCCTGGGAATTGGGATTTCATCACGAATCAACGCGGAATGTTCACGTAAGATACCTGCTGTGTTCTTCATTCCAGCCATTGCATCGCTATAATCTGAATTTGCTAATCAGTCGCAGCTTTGCCTCGTTCACTTTAAAACAGATTAATTGTCTTCGGGACGAGTATGCGGTGTATGTTCAAGATACTGGACGGCTCTCTATCGCGTATGCCCACGACCTTTATTCCTGATTCGGATATCAACCGTCAGACTAACAAATCTCACAGGGGATTGAGTTCGCGCAGCCTGGCATACGTCGCATCGAGCATTGCGAAGACCATGCAACCCAATTAGAAGTTTTATTGCTACCATATAGACGCTCCCACATTCCATCAGGTTAACGTCGACCTCAATTCATGTTTTGCATTTTCCTCGAAAATTGAAGCTTTGATATGACCAGCCATTCCGATGTTGCTCCGGTACGCGAAACGACGCAGGCTCAACGCTTGTTCGGAATCTCTACCTCTATCAACTTAAAATTGTGATTCAGGCCTGTGACCGCATCGAGACTCGTCACCGCCTCAAAATGGCGCATGATGGAGGGATGTGTCACCCTCCACTCTCGGCCAAGAACCCACTGCAAGCCCCGACTCACCACGACGGCAACAAAAATGTCCGCGAGCGTTGGGACATCCCCAACAAGCCATTTCTTGTCGGACAAAACTCCCTCCAAAGTGTTCAACAGACGAATACTGTCCTGCTTGCCTTTCTCGATCGCATCGTAGTCGTACGGCGCCGGGTCCTTTAGTCCGGGAATAAGTGGTAGAAACCATCGAGCGAGTGTCTGCAGTAATTCCTGGTTCGCGAAGCTCACGAAGCTTAGGACGAGTGCCTCTTGGTCAAGACTTTCAGACGAGCCTAGCAGATGCGCTTCCGGCTGAATTTTCGCGAAGTACTAGACCACGGTCAGCTTTGAACCGCAAACCGCCCTTAAGTGCTCCTGTACATACGTGACAGATCGCAATTGTCTCGGTCAGCATGATACCTGGGCCTTGGATGGCTGGAATCTTGCCCTGAGACAAAGGAAAACGCTCCATATACGAGGTTTTATTGACGCCCATTCTCGGCACAACTAGTGATTGTTTCAAGGAAATACCCGCGGAAGCAGCCTGCGAAGACTTTAGGCCTGTGACAGAAAGGTGGAACGACGTGTGTCGATCATACCACAATTTTGACGATGAGTGTACGAGGATTGTCCTGCCGTGGGCCACTATTAGTTCCGCTGAATCTCTGTACAATGGTGCGTGTTCACCTACGTCGTACCCGTACAGAACGAATTTAGGGGTAGCCATAGAGGAATGGGCTTGGGGATCAGGATTTGATCATTTGTTGCGATGATGTGCACGATGGGATGTTTGGAGCTTAAGAACATCGGAATCTAATACGTGCACTCCGATTTAGGCTTTCCATGTCCGAGTTCATTTCGGACCTGCAAGAGGCTCTCCTCGTTTCTCCGAACCTGTAGCCTTTGCCAGCGAAAAGACTAAAACAATCCCGCTATCGGTCTCTTCTGGACAAATTCAGGAATGACGATCAGATTACATGCTGCAGCAGTAGTGTCACTTTTGAAACAAAATAAAATTGTGTATGGTGGCGCCAGCGCGATAATCTACGATGTACCATTGACACTGGTTCCACTCCTCAGTGTTCTGGCAAGCTCGATATTCGCGGAAAAATTAGTCATGCCTGAATTGAAAATGGCAGCCCCGTCCGAGTGGACAACGAAGGCTGTCCAGCCAAGTTCCAGCCGTCTCTTCAGAATTTCTGGCGACATCGCAAACCCGAGCACCGCAAGGCCGTTCTTGTCTGCAGCTCGTTGGATCCGGTCGAGAGCAGCCAGAAAGCATGGCTCGTCACCGTCCTGGCTGCCAACTTCAAGACCGAGAGAACATCGCAGATCCCCAGCTCCCACCATAAGGGCATCAACTATTTTAGGAGCCCGTCAGATTTGCGTTCTCGAACGTACGAAGACCTGTACTCACTTCCCTTTACGGCCGCAATCTCATCGACATTCTTGAGCCCCTCCATGTCCTCAATCTGTGCAAAGACAGCAGGATGGTTGTTCCATACGTCGTAAACAGTCTCTCCCGGATTTGTGCGTGTCTGCTTCCCGAATAACGCCATTGGCGGATAGCTTCGCTTGCCCAATGGTGGAAACTTGGCATAGCTCACGAGCTCCGAAGCTTGTGCCGCAGTCTGGACATGCGGTTGCACGATTCCACCTGCGCCGGCGTTCAAGGCATAGTTGATTAGATCGGGATTGCTCGGAGCCAATCGAACAAACGGGACCATAGATCCATTAGACGTGTATTGAATAGTTTTGATCAGGCTCGTGAGAAGCGTAGGGTTGAGGGGGCTATGTTCCTGTACCGATGTGTCAACGTTATGGATTGGGGCTAGTTTTGATAGCACGGAACATACGGCATCGAGGAAACAGAATTGATAAGGCAATGTCGCAAGGATCCGAGCAGCCTCTTCGCTAGGGATTCGACATCCGGTGCCCCAAAGGAGTTCACCACTCTTGAGCATGCCTTTGAAATCGGTAGGCTGGGCGAGGTCCAGCGCATTGTACTGCCTTGCATCCATGACGGCCCGTTCGCGTCGGGTGAGTCGATACGTCGATTCTGTATGACCGATAAGAAAGCTGTCTTACATCAAATCTGTACATTGGCAAACAGGAATGAGTACAGTGGTTCTTGATAACCTGGTAGCTGCCTCGGATGCGAGTACGAAAACGGCGGCACCCAGCATGATCGACGAAGTCAAGTGATCCCTCCGAGCCCCGGGATGATTTACCACAGCCCTCGAGTATGCAAGTTACCATCCTAGCTGTCTACTCCGGGCTCACGGGGAACACTGATGAGGTAATATGCATCTCGGTGAAGGACATTGGTCGTCCGAATCCCATATGCTAACGATGTCCGCACCGGTGCGAAAGGCCCGCCAAATCGCTATTGTGGGTGCCTCGAGTAAGAATGGAAGGACATCAATATGATCAGTTTTACCACAGCATGTGTATTCGCGCAATCTCATTACTCGGTTGATCGACATGTCCGTTGTGGAGTCTCTTTCTCCGAAGAATCGGCATCTTAGTCAGCAAGTCCGCGCGACTTCGGGATTGGCCATCATATCCGCATCATCCTTGAAAATCTACTCGGGCAATGTTGTAGATCAACAGAAGTCTCCGTGAATGAAGGTCAGTAGAACCGGCTTTACCCCACTGTCGAGAAATATGACGGCCGAAGGATGAATCGTGATGGCGTGAGCGCCGCTCCGATCCTCGGCCTGTAGTTGACGATAGGCACGACCAATTTGATACATAAACAGTGTAAACTCGAGGCATGGAAACATTGCCAGAAGCAAGCTGGAGAGCGATACACGACACTGTTACCTTGCTCTTTACTCGCGATTTGCACATCAATCCAGCCATCGCTTTTACCGTCCGTCGTCATGGTCGATATTGAGAAATATTGGGCCACCCAGGCGAAAAATTACCAAAAGAAGATCAAAGTAATCGAGGGTCCGAATGAGCCGACCATCACTTTTCCACTGATCCTTGAGCCGAAGGTTCCGGAGCATTCAAAAGAAGCCGTCCTCGAGGAAGCCCGGAAGCTCGGCGCGCAGACAGGCGACAAGGATCTCCACAGCCCAATACGTCAGTTGCTCGACGCCCATGGAGGTGCTGTTCTTTTTAAACACCTTCCTCTGAAGACAGCCGACGACTTTTCGGACTTCATGCATGCGCTTGCGGGCAAGGGCGAGCACGCCTGGACCCACCACGAGCATGTAGGGATGGAGGTTTTGCGTCGTCCTCAAGCCAAGAATGTGCTTACCGCTAATGAGGGCCCACCAAGCCATTTCATTGGTTGGCACAATGAGTATGCCGTCTCTCCCGTTCATCCTCACTACCTCGCCCTCTATTGTAATGTCAAGCCTGGCGCTGGGGGAGAAACTTCAGTCTCCAATTCCATCGCCTTGTACGACCGTCTGAAAAAAGACGCGCCGGGGTTCGTCGAGGGATGCGCCAGCAAGGGCCTCGTGTATCATATTCCACACAATGCCGAGCAAGTCTCCGGAATCGTTGGTGGTAATGGCCTCTATAAAGACTCCGCATTCGGTCCGAAGGCGGGCGAGCAGTTGCCCGAGACCGAAGAGGGCCGACGCGCCATGGTCGAAGCCAAGATCATTGATCTTGCCGAGCGTGGGGGATGGCACAAGAACATCGACCTTGCCAATGATAAGGAACCTGTCTGGAGACGTCGTGGCTTTGACTGGACCTGGCAAGAGAACGGCGACCTTGACGTCGTCCACCGCGTGTCCGGTTGTCGCGAGCATCCTGTCACCAAACAACCCGGCATCTTTAATGTAAGAATGCGTGCTTGTAGAATGGCATTAGCAACACCGTACTAATCTTGGAATGCAGGCCCTTTCAACTCGCTACACCAACGCTGTGGCGAATGATACCTTCGATCCTCCTTTCACCTTCAAGCGGGCCGATGGCACCGAGGGCGTCTCCATCCCGCCTCACGTAAGCTTTTCCTGCTCAATAACCTCTAGTATACGATGCTGATCTAGAGTCAAGTTCGCTGGCATTAAAAAAGATGAGCCCGTTCCCCGTGAATGGCTCCAGAAAATGGACGAGTGGCAACACAAGCTCGAATCCAGCATCACCTGGGACGCTGGCGATGTCCTCCTTTGTGACGTACGTAATCCCCGACAACGTGAGATGAAAATGATGCGCATTGCTCACCATTTGCACAGAATTTTGCGGTTCAACATGCTCGCTGGGGCTGGGAAGGCGACCGAAAAGTGATGGCCAGCTTCTGGGATCAGCCGGGTCTGGAGGCCATTCCTCTTACTGCATAAATTGACGTTTATTGAGTGCAGCCGTATTTGAATGGACAAATGTGTCATAGCCGCACGATTAAAGAGCTTAACTGATAGCCAAAACCTTCCTCGGCTGAATTCTGAAAAGTCGCAGGCGATTTCAAAAACTTGCTGGCCATGCTCGTGTCTCCAATGGTTATATCATCCGCAGCTCTTGTCTTATTTGTCATCGAAATCGAGCCATTGCGTGTCCTGGTAGGTTCCTGAGAATATCGCCGCCGAGAGCAGGGGTTTGCGGTGTCATGCACATTGTGCACGGTACCTTCGCAGGCCAAAGTCATCCTATCATTGAGAACTCCCGTTCGAGGGAAGGTGACGTCGAAGCAGGTGGCCGCGGAAGTGTCGCCTCAGGCTGTCAAAAGCACACCATCAGATGACACACATACCACAACAACATGCAACTCTTCGACGCGGATCCTGGCAAGGGAAACCTGGTCCTTTGCTTGAATTGTACTGGCTCGCCCAGCTTACTCCCGCCAAGATCCGCATAACTCTCGTGATCGAGAGCGAATCCATCTTGAGTTGTGACAGCATGTCGATCACCAAATTGGTATTACCCTTGATAAGATACGGATGTGCTGTCACGCAGGGCAATGAACAGGCATCATGGCAACAGACCGAAGTATCTGGTTTAGCATTGATTTTGAATCCTGGTGACAATGACAATCCTAACGTCGAGGCCTCAATACAAATCCTGCAAGGGACCACAGTCCTGGTAACGAAGGGTGCCAGATGAGTGTAGCCCTCCCAGACCACTGACAGAGAATTCAAGGAAACAATCCTTCTGGGTCGTCGATGCCAAGCCAGTTTAGAAATGCAAAGAAAATCACTCGGGCCTATCAAGTTTGACCATTTGCCTATATATGGCATTGTTTCAGGTGACCTCTTCGGATTCAGATACCCTCTTGCTTCGGGACAGGTGATGACCCATCTATTGATCGCGGGTCTTAGAGCTGTCTAATTCTACATTCCAGGTCCTTCGGATGCGAATGAAGCTCACGTCGATTGAGGATTGTCAAACATTGCAGGTTGCATGCGAGCGACTCGGCATGTTGTTTAGGCCGCCGCCGCCGCCAGCGGAACAAACGGACAGGCCTGACACAGCTCCTCATCCAACAGGTCATCGACGGATAGCATCGAACGTGTCGACTCTTCAGCAGGAATCTCCTCATTTCGTGCAAGCGCCACGAGTGCAAACATCGATGGAATCTCTTCGGTCATCAATGTCGACACCACGAAGCTTTGTGCGACCTAGCTCCACCACAGGACGCCTGCAAGCCCCGATTCGTGCTATGCAAAGCTCCTCTGATCTAGGTGGAATTATGCAAACATCACGGGATACCCAGAATCAAGATAATCCTCGGGTCTTGGCCTACAGTGACCCGTACGCGCTCCCACTGGCATCGACCGATGCACCAGACAACGAGAACCGTCAACCATATTCAAGGTCCGGCATGTTCCAAGAACCTACCAAGACTTCACGGCCTTTGCAGCAATCAATCTCTTCATCGGAACATTTCACGTCCGCAACACGGCCAAAATCCGCAGCTATGATGCTGTCGTCAGATAATGCAGACAGTAGCTCGATTTCTTCGCGCACGACCATGCATCCACCACCGATGGAACTACCACCGCGACGTGAGCTTCCGTTTGAGCGTCCAGATAGTCGTCGAAATGATAGTCAAGGCGGAAGTTCACGACCAGCGTCAACATCACTTGAACTGCCTCCACTGCCCCGACCGAACATAACGAGACAGACGTCTGACCGCTCGATATCCAGCCGACCGACGTCCCGACTGCATAATTCGAGCTCGATGATTGCGGCAGAAGATATCGCAAGTGATGGTCGTAGTCGAGGGAAGACCGCGCCTGAGAAAAACGCATTGACCCATCTGAAAGAAGCCACTATATCTCAGATCAATGCCTCCCACCAAGCAGGGTCATCCATTCAACCGCCAGCTAGACCACTTCCTCCAACGAATTGGACACACTCGTTGAGAGTCGCAGCCCGCCAGAGTACTCTCTCCGACGCTCCGCACGACCTCTCACCTCCACCACATGCACGATCCCCCGGTCAGACAGCTATCCCGCGCCTCCCTGTCCAGCCACCTCCAGGTCCCACGAATAATGTTCCGCAGAACGATACTGTCATGCATGACATTGTTGCGTCATCCAAATTCGTTGACAGTCTACAAGCATCTGCTGCGTCTATAGAACAGCAGTCGCTCTCTTCATACGCCGCGCAGAACGTGATCGATCGACGAGCGATACTTGATGAGTTCATGGTCGCGCATTTGAAAGATCCCGCTTTTGCTACACTCTGTGAGGATGTGGAGAATTGCTGGCGTAGAATTGCCTTAGGTTTGTGAGACCGGTTGTAAATGTCGCATGTAACGCCAAGGTAAGCGGTTGATCCTTTGCCCTTTCACGTTCGAATGTTCAATGGCTTGGAGCGGGTCTGGCAATATTTCTTAGCTCACTCTTCGATTGCTCTTCACAAGGACATGTGCGGTGCCAGATAGCTACAAAAAGAACGATGCAAGTACGTTCAGTGAGTTCGTCATCTCACGAAGATATCTTCGCACTGAACGCTGAACACGAGGTTTTCCTATGCCCAGATCAACGATGAAAGCCTGTCGTGAACATGCTGCTCCACTGGTGAGATTAACCCCAGACTCAACCCTAATCCCAGCACCAACCTTGGAAAGCGGGAAGCAGTGGAGGAGGCGGCCTGGAGATTCGAATCTCCGCCAAGGCAGATCCCGGAGACGGGATCTGGAAACAGAAAACAGCCGCGCGCGCGGGGGGCTTTGCGGGCTTGCACATGCCGACTTCACCCGCAAGCCTGGCACGCAGGAACGACCTACGAAAAAGACGACATCACCCCATCGATGACCCGCATGGCGCCATGAGAGACGGACTGTGGGTTGGTAAGGCGCTGTGTGCGACGAATGGCGGCGGCCTTTCTCGGGACTTGCCTATGTCGCTCCTCTCTGTTGATCTGGTGTGTGCACGGTATGAGACGATGAGTACGACGTTGATGCGTCGTTGATTTGCTCTCAAATCTCTCCGTTGAGGAGGCGGCGGTGGTTCATGATGCGTTGCTGCCGTCCGGGATGCTCAACGACCCCGTTCGCTTATTATCGCTTTCGGATCCTGACGACTTTTTGGACCATCACGGGTAGATTGCAGCACGATTGTTTAATTATAGGCTGTGTGTGATATGTACGACATGCGTGCATACCGGCAAGAGTCAGAAAGCGCATCCGTGAAGAATAGGCAAGCAATCTGGCCTGCCTATGCAAGATTATGTATTATGTGTTCTCGCGGTGCGCAACGCAATGCCTGTATCTCGATGACTCATCTGCTCTCACGTCACGTCCGGAGAGTCTGGGGACGCCCACGTGCCTGGACTCGGTCGGCGGCGGCAGGGATGGTCAGAGTCCCCCCTTCCTCATCGACGCGCACATGCCTGTCACCTGGGCGTCCCTCATCATCGATCATGACGCAGAGGGCGAAGATGCAGGACCTGCATACCGGAAGCAGACTGGCTCGGACTTGTGGCTGTGTCCGCCCGGCGCAGAAGAGTGGATAGATGACGGCGTTGATATCGTAGTGCCATCGGAGCATGATCGGGCCGACCGATGGAAATTGATCTCTGACTGGCGATGGGCGACCGACGTGTGTTTGTGCGTTCCCCTCGCGTTCTGCGGACAAGGCAGCTTTGGCCTTTTTCTCTCCCTGGTTGGTGGGTGGTGCTACTTCGCTACTTTCTCATGCAGGCGCGACAGAAGCTATCCTCTATCGTCACATGCTAGATCACCTCAACGAAATCCCGTTTCAGACAGATCTCCTCATTCCGTTCTTCTCGGCCTTTGTGTTTCCTTGGAAGAGGCAAAAAGGACTTCCCAGCCCCGGGAGGTCTCGGAGCAGACGACCTCCGTGCAATATGATAGCTGACCCGTTCCCGGCCGACGTTGCATGAAAATCCTGGGAGAGTTGCACGAAACCGTCTTCTTTCTCCACAGAGTACTGCAAAAAATAAGATGATTCGTAGATGTCATGGATTCCGGAGCGGTGTTAGCTCGACGCGTAACATGCACGCCGCGTGCTACGTCGCGCATAGGCCTGGCAGCTCCTACTGCTACATACATACAACTCACACAAACATCTGCCTGGAGGGCACGCACTGCCCAGTCATCGCTGTGAATTTATATGTATACGTCGCGAACTTGGTGACAGCTTTCCGACAAGGCGATCCTGGTAGCCGTCTTGTGGTTGGACAGAGACACTCCCGCGACGGACGAAGAGTTCGGCCGGACAAGCACCACTTGGGGCATATATCACAAATCACATTCCAGCCAGCCTTGCCCTCCATGCCTTCTATGCCCTTCGTATCTTATTTTGCTGTATTTTTGTTGATCATTATATCATAGCCTGTTGATCAACCTTGTTCCTCACTGGATAATGTACAAGACGAGTCGTGTAAACATTGTGATATCGTCCATCCTGTCCATTTGACTTTTGTCGAAGAGTACCCCACCTCCACGCACACCCATTGTCGTCATCGTTATCAATTGGCGTCCGCTTAACACCGTTTAAGTCCAGCTCATCAACATCATCTCTCGAAAATGTTCCCATCTCCTCCACCTGCGCACCAACACCCCAAAAGTCCAACCATCAGCTCCTCCACCCATCTTCACGGTCATTCGGTGGGATGATAGACCGAGCGTCTTCCCCTACGATGCCGGGATGAGCGAGCTCGAGTGGATCCTGATCGTCTCCACCGATCGGAAGATTTGGTCGAAGCTACAGTGTCTCATTCGATTAATATGGTGGGAATCGCGGAGGAACCTGGACCTGAATCTAGCCCCGTTTCCTCCTACTGCCAAACTTAAACCCTGCTGAGCTCTCATTTGGACCGAAGGTATTTTGCGTGTCTCGTGTTACCCTTTCTGGACTGTTTACACTTGTACACAATGCTCTGCGAAAGAAACCGATGGGAGCTCATTCGCGATACACCCGAATTGTCATCGAGAGATTGCTATGCACGGCCGGCTACGAATGAAGGATACTCCAAAGACGCGGAAAATCAATGATGACCCTCCACCACCACCACCTTCCTTCGTCACCCCTCCATCTCGTGCATCCCGTCTCACTGATCAGATAATCACCTACATCATCCATTCTGACAATCACACGTGCGCGAGGGTGACGGAGCTGTCTTACCCTTTTTCCAATAATTTATTTTAAGGTGTCCGAGAGAGCCAGATACCACGGAGAATAAGTAGTTCATCTTCCTATCTCGATCTCACTCTTGCAATTCAATCTTCGTGCTCTTCCCTTTTCCAGTCACCCTCCGTGTTCGCATTTGACTGTCGATACTCGCCGTGCTCGATCGCAAGAAAGAACAAGTCACGGCCCACGCTGGAATAACAGAAAACAGAAGGACAATCAGAAGCAGAATCACCTGAATATAGCTCGCGTCAGAAGGGCAATACAGAACCTCTGCGATTCCCCTCTGCTTTGCCACCACACGTCGCCCGAATAACCGCTCATCAGCACAGACAAGCAGTCACTGTAACACGCTGTGACCTAACATTGGGTCAAACACAGGCATACATCGTCTTTTTGCGCTCTTGGGTTTCGAGGAACCAAGATAATTCTAGATCTCACAACATCACATTCCACACACATGGCCACAGCACTAGTCATGGCTGACAAGATAGTCAGCCCACAGCTCGACATGAAGCCATCCGCCGCGCTGCCAGCACACAGATCTGTCAAGCGACGAAGGCAACAGCCTTCAATGACTCTCCTCCCAAGCCCCGAGGAATCTCCCGCCTCGCCGGTAGGCCAGACTTCAGAATTGAATGAGATCCCACTCCTTGACTCCCTCGACCCTCTCGAGAAGAACAACGCCCAAAGCCAAGAACAAGCCTCCGAGGCCGAGCAATCCGCCCGCCTCCTCACCCTCGCCACCCACGTCCTCAGCACCGAAGCCACCGCCCTGAACCACCTCACCACAACCTACCAAACCACCCCGAGCGCCCGCACCGCCCTCCTCTACGCAACGCGCGCCATCCTCCGCGCCCACGCCAACCACGGCCGCGCCATCATCTCCGGCGTGGGCAAGAGCGGCTACATCGGGCAGAAGCTGTGCGCGACGCTCAAAAGCCTCGGCGTCGGCGCAAGTTTCATGCACGCGTGCGAAGCCGCGCACGGCGACCTCGGCGACGTCTCCCGCGACGGCCGCGACGTCATCGTCTTCGTCACCTTCTCCGGCCGCACGCCCGAGCTGATGAACCTCGTCCCGCACCTGCCGCGGGGCACCGACATCGTCGCGCTCTCGGGCTCCGACGGCGGCGTGGACGGCTGTGCCATCCTGCGGGAGCGGCGGAAGAGATTGTCCGAGGAAGACCGCGATGACACTGCAGGGAGCTCCGGCGACAAAGTCGGCGAGACCATCCTCCTCCCCGCGCCCATCCACGAGAAAGAGGAGCTTTCCTTCGGCGTGTGCGCGCCCACGACTTCCACAACCGTCGCGCTCGCCGTCGCGGACATGCTCGCGATCACCGTCGCGGAGGAGTTGCACCGTTGCGAGGCCGGAGGCGACAGTCGTACCAAGGCTGTCTTCCGACGGAATCATCCCGGCGGTGCCATCGGCATGATGCCGATCCCGCCGGTCGTCGCCGCCGCCGCGGGCGCGGTTGCTGTTGCGCAGCCTTGCATTGATACCGGCAAGGTCGGCGGCGCCAAGCGGGCACGGGAGGACGATGAGGAGGAGGAAAATGGAGTGACGGAGTTGCCCTCGCCGTATCCTTCTGGTGAGGACGATCGTTGACCGATCGGTTTCGAGGCGAGAGAAGTCGACGTTTGGTTGTCTAGCTTTTCTTCGCTTACGTCGAGGTTTTTGATTTCTTTTTGGTTACGTTGAGATGAGATGCTTGGAGGAAATAGCATCCAAACATGATGACGACGATAGCGCATCACACGAGTCACGATGAACGTGACGGCAGGTTCCATGGTCGCGGCCATGCTGTTGGACTTGAATAGAAGGATACATTTATGAATGTGTCTAGATGGACCTGCGAGCAATGAATGCATGGCAGACCAATGATGGTACATGAAATGAAATTCTTTTCCGAGCGGCAGGCACTGCGCCTGGCCGACATGACGACAGCAGAGTGCTCCACTTTTGCACGTTATCCAGTCTCTTCTCCGAGCTCTTTCTGCGTCTAGCCTGACACATGTACGGTGCGCAATGATGTATGTGCGCTTATGCCTTTCCTTCTTGCCTCATACTGGCTTCACACCCTTATGTATCGCCGCGATGCCCAAACTGAGATCCTCCCATCCATGCTGCATCGGCGTCTGACCCGGCGACCTACCTCCCGAGCCCACCTCTCCACCGACATCACCCGGGATGAGGAACCCCGCCTCTGAGATCATCCGCGCCCACTCGGGCTGACTCGGGAACCTCTCAATGCTCTCGACGAGATACTGATAACTATCGCGATCCGACGCGACGATCTGTCCAATCAACGGGATCGCGCTGAAGCTCCATCTCTTGTACACAGCGTTGAGGAGAGAATTGCTCAACTGCGGCGCGAATTCCAGACAGGCGAAAACTCCTCCCGGTCGGAGAACGCGGAATGCTTCGCGCAGAGCGCGGTCTTTGTGGGTGAAATTGCGGATGCCGAAAGCTACGGTGTACAAATCGATGCTGTTGCTTTCGATCGCCGAGAGGTCCTCGGCGTTGGCTTCGAGGTAATCGACTCGGCCCTGTGCGTGGTATGGCGTCTGGGAGAGTCGCTTTCGGCCTTCAGCCAACATGTCGGGATTGATGTCCGAGATGGTCACGTGGCTGGCCGTGTCGCCGTGGATGCGCGTGGCGTGATCCAGCATGCGCAATGCGATGTCGCCGCTACCACCGGCGATATCGAGAATGCGTTGCGGTCGTGCGGGAGAGGCGGCGTTGAACTCGGAGGAGGTGGTGGGTGTTCGCTTCATGCCGGGGTCGAGCGAGCGCACGAAGTGGTCTTTCCATAATCGGTGGATTCCGAGGGACATGAAATCGTTCATGACATCGTAACTGCTTGCTACAGACGAGAAGACGGCGCCAACTATAGTGAGTCTTGGGTCAGTTCTTGAAATTCGTTTGGCGAGAGATAATGAGAGCAGACCTCTGGACTCCTTTGCTGTTTCATCGACAGTCTCAAACCCGAAATGTGTTGTGCCATTGTTTCGTGAACTCGAAGGTGTTGGAGATGGTCGTTGCGATCGCGGTTGTGGCGTTTGCTGTTGCAGGAGCCCTCCTCGTTGCGATGTGACAAAGCTTCTTCGGACACATTCAGTGCATGTCCAAGGCGTCCTTGCAGAGGTCAGACGAAGGCGCTTTGCTGCGCGCGGTGCACTAAGCGACATATTTATTGAGTGAGTCGTGGATGACTCTGACGATTGATCGGAAGATGGTGGTGGCAATGGCTCCCCATGTTCATGATTTCAATGATGCCCTTTGTTCACTCAAATTCAAGCGGAATTGCCTAAAGGGGAATTCATCATCAAAGATCGAGCGGCGGCGGAAGTGTCACACATCGCTTTGGTTGACCGTAGCAACAAGCTACGGTCAACCGACAATCTGACACTCGATCGAGAGAGCTTCTTTAATTCGAACGACCTAAGAAGCGCAAATTCGATCGGATCGACTACATTCATTCTCACACTTGAATAGGATCACCCATCACTCATCGGAATAGGCCGTACCAGCCAACAACAAGAAGCTGGGCGGAGAGAGAAGCCATGGAATCGTTTGGTGTGAACTCGCATTGTTAGAAGATGGCTTGAACAAAACCGGCATAAGGGATAGTTCACCATAATTCGTCGCTTCATTTTCATGTACATTTCGTTGCAATATACTGGGCACATCTCTCTTAAGGCGGCGACATTGGAGGAAGAGTTGTTGTCGAAGGTGCGGTGATTCTCGTCCGCTGAATCTCGTCCGAAACCTCCGCGTCGACGCCCTCGAGGATGGCTGAGATTCGAGACCGGGAACTTCCCTTCTCATCATCACCGCCTGCTTCCACAGCTCTCGCGATGCGTGCCTCAACGATCTTGCGCCAATTCTCAGCTTGGAGTAATCTCTCTCGAAGATCACGAACCTCTTGAGCTGTTAAGCCTTCGCCGTTAAGCCTTTCATTCTTTTTCCTTTCCTCCTCTTCCTCCTCTTCCAGTTTCTTCTCTTCTTTCTCCCTCTGCTTCGCTTCCTTGTTTTCCATTCTCCTTCTCTCCTTGCGACCTCTTGCCTCCAACTTTTCCACGGCTTTTCGGTGTTTCTCGCTGGCCTTCTCCATTTCTCTCTCCCTGCGTGCACTCCGTTTTGCTGCTTCTTCCGAAGCGGAAGCTTGCAGACGGCGAAGTTTGGCTTCTTCCGCTGCGCGATGCTTGGCATGTTCTGCGTTGAGCCTTTCTCGCTTGTGTAAGAGCTTCTGAAGCTCTTTCTCATGTTTCTCGAGCTTTTCCTTCCCGGCAGCGCTAAGGGAGGATGTGGAGGAGTTGGCGTGATCATTGAGGACGAGCGGATCTTCACGGTGGAGTTGTCCGGATGATGCTGACATGAAAGATGCTGTATCTGAGATGGACAAGGAAGAGGTGTCGGATTCATCGTCCGAGGACGAAGCACCATGAAGGCGGGAGTGCAGAAGTGACGAGACGGATCTCGGGGCGTATGCTTCGACGCTGTTTTCGATCGCATTCGTCAGACTTGAGAGTATGCCACCTCCTTGAGTCGGTACTGGCTCAGTGGCAGATCGTGGGGCCTGTATCTTTGCTTCACCTTCTGTTATGCTCGAAACATTTGTGCTGGGTCTGGGTGCCGGTGGGATGACTTCACCCTCACTGTCTCCCTCCACCTTCCATTTACATGCCCAGTCCAAAAATTTGCCTACATCTGCCAGCATGGTCTCCGGTGTGCCACGGTCCACCAGGAATCTAGGAATGCCTCCGCCTGGATCGGATCGAGATACCATGAGCCATTCCACAGGATTAAGTTCAGGGTCGACGTCTGCAATTTCAGTAGTCTTGTCAGCGCTTGCCGAGGAAGATGGTTCCGCATCTTTTCCGACATCCTTGCTGTCTTTGTGCTTCGCGTCCGAATTGTCTTTTGATGATGAATCGTCGCTGGTGCCTCCTACCGCTCGAGCTCGGAGTTGCGCTCTACCAGCCCGGCTCAGTGGGATCTCCCGAATCATCTCGACCGACTCATACTGAGCACGAACATATCCTGATCTCGCTCCAGCCTCGGGGTGCTCTTGTAGAGGTCTTGAGACGATCATGAAGTGTCTTGGCACGACCGGCTCCTCCTTGTCTTCCGCCATCCCCTCGCTACCAGCAGCCTTTGTCCCGCTGAACTCCATTCCTAAAGCTTCGCTACCCGTGCACACAGCCGCCACGAAGTCTCTAGCAGCGACCGGACCAGGAAACTGAGCACTCAACAACCAAGCCTGAAAGGTTCCAGCACCTGTGATCTCGCGTGTGTCCAATTTTTCATCCGCCGCAAGGCCGCGGATCGCTCCTGCTCCAGGTTTGTCACTTTCTGCTGCAAGGCTTGCATCGAATTCTGCTTTCATCGCTGCCCGCATTTTGTTGAAACCAATTCCCTCATGCACACTCCTTCGAGCAAACCATGAGCCATGACGATCTTTACTTGACACCTTGTAGATATTGACTGCATGAGGGTTCTCTTTCGGCGAGGATTTGAGCGGCTTTCCCCAATATGATTGTAGTGCGGCATGAGAAGGATGTGAGAGCGGTGCACGAGCTGTGCTGGGATGTATCTCGACAGCCGAGTTGGCAGAGTTCGGCGTGGTGTGGTGCGGTGTGGCATCCAAAAAGGGCGTGCCCTCTGATGGCGGTGGTATGGAATTGCAAATGACCTCGCCAGCCGTGAAGGCAGTCCTCAAGTACGTCTTCAATTCATCTTCGGAAGTCGGTATGTCAGACCACGAAATCGGCGAGAGATTCTTGAGGGCTTCGTGTAGTTCGGCCATGATGTCGATGTTCCACTTCAGGAAATCAGTGTTCCGAGTGTAAGCGTTCTATGCGAGTCAACGCGGAAGCTTTGCGTTGTCAATGCGTGTGCAGAATGTTGTCCAAGTGAACATGCTGGTTGGTGCACAGGTAAGTATGTCTTGACGATCTGCACTTTTCTAGCAAGGGATGGCCGTGCAGTCAATTTCTTTACCATGAGGGTCAAGGCATCCTTACCACAAAAGAGGTGAAAGGCCAAGTCTCGTGGCGGCAGTGACGACCAACTTACGACGACCTGTGATGGCGTACGACATGATGACGAGGATGCAGTCTGGTTGACATGAATTATAGTTTAATAGCGCTACGCACGCGACTCCCGGGACCGCAGAATGCCGCTCTTTCCCAACTGAACATGGAAAGACATGCGTCCCTCTAAGAGTCCACTGGCCACTTATATACGGTTCAATGGAAGCCGCCTCTCTCAAATTCATATATCTACTCATCTATATGTACGAGTGTCAGCTGTACGTTCCGCCCCAAAATAGCATCACTATCAAGGTAAGAGAGCATTCTAAAGTTCCAACAGGTCCATCGCGGTATGACGTCGTAAACATCCCCGCCTTGAATTCCAGGGCTTTGACTTCAAGAGGCAATCGTCTGGAAACAGGTTCGCTGTTGGGCCGTCGCGACAGCCGAGGCCGAATTCCAACGACCAACGCTCTGACATATTGCACTTGTTCACCAGCCCATCCCCATGAACTTTGGGTGTCGAAGGACACAGCTATCGATCAAACCGGACGGGTCACCCCGACAGGTCAATTGAAACAATAACATTCGAAACTGCCTTGTGTAAATCTTGGAAGTGGGTAGGTCTATTAGTCATCGGCGAATATGATCATCTGATGAGTCATCGCGGTGTCCCATCCGATGTGACCGATGCCTACATTGGGACACAGCACCGCTATGGCATCCTGGTTGAATCGGTGCCGACAAATCCGAGGACCCATTTCCTGACCAAGTCGATCCAGGAAGTCCGCTGTGTGGATGTCATCGCGAGAATCAGCGAAGCCATGGAGATGATCGTTGCGACCAGGAAAAAGGTCCATATCGATGGGAAGTTTCCCTGAATTTCCGATACGTTCATTCCAAAGACACTTGCCACGAACGAGAGTGGTATGAAGAAGAAGGCCAGCCGAGTGAATCTACTGACCAGCTCTGCCTGATCGACTGACCGGCGAGCTTCCTCGATGCTGATCCGATTGATGAGTAGGCCACTCGCTGCTTCGCACCGACGCAGCAGACTCTGGCAGCGCACGCTGAGCTCATCGTAATCTCGCAGTAAATCCTTTCGAATCTTCTCCATTCGCAACCATTCTTTGTTTGAATGGGACTTGTCAGGCCAGGGCCATCCTGCACTTCCCTTATCGTCGGTAGTGTTCCGGTTGTCGGAAATGGCGCCTTGGAAGTTCTTGATCAGGCTGATATTGTACTGAAGCTGTGCCAATCCGCCCTGGAATTTTTTTGGCTTGACGCGTTGGCAATTATCAATATCAGCCTCTAGATAGTTCAGCAACTGATTCCAAGACGCTGCGGCCACCGCCAGTGTCCGTGCACATATCACGAATGGATATTTTCCTAACAGATCCTGGTCTTGGGTGCGAAAGCAAGCAAGGAGAGGGTGGTGCGGATGTATGAGATAGGTTTCCGGGATCTGGTCAAGTTCTCCAGGGATATCGAGGAATGAATTGCCGTCGAGATCATTGTAATCCACCACTAGCAGGACTTCAGGCTGTTGATCCTCGTCCACTAAGTATTTACACCACGGCAGTTCGACATCAGGACGTATTTGTACGCCTTTGCCGCGATCGATCAAGTATATTCCTATTCATAATCAGTCAAGTACCTTCAAGACGATTTCAAAGCCTTGCCTACCTGTCCAAAATCCATTCGCGACTTCCGCGACGCTGAAGGACACCAATTGCTCGACGCTGAAGTATTCGAAAGAATGTACGTTCACCTTCCGAAATCTCGTCGCCCCGAAGAGTCGTTTGTCCATTAAAATCTTTTCATACTCTAGAGTCATCTTGATGGCATTTTGCCTTTCCTGGGAAAGCTCTTCAAAGTCACTTCCAAGCGATGCTTTTCGCTTACCAGTTCGGAAGAGTCGTATGAATCGAATATGCACAATATTGTCGCGTCGAGAGGGGAGTGCAGGAAGTTCGAAAGAAGTGGGCTTTTGAATGACTGTTCGCTCGAGTTCCAGATGGCCCAATAAGAGTTCTGGACGTGGAAAGAACTTCTTTCCGAGGTGGCTGATCGTAGCAGGGGAGGGGAAACCTGACACGCATACAACGCGGCAACCTTGCTTTGGTTTATCGATATCGATGCTCTTTGGACCTTCATTCAGCTGGCTAGGATCAAATTCGATGCACGAAATCTCTCTCTCGCTAGCCTCTTGCGGCTGCTTGATGAAATTCACGAGCCGCTCCAGGTAAAATGTGGAATCCCGGTGAAATCTCTTACATGTCTCAAGATAGGTAATGTAGCCATTAGCCTCAGCGGACATCTTCTTGACCTTTTAAAATTCAACTATGAAGCTTTTGTAGTTACGCAAGATCCTGGCGCAACGTCAAGTTCAATAAGGTGTTGTGCAATCAGTGGTGCGTGATGTTTCCTGACGGTATTCGAGTTTTGGCTGGTGTGAAGCTTGGGGCAAAGATCCTTTACACTTCTGCACCTACTTCCTAGAGTCTGAAGTCCAGGCTCTTGGCTAATTATGCTTGTTGAGGGGGAATTGGTATGATTCATGCACGGTATGGGCGGCCAGGGCCTCTCGAGATCAAGATAGCTACGAAAGTTGTGGCTGTTTTTGTCGCACGTGTTTCCGAAAGTAGTCGACATGCTGCAGCCACACCACGCACTAATGCACTGTGTCGTAATCAGCTATGGTCCCAAGAAGACGATGAGCAAACTTCTGTGAGTTCACATGTTGACCTTCTAACTTCTACACGGGTGCACGGCTTCAGGCGCCTTGATTGATAATCTTCTGCACAAACTCACACGCAGGTGCGCTCAAATTACGCAAAAGGTTGTTGGTAGATATATCGTGACAATGTAAAAGGGTTTACTAATTCCAGTTCCCGAAGGAAGAAGCCAAATTTACATTTTCAGACGAAGTTGGACTTACGACTTTTGATGGGCAGGGAAGTTATCGCTCAATGTCATGTCCGTCGTGACGTCCGCCGTGAAATCAATTCGATGTGGCACAAGCGAATAGACACGACAAGCGATCTCAAACTCGATCGATATGTTGGAATAAACTAAATCGCCGGGATTCTTTCATCTCGACCAGCACATGACGACACTGTCGTAGTCGGCTTCCTTCTGCGCAGCGGTCCAGCCTTCCCCCATGCTCTTTTTCCTCAAACGTTCTGCATCTTTCAATGCCTCTTGACTTTCTGAGAACATATCAAGCCTTGCAAAGACTTGGTGTAGTTTGAACTTGGTACGAGACAGCTCAATATTATACGCTTCATCCTGTTGATACACTCCAACAGCTTGTTCGAGTGTTTCTCTGTAAAAATTTGTCAGTGATTTGTGACCGCAGTAAAGTATATGATTTGACGTACCTTGCATCTTCATATTCTTGCTTAGCTGTAATATCGCCCTCATTAGTACCAGCTGTGCCTCTAGCTATGCCGCGCCTCCAATGAAGCCATCCGATCTTGTACAGGGTATCCGCATATCGGTGATGATCGGTCCCGATGGTTGCGGACAGCATTTCTTTTGATGCTAGCTGCGCCTTCATCGCTTCATCCCACAGAGCTTGTCGCGCCTTGTTGTTGCCAAGTGTTTGATAGAGAATACCGGTTCTGCAGTCCAATGTTACTTCAGGCTCGCGTTACGTAGACTATCGGAACACTCACCGAAAGGATGTTGTATCTAGCGGCCCGTGGTGGCTCGCTCGCGCACTGATGACTTCAACGAGTACTGCTTCCGCCTCGGAGTATCTTTCTTGAATGTCCAGGCAAGTGGCTAGATGGTTTTCGTAAATTCCTCGTTCCGCATTCGGAAATTTCGCAGCTTCGGCCAGACACCGTTTGTAATGAGGCTCTGCTTTTTCTGGGTTGTTAGCGCCCATGTATCCGTTAGCAAGACCCCCAATGCTTAGTATCTCCCGGAAACTTGGACTGGAGATGAGACCTGCAGCCTTGGCTTTTTCTAAATACTCATTCTCTTTCCGGAAATTTTCCAACGCGCGGATTGCCTGGTTCGACTCAGTGTCTATCGAAGCTCGAGTGTAGTATAAATCGGCAAGATTCAGCTCAGAGCCTTCTGGGTATCTTTTGCAGAAGCGGAGAGCGTTCTCAAGCAATTTCTCGGCTGTCTTGAACAGTCCGCGCTCATAGCAGTACCTAGGCAATTCAGTAATGGCAAAGATACAACAAGATGGTATTTCTCTTACCATGCAGCACTGATGACGAGTCTTGCAAATTCCGGACCACTCCTCAGGGGTGTACTCTTCTCATCGAAAGTGCTGAGGCGATAACGCTCTGCTAGGTGAGCGATGTGATCGACGCCCTTCTCTTGGGCGTCCCAAAGACTAGAGTCATGGCGTTTTTCGTAGTTCTGGAACGGCCAGACGCACTGCAGAATTTCGCAAGCCATATCGAATGCTGCTTGGCTGTCCTGTGGGCTCATCCGAACATGTACATAGGATTGTGGTAGTCGATGCATTTGCATTTGTTTGGAATTAACCAGTCGCATCACTAAAGTGCTGTTGCTGAGATTGGTCCGCTCTCTACGAAAGGCTTGCTCGCTACGAAGCCAGTGAAGTCGCGTATCCGTACTCTTGGCGGCAGCTGCTGTGATCAGATCTTCCTGAATCTTGTCCGGATCGAGAAACGCAAGTATTTGCAAGAGCGTCATTGAATCCTTCGACAATGCTTCGAGCTTGTCATAATGGATTTTCCAGACGATCCTCAGACTGTTCCGGTACACACGAAAATTGGCAAGCTCAGCGAGGTTGCCTGAATTTTCGAAAAGCTCTTCGTTGGTAACTCGAGTAAGATCCGCTAGGGAATGAGATTCTGCTACAAGCAGTTCGCCCGCTGATGCTATGCCCAGTGCTAGGCATCCGAGACGATCACAAACAAACTTTGCTCGGCCGCGGTCTTCATCCGTTCCCGCGACTCCAGCGAACTTGAGCAATAATTCCACAGAATCGGCTTCGTCAAGGCGGCCTATTTCGCAGAAACTTCCAGTGAATGACGCCAGCGAGGCTCTAGAGCGCGCCGTCACCAAAATGGAGCCGTGATCACCACGAGGCCAATAGTCGTCTAGTATCGAGCTGTCTTCCGAATCTTCAGACATCTGGGCTCGTGAGTTGTACAATTTCTCTCCATCAGCGTTGTCGAATATCATGATCCAGGGACATTCTTTGGGATGTTAGTTCTGTGCGTAAGATGCCTATAAAGATATTCAGAAGCTTACCCAGCGATTTCAAGTGAGCTTTCACTTGTTCTCGAACAGCTTGATATCCAACCTTGGTCTTCGATCTCACTATACCTAGTCCTTCCGCAAAATCTGCAAAGCTGGCATTGAGCTTCACACGCGTGTCTGCTTGTGCCCAAAGAATGACCTGAAAAATATCGCGGCGCGACAAAACATACTCAAGCGCGGTTTGGGTCTTGCCCGCGCCACCAATGCCGTACAGAGCGAGTTCTCGTCGCTTTCCCGTTGCAGAACTCGGATCTAGGCAAAGCCCGATCTCTTCGAGCTTTTTCTTTCTTCCAGTGAATCGAGGATTGTGTTCGTATTGTTGTATGATGTGACAGTGCTGCGGTGTTGTGCTCTTTCTGGTTGGGATCTTTGTCGACCGAATTGGGAGGACTACATCTTGTTGTGGTTCAGAAGGAACAGATATGGCCTTGTCAACTATCGACAAACAAATTCGCGAGAGCTTCAACTCCAAATCCTTTTGCTGGCCAAGCGGGAAATCCGCAATGCTGGCGTAGTCGCCAGGCAAGCTGTGCAGCTCACTTCCGGGTCCCCTTTCCACATGAGCTTTCCCCATAATCTGGGATTTCCATTAGTGAACAATGTTGCAACTCGAAGATGGATTTGCTGGCTCACAAGTGACTTTTGCGTCTTTCGCAATCCAAACCAATGTCGAGACTTAATTTTCGTCAACTGCTCTACATAAGTAGAATGACAGTCGAAAGTCGGCGTGAGCTTTGATCGACTCTTCAAATTCTTTAGAATACGCTTCACGTCAGGAGTCAAAGTGGATTCCAAAGATGGAGCCTGCTTACGCAAGCCCAGCTCCGTCGAGAACGATTCCGTCAAGCAATTCGCAAGCCGTTCATGATTGACATCATCGCCGTAGCTTGGACAGCAGATGTATAGAACACCCGAGATCATGCGTGGGGTTTCCGAGTGGAGCGTACTAGAATTCGCAGAAAGTAGAGCCTGTCACTCAGTGAGATTGGGTTGATATCTGGTAGCGCTCTTTGCTTACATGGTCTAGTATGATGCCGCCGCCCACTCCTTGACAGCATATCACCAGCTTGGCATGTGGGCCTGCACTCTGCTGTTTCTTCTTTGTGTCCAATCCAGTCAGCAGGCGTTGAGACCACTCTCCGACAGAAGCGCTGCTCAGTGGCGATGTCTTGGCCAGACTGTAGTTGAATAACTCGACTTTACTGATGCGGGCTTGATCAAGAGACAGTGCCTTGACCCATTGCTCTTTCTCTGCTCTGGTCGGCCGTTGATTCACAAATCTTAGCCCTGGGAGAATTAGAAAGCTATGAGTGATTAGTAATGTAGTTTGTTTGCATGGTGAGCTGCGTACCAAGGTACTTACTGTATATGGTGGCCGCTGTTTGGTGTTTGCTGAGTCGAACTTTCAAACAGGGTCTCGAACGATGGTTGTGGCACGCTGTGTGACATTACTCCTCAGATGGCGTAGTTTGGCACGACTCTTTTTGGTGTCTTCTCAGCACCTGCAGCTTCTAGAAGGAGCAAAGGCAAGTGATTAGCATTGTATCCTCAGCCTTGTCTGCATAGAAGCACGATGTATCATGTTCTCACCCCGAGCTGTAAAGGACCCGATCGAGATCCTTTGCGTGATATCCGACAGAGTTTTGACGAGTTCAAATCAATAACCAGAGTCTGAGAGCGGAACGGCAAGATCGGAATCTTTCAGAGCAAGGCAGACCTTACAGCGCATACCGACCGAGGTATCCACAAGGAGCAGCTTCGGGAGGCCCCCCCCCTCCTTCGTCTGCACCATGCATGCACGCATGTAGCTTGCGTGCATGGTGGCGTATACAAGCAAATTTGTACCGAAAATATCATCAAGTGACGTCGAATTAGCATGATACTTTGCAGATGTGCCTACCATATCCCAGGAGTCCTAATAGGCGTGGGTGATGTGCAGTACATGACAGTCCGAAGGGTTTAGCATGTGAAGACTCGATCGATTGCGATGCGTCAGAACAGTCGAGAGCTCGTGGCGGCGCCATCACAGAGCTATCGTGTCTCACCGGTCGAGGTTGACCAAATCTAAATTGGCATAAATATGTCTTTCTTACGGTCGGATGAGTCGCAAGACGCTCATTACTTCATCGACCAAATTCCATCAACCCGAATCATCTCCAACGTGCCTCTTTGACCCAGTATGTTTCACGCGCATGGAAGCTCCCTTTCAGAACTGACCTTCTCAGAAATGAAGGACAGCACTCCATCCCAACCATGGAAAGCCTGGTACGTGCCGGACAAGACTGCCACCACTGAGACCAAGCATGTGGTTGCAACCTACGACGACAGTCAGAATGGTCAAGCTCCGAATTTGCCTGTTGCCGTGGTCCATAAAAAGTGAGGCCCAGCTCGCGACATACTGTGGACACCAGCTGTAAGTGAACTCGACCTTTGATCCCAACCTCAATCTATCACGACTGAAACCACTTCCATGCAGACTTGTTTCGAACTCGAGCTATCATTGGCAGTCTCTGTAAATACTGAACGAATGATAACGTACTGTTGAATGAAAACGTTCCATTAAATTGTGAAAATCAACACATAATGTAACGCTGTGTAAATCGTTGTCAGTAGTATAGGTAGAAGAAGAATAGGAACACGTAGAGGGATTATGCCTCAGTAGAATGCAGCAAAGCGAACTTCAATGCTTTCACGTAAAGGACTGTTTGCGTCCGCAATCGGGTTTCGGAATGATCCATGAAAAGCCCCTAGACCATATTATCAGCGCACGTGGCGAGTGTGTTGGACAAGGTCAGCGTACTTGGACGGAAATCATTGGCGTCTGCGTTCCGCCACAGCCAAACCTCGTCCATGCATTGGTCTTGCAGGTAGAACCATCGGTGTCCCAGGCTGTGCCGCAAGAAGCAATTTTCGCCATAGCCATTCGTATATACGACATCGTTTTTGATCGGATCTTGCGCATTGATCGACTGATAATCACAGAAGGCGAGCGGCCAATCCGGCGTCGTGGTACGCAAGAGCCGCCATACGCTGTTCTCATCAGTGAACATTCTCGTCACGAGACTTCTGGTTGGGACATTGAAATCTGACGCTCACTTTAGCACATCATAGTCCTTTTGCAATAACTCATTGGCAAGCTCCGGTCTGTCACTGAGCGATCCTCGGATCTTGATTGCCGCTCCATATGGCGTGAAATCAACGTGAGCGCGCTCGTATGGTTGGGCGTTGGCAACCGTAGTACCTACTGCATCTGGGTAAACTGGCGAACGCTTCCTTATCTTGTCCGAAGGTCAGATGTAGATCTGAAAAATAAGCCATCAGGCATACCTCATAGTCAAACAGAACTATGTAATTATACCGCGGATATTGACGTAGAACGGCATTCTTAATTTCCTCGAAGTACTTCGTTCGCACGGTCGACGCAGACATGAAGTCTTGATATGACAGGCGTGTAGGCATCGTAAGGTAAGTGAATCCTTCCGTGTCAAGATCAGGCTTAGCGAGCACGCGCAAATTCTGAATTCGAGTCCTTTTAGAGACCCACGCATGATTGGTGACTTCGGCACCCGGAATGTGGTCTACCGGGAAAGTCGTGGTGTAGGGCTTCTCGGACTCAAATTTGGCATCGCGGGAGAAGTATCGAATATGCGTGGTGACTGCCATGGTTATGCTCTGATCACCCTGACACGCAATCTCGACATCTTTAGAGACTTTTATAGCATGGATCTGTTCCTTGTAGCCATCTGGTCCGGAGGATGTCGGCGACGCAACTGTCTCGTCGCGTTCACGAAATGTCCATCAATTCCGCAGGTCCGAGGAGCAAGAGCTACCAACGAGTACGTATCTTTGCTATAATGAGGGTGTGAACAGCCCGCGCTGTCATGACCCATGTTGCGATTGCTTTTGTCGCACGGTATGCGAGCGATGTAGACATCACCTCATGAACAAGGTGTGCAGTCGGAAATAAAGCCCGACGTGGGTAAGGGTTTCAAAGGTTGCTTTTACAGTACGTTAGTACTGCGGATATGCAGAGCCGGGAGAAGTCGCGAATCGCGATGTGGTGGCTTGGAAGCTACATCGGCCCAGCACCAGGATCCCGCGCCAGTCGTGCATGCGTCTCCGGACCGGTGAACGCTACCTTCAGGTACATTCGACCGGTGAGTCAGTGAGGCGTCGATCTGGTGACAAGGTCCCACATGTTGGAATTCTCCAGTCGCTGGTTGGGCAGAGATAACACGATTGACCAGTCGCACCATGGGAAATTTAGACCACCCCACCCCACTTGTCATCGACTTCGTTCGCGACTGGCTGGCGACTGCCGAACATTGCGTTTAGTGACTCGCACCTCATCAGGCGTGCGCCGGGACCCATAATCAATGTGTTTCACTATTGTGCGATAACAGAAAGAAGTCGATGAGTCTGAGGGGTCATCGGGGTTTCACGACCGGTGAAACTGGTGCGATGCATGGATATCCCGGCTCCGCACTAGTGCGGATCTTTACTTTGAGTGACTTCAAAGCTTCCTTTGACCCATCTCCGTCGCTTTCACCTGTCGAGACCACTCGTAGCAGAGACATGCGGCCTCGATGAGGCGCTTCCATGGTCAGACATGTAATCTCGTGCTACCACGGTAAGGCGTACGGCATAGCCACTGTACTGAGCGGTCAGCCTGGCGGATGAGCCAACATCGTGCCACCTTTCATTTCCGTGAGACTCATCGCTTATACTCGGTCATCCCGAGCTCGATGGCTAACCTGAACAAAATTTTCGAAGATGCCTGCGCTTCAGCTGGTGCGAAATTGGTTTCCGCGCTCGTCACTGAGCAAGAGCAATTTCGATAGGCATGCCGCGCGACATCTTTCACAGAGCTCGGCACAGAGCAAGCACGCTCTCAACGATCCAGCTATCAGCACGTCAACAACTCCTGCCCCACAGATCCCAGATAATTATGTGTGGCCAAGTTCAAAGAAGGATGCGCAGTACTACAAGAGACCTCGGTGTGAGGTTGGTGAACTCATAGATAGCTTGCTTCCGCACGACTGACGTCTTCAGGCCTTGATTGAAGATTTGGGCGTTGATTCGTCGACTGAATTGCCTATCCGTGTGCTCGTGGTGCCCGCATCTGCGCTGCGCTCACTGCAGTCGACAATTGAGAACTTCTTCAAGATTGACGACGTCGTCTCTCCCGCGTTTCTTCGGGATGCTTCCATCATCGTTCCATTCGATACTCATACAGCCGATCACGAGATTGAATGCAACTTCCCCGATGAATCTTGGCGGCCACAGCAAATATTTCGCTCAGCATTCATCTCAGAAGTTCCTCCCGGGCCATACTTCCTGGTCGGCAAGAGACTGCATCAAGCATGGAGGTTGTTTCCCGACCATCTAGACTCATTCGTCTGCGGTGTTGTACCAAACGACACCAGTCCTGGAGACACGGAATCACAGATGTTTGATACGCTATGCTTGAGCCTTGGGGTCTTCAAGGCTATCGCTGTCCCTAGCAGACTATTCTACCCCAAAACTGCTGACAAGCCGCTCAATGGCCTTCGGATCACTGTGAAAGACAATATCAAGGTCCGTAATGTCCAGACTACACAAACAAATCGAGCCTGGTGTCAATGGAAGAAAGTGGAGGCGGAAAACGCATACTTCGTCCAGCATTTGGTCGAACTAGGCGCTATCGTGATTGGCAAGACAAAGATGTGCTCATTCGCATCATCCGAGGAAGCTACCGATGGCTGGATAGATTTCCATGCTCCATTCAATCCGAGAGCCGATGGTTATCAAAGCTCCTCTGGAAGTACGACCGGCGGTGCGACCTCGTTAGCGGGTTATGATTGGGTAGATTTCTCGCTAGGTACTGACACCACAGGGAGTATTCGATGGCCAGCCGCATGGAACGGAGTCTTTGGCTTGAGATTGACTCATGATCCCCTGAAGATGGCCGGCATTTATCCCGCTTGTCATCCATTTGACGCAATCGGATTCTTGGGTCGAAGTCTTCGAAGTTTGCAGGAAGTCGCAGAGGCAAGTCTTGGTGCAAAGAACCATGCCGTCACCATTCCAAGGAGGATTCTAGTTTCGACCGACTTCCATCCTTATGGCGATCAATCGTACCAGGCCATGATACAAGAATTTATATCCGTGCTTGAGAAATCTTTGGACATCAAGAGCACACCCATCAGCATCGCAGATCTATGGGCATCGTGTCCACCAGAGCAGGCCGACAGCAAGTCATTGAAGGACTATATCAAAGACACTGCATTCAAGCTGTTCTATTTTGATGGATTTCGTGAGTTCGCCGACTTCAGGGAGGGCTACCAAGCGCAATTTAAGAAAATGCCATATGTCGGCCCGTACATGAGATGGAAATGGTAAGTCGCATGAAAAAGGTGAGAGAGACATTAGCTGAGATAGGTGATATGCAGGGAACAAGGGAAGAATATTTCCCGAGAAGATTATGACCAAGCTCTGGATGAACTCAAAGTGTATCAAACCTGGTTTCAGGCGAATGTGATGCGCAGTGCTGCCGCGAGTCCACCAGATACGATCATCATCCTTCCGTGCGGACCCACGGAGCCAAAGTATCGTGATGATCCCAACAAGTGAGACCTTCCGAGAGACGCACCCGCAGAGAAGCTGACCCCCTATAGGCCACCAGCGTCAGTGGCTGCTTGGAGCCTAAACTACGTAGCGTCAATGATTGGATTGCCGCAGCTCGTCCTGCCATGTGAGTCAAGGACACGTCATAGTGTACAAATCTGCAAGCCTGACATAGCGGAATGTACAGTTGGACAGCTCCCATATGAATCGCGAGTGAGTGGCCGTAGAGAACATCTGCCGGTGGTAGGAACGATCATAGGCCCGAGAGGTAGGGATTGTATCAACGGCACCCACATTTTCTTACAGTCCAGCAGCTGATAACTACCCATAGGCAGCGATCTACACTTGATCAAGCTCGCAACTGAGGCGTTCGATCGTGCAGGCTGGCCTACTCAGGTCGAGACAGGTCCGTACGCCTTTCCATTAGGCGAGAACATACGCAACGTCAAGGATCTACTGCCCTCGGCGGCAAGTTGCGAGAGTTTCGCCGACTCCGTGATGCAGAGTGAGCCCGCTTGCCGTCATCTGACGAGAGGCGTCTCCGAGTCCCCACCTCGTGAAGCATCGGTGACGAACTGGATGTTAGCCGTGTAGAACTCCCCTTGCATCTACCGTTGAGGAGCGTAAGCCCTCCGGTTCAATTCGCCCCTCTCCTGACAGAGTATACGCCATCTGTCTCATTGTCAACGGTTCTTGGTGGAAATTTCATTTTTCTCGGTCGATCGGCGTATTCTGTACGATCTGATCGCATTTTTGGGCGGGCGGCCTTCTGCTAACTTTTGCATCTCACGTCGGAATACAGCAGTCGTGATAAAGATGAACGATGACCACGAAGGTTGTGAATATTGAGCACTTGACAATTCACATCATTCTCAGGCGCATTAACTCGCTTTCTTGGTCCTCACTCACAACAAATACCTCTCGAACTTTCTGTATTCCGAGTTCAAATCGCCACTGGCGAATGTATACAACTCTGAAATGATGTATGGAAATGACGGTCTTCCCCCGCTTTGATTCATGGGTATTTTCGCTTGCCCACCTGGGCAATTGCATGGTTTAGGGTTTTCTGAATGCCCAACTTTCGTAAGCTTTGTTGTGCCACGTGCGGAAGGGGTCCGATACCAAGCATATCCGGATCTGCTTGGCATTATCTCGCTCGCTGCTCAAGTGGAATGGGAAGAGACGATCTACTCTAAATTTGCGAAATCATCAGCAGCAGTGGGCGAATCATCCTCTCGAGTCTTACTCAAGATGTGGGCCGAGCCAGTCGGGAACGGGGAATGCTTCAGCTCGAGACCACTCCACCATGTGGTTAGGTTTCATACAATCGCCGAATGTGACCATAGTGCGCCGGTTGGAGCAGAATTACCGTTTGCCGAGCAAGCAACTCGACAAGATTCACATTCGCGGTTCACGAGAGGCACCAATGCAAGATTCGCTTCACAGTAAATAGGATGAATATTGATTGGCATTCTGCATACGCTGCGCCATCCCCGCCCTCTGAGGGTCCAGTGGCGTACGCTACGTGCCCGAGGGATTCTTCAATTTTTCGCACCGTTGGCAGTCATCTCCGCCTAACAAATCCCTTGCAGCCTGCGATTGCTGTTTCTGAGTGACTGTCGATGGAAAAACATATACGGAGACTTTCCTTCTCGAAACACACAGTGAGAGCTATTTAACATGAGAGTCTTGCGAAGTTTGCCACAGCCAACATGCACAACAGTGGAGGAACAAGAGACCTGACCAGAAATAAGCACTAAAAGCCAAGAGGCGGGGACGGACCTCCAGGGCTGCTCTCGAAATCTAGGCTTCGGCAGCTTGATTAACCTCCGGGCAGCATTTGAGCTTTGATACTCCATGTTCTCTGCAAAGACTCAACATCATGACAGGATCTGGAGCACAAGGACTTACATACACACTTCAAGACGTAACGTTGACCGTCAATGGTGGAACCAATGATGTCGAGTGATGAAGATGGTAAACCCTCCGTCGTTCCGGGCAGAGACAATCAGCACGATTTAGCCTTTTCTGACTTCGGCTGATCGTGCGTTGGGTGCGTTAGTGCGGTCTATCCGCACAGCCGGATCAACGGCTGCCACGAAGGACCGGCGATAGGAGTGGAGAGACAAGGAGACCCTCGCTGTCCCTCCGCCGATCTTGAAATGTCGCAAAATCGTCTTTCTGGATGATGCGATCAACGGTTGCGGCGGCGACGCCATGCGAAAAGCTACCAGCAAATCAGCGCGAGCGAAATGTGATGCAAGCTCTCTTCTGTCTTCGCAGTGGGAAAAAGAAGTTTCCTCGTTGTTGGTATCGTAACAATCTGTGGACAGTTTGAACGTTGAAGGATCAAGCTCTTTTTAGCGGTCCTTCCGAGTTATTTCCTTCCGACCTGCTGTGCTGCGCCGCCATTCTACAGTTCTGGACTGCATTGGCCCTCCTGCGTGCGTTACATATCTTCAGAGGTCGCGCGCCCACGTTATTCCATACTTCGACATCTTTCACGGTTTTATTTCCGACTGACGCGCATCCCGCCCGTCGCATCCAAGGGCAGTGCGATAACGTTCGGCGTTGTGCGAGGAACTGTCAACCATTGAGTAACAGACCGTCGTCGCGTTGTACTCGCCACCATCGCGAATAGCCCGCGAGCTGGAATATCACCAATCAGAGGAGCATAGCGCGACAGCGCGAGAGATCTTATCCACGGCTCCAGGTTTTGCGCGCGCAGATACGAATATACCATCCAAGAATGACGACGCAAACCGCGACAATGACAGCGAACGCCGCGTCGCAAAACGACATCCAAGTCGCAGACTCACAGAATCTCTCAGAGAAACCTCAACTTCTCAACCCGAGCGTTACCATAGATTCGGCCTCTTCGGACGTGGAGGATCCTGTCGCGGCTGCACAGCGGCTACGGAGAATCACTAGGAAAGTCGATTGGCATGTTCTGCCATGGCTGTTCGCACTTTGGCTGTTGGCATTCATTGATCGGAGTAACATTGGTAAGAATTCAAAACATTCCTAGGATTTGTGAATTGATCAGGGTCGGGAGACATTTTCGAGACGAAGCGACAAGCAATGAGCTTGTAGACCGCTTCTGTTTTCTTCCTAATTTGTATCCTTACATGTCGCCCGTATCTTTCACAGTAAATTTAAATACTAACGCTTTTCCCACCACAGGAAATGCCAACATCTCCGGTCTCGCAACGGACCTCAAGCTCACAGGAACGCAATACAACACCGCCCTGGCCGTCTTCTATATCCCTTACGTCCTCGTCGATATTCCGTCAAATTGGCTTCTTCGTTATGTCGGCGGTGGCCGCTACATCCCACTGATCGCGCTGAGCTGGGGTGCTGTGGCCGTCGGACTGGGCGGTGTACGAGACTTTGGCACTTTGGTCGTCTGTCGAATGCTGCTTGGCCTCTGCGAGGGTGGCATGTTCGGCGGCTGCATTCTGTATCTGAGCTCTTGGTATCCTCGCCACGGGCTTCTTATGCGTATGGGAATCTTCTACTGTGCGGCGCCTCTCAGCGGAGCCTTTGGAGGTCTTCTGGCAACAGGACTCTCACAAATCCAGACCCCGAACTATGAAGGATGGAGATTCATATTCTTCGTCGAGGTAAGATTCGTCCCGGTGCTGTGGTTTATCGGTATCTCGATACTGACCTTGAGATTTCAGGGAGGAATGACGATTCTTGTGGCAGCGGTGGCGTTTTTCTTCCTACCGGATGAGCCACGCACTGCAAAATTCTTGACTACCGAAGAGCGAGAGAGCCTTGTCTCATCGCTTGGCAGAGATCTCTATGGCTCTGAAGCCGTCACCGGTGGAAAGGACGAAATGACCAAGGAGGAGCATTTCAAGTGGGCAGAGGTAAGCAGTGATTTTCCACGCGTCAAACCCAGCTTTACAAGTTCGGGAGCGGTATCACCTTTCGCGCGAGAGCCTCTTTGTTTCATGTATGAAGGAAGAGACACAATCACTGACTATTGTTTCTCTTTCCAGGTCCGACCTGCCCTCATCAACGTCAACACTCTACTCATGAGCTTGAATTTCTTCCTCATCCTGATTCCAATCTACTCCTTCTCCCTCTTCCTCCCCAGCATCATCAAAGGGCTTGTCAGCAAGGACACACCGATCACCACAACCCAGCTCCTAACCGTGCCTCCCAACGCCCTCGCCTTCCTGACCGTCCTCCTCGTCTCCTATCTCAGCGACCGCTACGCGCGCCGGGGGATTTTCCTCCTCATCGCCTTCACCTGCGCCGGAATCGGCTACATCCTTCTCCTCGCCCTGCCTCCCACCGGCGGCGCCGTCGGACCTCGGTACTTCGCGACCTTCCTCATCGCCGCCGGTGCCATCCCATGCAGTCCTCTCGTGCTGGCGTGGCTGAGCAACAACCTCGCCCCGGCCACCACCCGCGCAACGGGTCTAGGCTTCCAAGTCGCAGTGGGAAACTGCGGCGCGTTCGTCGCGACGTTTGCGTATTTCATGCAGGACGCTCCGAGATTTCTGACTGGCCATGGGATTTGCCTGGGCGCGATTGTCTTGGCGATGATCGTCACCGCGGGGAATATGTGGTGGATCAAGCGGGAGAATATGGCCCGGGAGGAAGGCCGGAGGGCGTTGCCGGGGGTGGTGGCGGTTGTGGGTGCGGATGCGGATGCGGTGGAGGAGGAGAAGAGGATCAGAGAACTGGGTCATCAACATCCTAGATTCAGATTTACGATGTGAGATGCTTGAAACCGCGAGCATCTGTCTCGATCGGATTTGGCTGCGATCTGATACGTACTGTGTCTCATGATGGAAATGATGATGGATATGTTCAGAGAGTGCCCGAACGCTGTATCGGGGTATCAAAAAGGGCGTTGATCAAAACGTATCGTCCATGCCTTGCGCTCGTTTCACCAAACTCGGACTCGCCTCCTCCTCGGTCAGAAAATCATTGTCATCGTCGTAGTCATCCAGCACCAGCCTTCCGTATCGTCCCGTCAATTCACGACCCTCATCAGCGCCGAGAACACTGCTCCCACCTTCGATTTCGTCCGTGGCATCGGCACCCGCCGTCATCAACAAATCATCAACAATTCGTCGACTCGCTTCCCGCGCGGGCGTCTGCAGAAGCCGGGACTGCGGGACGTGGAATTGCATGGTTTTGGGCGGACTCATGTCGAATTGAGACGTGGTTGTATCATCGCCGAGATAACGCTCGTCTTCGAAATCGATGTCGTCATCGTCGTGCTGAAATGCGCCTGTACGGTTACGAGGTGTCGCATGCACAGAGCCACCTTCTCGAGCTGTCAGGTCGCCCTCGGCTGTGAGGTCGTCAAACGAAGCGTCATCTTCGTCGTTGTCGCCATAGCCGGCTGCTCCGGCATCCGCGCTAGAGAAAATGCTGCCACGCCGAATCGCGCTGGCTTTGGTCGCGGCGTATGTCTTGTCCTGGGGCGAGAAAAGCCTTCGGCCAGTCGACGTGGTCGGTGCGACGAGTCCGCGTTGATGCGATCTTCCGGCGCCAGGCGTGAGCACGGAGCGACCAGGGGTGCGCTTTGCCGGCGAGAAGAGTTCACTGCGGAGCTGAGGTGCTGCAATTATCGGAGAGGAACCCGGTGAGTCATCCCATGGCTTCCTTGCTGCTGATGAGGCAGTAGGGGTTGCGCGAGTGGCAGTTGTATTCTTGGCGCTATTCTCAGCACGGCGACGTCGTTCGGTGTGTGGTGTAGCTTGCACGCGATAATTCTTGTCCAGCACACGATGCATCAGTGGATCGGTATTTTGCGTACGCGTTGAGACTGGTTGGCCTTGCTTGAATGCCGAGGGCTGATGAGCTGATTCGGGTTCGAATGGCGACGACTGCAGTAAAGTAGATGTCGGAGCATTTCCCCGAGGTGTGCGTGGTTGTGTCGTTTTTGTCTTTCCCGCGCGAGAATTTTGACCAGTATATTTTCGTGGTGAAGGCGAGTGTATATTCCCGCGCATAGCAGTACGCGTGGCGGAGGATCTCGCTTTATTCGTGCTGGACGGCGGTAGGCGAGGTGTTGTATGTACTCCAGTAACTTGTGAAGGAGATTCGATCGTGTACTCCTCATCATCATCGTCCCGTAGCTCTGTGTCGATCTCGATATCATCGTCGTCTATGCTATGCGACGCATCGATCCCGGACTCGGATTGAGTAGGCGTCTGTAGGGATTCGTTCGTTTCCGTCTGAGTGACATCGTCTTCGGCCGGCTCTTCGTAGCCAGACAAAGAGACATTGGCTGAAGCCTCGAAGAATTGTTTCCAGAACTATGCAACCACATGTGTCAGCATCTCTTTGTTACCTGATCGAGATAGTGGTATATTCCAATCCCTCACCTTAGATCCCTCCCAGACGGCATTGCTGTGTTTGGCGTGCTCTTCGACAATGGGTAGAATGCTCGCGGTGACAATGCGATGCGCCTTGCTGAAATTGCTGTCGATCTCCTGCAATGTCAAGGTGATTTGCTGTTCCAATCTCTCCAGCTCTTCAGTCAGAGTCAACGATCTCTGCGCCATGATTGAATCGGCGATAAGCTCGCCGCTGTCGTTTGTCTCTGAGTCGATTGATCACGAAATCTACGCGTGTGAATCAATTTGGACATTGGGAAGACGCGGGGCACAATAACTCGATGTCAGGGAGTCTTGATGCCTGAGGCGCATATCATGAATGACTGGACAGTTCTTGTGTCGGCGCAACGGCGTCGGACCCTACGAGGACCGCACTGTACATGAACTGATGATCAAACACTTAAATATCGTCACGGCTGATCGAAATACCGCTGGGATCACGCAGGCGCGAGTCTTGATAAATGGAACATATCCATGGATTGATTTGATTATTCTGATCATCTCGTCTCCCTGTGTTTGACACTTGCAGCATACGGCTTGAAATCCAGAAGGACGATCATTAGAAACATAGTTCCCGAGGCTCGAGTCCTTGGCAATTGCTGGGACATAGTTTGACGAGAGCCATGAGATGATTTCGGTTCGAGCAACCTTTTCTCTATTGAATACTTTTCAGTATGCCTTTTCGGATGCATCATTTGCTATGCATTCTCGCAGCATTCTCGCAAGCGGCGGCTTCGTATCACGAAGGAGTCGGAGTTCTTCGGTATGTGAATCCGAAAATCGGCACGTTCGGTGTCACACCCAATGGCAATGGCGGCATGATCCCGTCCGTGTCGCCTCCATTTGGAATGACAAGGTGGACACCACAAACACGAGAAGTATGTCCAGGCGGGAAATATGCGTATTACATTCCCCTTGCTAATGCCAATGCCTTATAGAACTTCATAAGTCAATGTCCATACAATGATCTCGATCATTTCATCCATGGCTTCCAAGCTACGCATCAACCAGCCATCTGGATGGGTGAGAGTGGCCAGGTAGTCCTCACGCCGGGCCTCGGAGATATTCGGCCACTCTTCGTAGATCACGCTCATGCTTTCAAGAAGTCCGATGAGATCTCCACTCCCTACGTGTATGAAGTGACCATGGACGCCGAAGCAGTGACATCGGGTTACAATTTGACGGAAAGCATTTACAGTCCTGTTCCAGGTGGTGCCCAACCAGTTCCGGGTGATGTCCGTGAAGGCGCCAACGGTCGAACGCGAAGAGATGAACCCGCAAGGATCTATCAGGAATCGAATCCTCGATTCGAAAACCTCACCATACACACCGCGATGACAGCGACATCTCATGTCGGGCATCTTCGCTTCGACTTTTCTAAGCAAGTCGCCTCCGGATCTACAAAGCATCCATATATCTTCGTTCAAGCAACACGACAGAATTGGACTGGTCATATCAACATCGATCCTACTAGACGCGAGGTCTCGGGTAGCAATACACAGAGACAAGATTACGCTTTGGGTCCTGATCGTGCGCCAGGATTTGCATCGTATTTCGTCTCGAGATTCTCCGAAGCGGTTGTGGCTTACGGCATTACGTATGGTGATTATGTTCAAGATGGAATGTCGGATGGCAGCGGGACACATCTCGGTGCCTATGTCAAATTTGCTGAGACGGCCCATCGAGTAGAAGTACGAACAGCTATCTCCTTCATCAGCATCGAACAGGCCAGGTTAAATCTGGAAATCGAGGCACCCGATTCAAAATCCTTCGACACGGCTGTTGAAGAGCTCAAAAGCGATTGGCTCGAGAAATTGAATCGCGTCACAATTGAGGGTGTGAACGAAACGTCTAGCGAACACGACCCTCGAACGATCTGGTATACAGGTCTCTTCCACGCCCTCCAGTATCCCGCGGACTTCTCCGAGCCGACCACTTCGGAAAAGAACGGTCTGCGGAAATTCTACAGCGGCTACACTGACAGCGTTCATTCCGCCTACGACTCCTACTATCAATCCTGGTCCATCTGGGATACGTTCCGCGCCGAGCATGGTCTACTCACGCTCTTCGCTCCAGAACGAGTCAATAGCATGGTCCGCTCCCTCCTCCTGATCTACGACTGGACCAGCCGCTTGCCAATGTGGGCCAACATTGTCGAGACCAACATAATGATCGGCACGCACGTCGATGCCATCATCGCCAACGCGCTCTCACGAGGTTTCAAGGACTTTGACTTGATTAAAGCATGGCAGGCCGTGAAAAAGAACGCCTACGAGCCTCCACAAAACGACACAAATCTGCTTTATTTCGACCGCGAGGGTTTCACTCCCGCTGAAGCCCGCGCCGGTCTTACATCGTACATGTCGTCTATAGGCTACGTGCCGAACGATAAATGGTCCGAGAGCGCCTCTCGTACCCTGGATTACGCCTATGACGACCACGCCGCGTCCATCGTCGCTACCTGGGCCGAAGACGGCGAGAGCTCGGAGCATCTCCAGCACCGCAGCCAAAGCACATACAAGAACATTTTCAACGCCGGCACGGGCTTTTTCGAAGCGCGGAACTCCAACGGAACATGGGCAGGTCCATCCCAAGGCTGGTGCGAAGGCAACTCCTGGACCTATCTCTTCAACGTGATGCACGACCCAACAGGCCTAGCCACCCTCCTCGGCGGACCCGCGGCCATGAAGCGACAACTCGACGCCTACTTCAACGAGGGCCACAACGACCATACCAACGAGCCCTCCCACCACATCCCATACCTCTACACCGCGATAGGACATCCCGCCTCTACGCAAAGACTGGTCCGGGAAATCGCCCACCAGAACTACAACGCGACGCCCGCGGGCCTCAGCGGGAACGAGGATCTCGGGCAGATGAGCGCATGGTACGTGCTGAGCGCCATGGGGTTCTACCCGCTCGACCCGGCGGGGGACGAGTACATCGTGAGCTCGCCGTTCTTCTCGAAGATGACGATCCGCTTCCCCGCGGGCGCCGCGACGGGGGGGATGGCCCATCGGGGAGCAGGCGACGGCGGAGAACACACTCTCGTGATCTCGGCCCCGGGCGCGGAGAAGAGGGCGTATGTCAGGAGCCTCGAGGTCGATGGCGTGAGGGTCGCGACGCCGAGGTTGAAACACGGCCAGATCGTCACGGCGAGGGAAATCCTCTTCGAGATGGCGGAGACGCCGCAGGATTGGGGTGCATATTAAACGGCAGTGACCGAGCAGACGGACGGCGCGTGAAAGCGGGTAATCTTTAGAAGAGAAAGATGGTGGAAATTCTCCAGTCTGGACGCCTGCGAAAAGGACAGTTCCGGAACGAGACAGATCGACAGCCTCTGAGTCCCCAGTGATGTGTAATTGTATAGGAAGAAATGCCAGTCGCCTCCAACGTCGTCATGCGCTTCAGAACCAGGCGGAAGGGAGGGGAGAAAGCTTCAATCGACGAGAGACACCGATTTGCGGAACAGAAAGGATCGGAACAGAACTAAAATGGGATTCAATCGTTCATCAGAGCTAAAAGAACATCATCAACAACAACGGTGAAGAAGAAGAAGAAATAAGGAGAAAAAAAAGCAAACAAGAAACCACCAAATCGCTCTCGCCCCCCAATACAGCCCAATTTCGTTCAATCTCAAATACAAAACCCATTCTACATCGGACTTATTCATCCGCAAAGACCCGTCCCTGCCACTCCACCATCCTCATGATGGCCTGGCGCTGCGCTGCCATATCGGTCATTTCGCGCTCGATGCTCCTCGGGCGCATGATGGTCGGGGCGAAGACGACGGCGAGGTTCAGCGCCGTCATCAGGTTCGTCGAGTCGTGGCGTTGGACGGTGGCGAGATGTTGCAGGAGGAGCGCGAGGACTTGGCGGTGGGCGGAGGGCAGGGCTTGGACGGCGGCGCGCAGGGCGGAGATGCTGGCGGCGTTGGGGTCGAAGGTGCTCTCGGCTTCGGAGGAGGCGGAGGAGTCGCTCGAGGTGGTGGAGGCGGCGTCGGAGGATTCCTTTGTGAGGGCGGCGGAGGGGGTCGTGGTTGTGGAGGAGGAGGATGGGGGCGGAGCGGTGGAGGCCGGGATCTGGGCGGCTTCGAGGAGGCGGTCGTAGACGTCGTAGGTGATTAGCGGGGTGGGGAGTTTGCGGAAATATTGTTTCAGGGCAGAAGTGACGGAGTGGATGTCCGTGTCGGGGTCGGAGAGCAGTGGGGCACATGCGAGGTAGTCCCGCTCGAAGGCCTGTTGGATCTGTTTGACTTGGCCGGCGCCGCCCGATTTTCGGTAGATGCCTTCGACTTCTAGACCGCGGGCTTCGACTTGGGCGATGCAAATGCTGACGAGATGGGGAATGGGTCGGCCTTCGAAGGCGCACCGCGCAGAGAGTTCGCTACCAAAGAGGACTTTGCCGTCGGCGGCCGAGACGGGAGTAGATGGACCGTTGGATGTGGCATTCAGGGCGAGATTGGTGCCACTGTTGTTCTTGAGATGGCCCAGGCCAGTTCCCGATCGCGCTAAACCACCAGGACCAGCATTGCCATTTTTCCCTCCAAAGAATCCGAATCCAGCCTTGCCGTCATCGGAAGCATTAGCCTGTTTGTTTGCGCTGGCATTTCCGTTACTGCCGTTGAGGGTAGTTCCGACACCCCCTGGGCCGAATTCGGTGGGACCACCGGTCTGTTGCGTGGCACCATAAGGCAGACCGATGGAATATTGCTGACCATTGACGGACGTGGTTGTTGTTGGCTTGTCACCCACGAAAGCTCCTTTGATACCCTTGGTCACGTTCTTGGCCATCTTCTCTCCACCACGTCGCCAGTTAAATTTCTTCGGCGCTGCGGCTTTCCGGATGTTGACCACTTGTGGAACGGTCAGAACCGTGGCTGCTTCAATTTCACCGTCGTACTGCGGCATGGAATCCGTGTGTGCCAGGCTTATGTTGCGAGTGTCGGATGAAGCATCGGATTTCGCTCCTGCAGGATAAATACCCAGCCCACTGGTGGTTGTGCTTGTTGGCGTGCCAATAGTCGCGCTGCGATTGTCCTGGTAGACGCCCTGGATATTCCGCAGCAACTCGTTGTTGTGTTGAACCAGTTGCGTATTCTTGCTTGACAAACTCTCGTACTCCTGGAAACCCTTGTCCTTCATTTGGATGAGGCTACCAATTTCCTCGGTCAACTCATTCCGTTTGTGCATCAGATCCTCAATCTGCCCAGACATGGTGTCTTTAAGTTTCTGCAGCGACTCTGCAAAATCTTTCAAGATGTTTGTCTTGAGCGAACCCAAGTCGAGCGGTTGCCGGCTGTCTTTGGCCTTGTTGAGATGGTTTGTCATGACTTCCAATTCCCGGACGACCATCTCCCTTTGCGTGTCCAGGATGGCCATCGTGGAGCGCTTTTCGCGGAGTTCCGTGTTGACCGCTTTGATGTCGCTGGACCCATTCAATTTCTCCTCCAACGCCATCTTCTCCGCTTCGAGACTGGCAATGTGGGTCTGCGCGCGACGCAAAGATGCGCGCAAAGAATCGACGGCGTCTACGCCAGTCGATGGCGATGTGATGGTGGGTGTAGCGACAGAATTAGGGGAGCTGATGTCAACGGACGAGTTCAGCGGCGAACCCTTGTTCGCATAGCTGACCGAACGCTCGCTGAAGCTGCGGCCATGCTTGACAGCATTCGACACCCTTCGTAAAACGGATTGTGGTTTCTCCTCGCCGCTCTCTCTCTTTTCACCACGCATGATGCGACCCATTTCGTCTTCCATTGAAAAGCCTCCGTCAAATTTGAGGAACGCAGGACCCAGCAGCGACGGTGACAGTGGACCTTCCAATGACGCCCTCGGGTCCTCGCTCTGCATTGTGCTGATTGATGCATTGTTGCGGTGCATTTGGATTGCTGGAGGCGCTGGCGGCGCTGGCGGCGCTCGAGGGGCGGTGAAATTATCGTGCGAAGTTGGCTTATTCGGACCCGAAGCTGTCGGGCGCGATGCGGATCGCGGTGGAGGGGGGATAACATCATTTCCGTCTCGGGTTGGCGGTGCTTCTGAACCAGGCGTCTGTGCAATGACACTTTGCGCGTCCACAAAGGATGACATGCCCGATGAGACAGATGTCGGCGCATGATTGTGAGGGGGCGGTGTTTGTATTTGAAACGACGAAAGATCCAATGTGGCCGACTCCGTCGATCGCGAAGTTCCCGCCGCAGTGGCAGACGCAGCCGCGGCCGCTGTGGCGAGGGAATCACCGCGCTGAGGTAACCCATGGTCCGCATTCCTCGAACTCGACACAGGATGCGGAAGCTCTCTTCGCTTCGGGTCATCAAAGGGATTGGGACTGGATTCGGTCGAGGCCAGAGACAAGGGAGAGCCGGACGGCTTGCCATCCCTGCCCACCGGTCCCGCCGGTGAATTGGCGCCCATCCTAGGAGTGGCTCGTAATTCCCCGCCACGAGCAGTTGAAGTGTCACTTACTTTGGAATCTTCTTTGCTGTGTGAATACGGTTTGAGATCCGGGCGCTGTGTTGTCTTCTTCTCTTGCTGTCGCGTGATGTCTGGCGACGCTACCACAGGCACCGTGGACGATGATCCACCTGCGGAGATATCCCGTTTTCGTGAACGATTCTTGTCTTGCGACAAGATGTGTTCGCCTGGCTTGGTCAAGTGTTCGCGGTCACTCAACGAACCATCTTCAGTATCTGCTCGAGAGGCACCGCGCGCTGGGAGATTGGCGTAAGGTCGACTCGTGTCGGGAAAGTACTCTTTCGGCGCTTGATTTTCTTTGGGAATGGAAGGTGATGGTTCCGCAGAGGATGCAGATGGGAGCTGCTTTCGTGGTATGGGCGGCAGGTTTCTGGGCGGCGCGGTATACGGAGTCGGATCGAGGACCATCGGCAGGAAGCCTTCTATCTCATCATCGAGGTCGATTGTGTTGCTAGATGCTTTTGGATCGTTATATGTACTAGAGGGTAAAGTGGGGCCACCTGCGCAAATATGATTGGGTCAGTTGGACATCGCAGATTACGGTTGCTTTCCATCGTTCAGCCTACCTCGAGGCACCTCTTCCGCCAAAGGTGAGCGATCTCGTTGATATTTCTGTGCTGACTCCCGCGGTGACCGATGTTGTGGTGTGCTCGAGTCGGAAGTGAAGTCGGTGGCATTTTCAACCTCGAATGGAATGTCCAAGGAACTGCCCACCCCAGGTGGAAGTGATGGCAATGCCTTTTCCTTCGAGGACGATGTTTTGGAGCCTTTCGGACGTTTCCGCCGCCGTGCTGTTAACGCACTATGACAATTCATACACACGACACCCTGAGAAGTGCGCGCATACTTCCCGTCGTCGATGACAGCTTTGCAATTCCGACATTGGAAGCACCCGACACAGAATGCCTGATCGCCGGTGAGGATGACGAGGTTTTCGACCTTTGCGCCGCAGTTGGCGCAGTTGTAGGTACAATCGTTACAGAGGAGGGATCCGTCACCGAGCAGGAGGAGACTGGCATTGGAGTCGAGGAGTGTGCGACAACCGCTACACCTGAAGCAATCGATGTGCCACCGTAGTCCAGCTGTGTTTGTGAATTATACTGTTGTCAGCCATTTGCTACGATCAGGCCCATCGCGAGTGGGAATGCACAATTGACTGGGAGGCGCGAATTTCCGTATATGCAGATGCAACTCACCTAGCTCAAAAGCCTTGCCTTCCTCCAGAATCTGTGGATCACACCAACATCAGCATTGTGGGTATTCCTCTCGGCCATGCTCGTCATGAAATCCGCACCTGTCCACATCCTTTGCATGGGTATACCGCGTCATCGGCGTCCATTGGCGATTCGGGGTAGTCACCAGGAGAGGCCGTGGCGGCGGCGACGGCGGCAGCGGTAGCCATCGTGAGGGTGTAAGATATTTGCGCAAGCCCAAAGTGCGATCAATTAGGAAGACCGCATGCGAGGGCGACGAGGGAGCAGTGATGTGCTCGAGGGCAGCGAAGGTGTCGCTGTGAAGGACGGTCTGAGACGAGGATTCGTTCGACTGTGGCCCGCGTGGGCGATCGTTGACGGCAGCGTCTCCGAAGGAAGGACCACTCCAGAAAGTGGAAGGTGAGTGGTAGTGTAGATGTGATCAAGGTGAAAGATGTCCGAATGGCTGATTTGCGCTGCAGTGCCGGTTCAACGGATCAGGGACTGTCCAGCGCGCAAGACCCAAGGGACATGTTTCGGCTGTCGGAGAGATTCAGGTTAGGAGCGGAGGTTTTGTTCGATATTGGGCCGCAGAAGAATGACGAAGGGAGAGGGAAAGATCAACAGACGAAGACGACGTACTGGAGCAGATAGAGCAGCAGCAGCAACGAAGCAGATCTGGGAGTTTGGTTGGTCGGAGGAGGAGAAGACGGAGGACGGTAGCGGTGCCGATCGCCAGTCAGCACGAGGGGACGGACTGTAGTGAGTAGTCGTGTGCTACCTAGTACTGTGCAATTAGGTGACAGGGCAGGTTAAAGGCGCAGTGATGATGTTGCGCGGTGGTCAGTCTGCAATGATGTGGGTATATGTGTGTGTCTCTCTCTCATCGGTGCAGGGTGATGGATGATATGGGCTGAGGCGGTTCAATGTCTGCCCAGGCTTCGTGATCGTGGATTCGAGGTGGTGGTGGTGGTGATACGGTACTGTGTGGAGGAGTGTGCGCTGGGGGTGTGTGCGTGTGTGGGTGTGTGCGGGTGTGCGTGAGGCGATGGGATTGTGCAGTTCTGATTGGATGAGACTGTACTAGGCCTTGCTGATGATAAAGCAATTCTAGTACAAAAACCACCATGCCGCACATAACAACTACAGTACAAGGCAGCATATATCAATTGCAGCACAATGCAGCATGTAACGACCATCTACTACAGTATCCAGGTCTGTTCAGCACAGTCCCGATGAATCCCTCTCCAGAAGACATCACCATGTAAATGCTGCTCGTGAATCGCCCATAGTGTCAGAGCAGGAACCTGGCTGAGCCGTGACCATGTCTGAGGCCCAATTTCCATTCCTAAAATACCTCCCACACACTGTGCACATATTCTGTAACATGGGAAATCCTACAAAATGCAGCCAAGCGGCGCACATGTCCACTTCCCACTTCACGCATTACATACGCGCCCGCCCTGGAAACGAAACGAGATGTGAAAGGGACGACGAGACTCGGCTCGATCCGCTCCGATTTCTCCGCAAAATCCAGGGTATATCGCAATCACCACTTGAACCCATTGGAGCATAGTCGTCGAGAGACTAATACTAGCCCAGGGGGCAAAACACCACCGTCGCTCCGACAAGCACTCCATGTGTATACTGTATCAGGTTCGCGTTTGCGGACGTGCGTGGTAATAATAATTAGCAATGGCGCTATGAAACAAGCGAGATGGACGCGCACGATGGCTCGGAGGAATGTATCTCAAACACGACTTCCTTACCCACGTCGCGACTCGCTTCTCCCATCGGGAATGTTGTGACAATGTCCACCCGATCTCCACGGCCATAATAATGAATGCGTCGATATCCGGCGATACTGCTGGTTCCTTTTCCCACGCCTCCCTCGGCACGAGCACTGTTGACGTATCTGGGTATCCGTAGTCAAGAGCACGGGCTCTCTTCCCACGTCCCGGTCGTCGGGCATGTTTACGGCGAGAAATCAAGAATAACGTGCTGAAAGTCATTTCGGTCCTTGTCAGACCGATAGACCAGCAAGCAGCGTACAGGTAAACAAGGATCCCTCCTTTTCTCGGGAGAGAGAATCCTCCAACTCGTCAACGTCGACGGTCTTTATTGTATCGATGGATAGCAGTTCTGCCCATCAACGGCGAATGCTTTGTCAGCGAGCAATACAGTACGTTATAAGCAGCAATAGGGCTGGAGGGGAGTTGCTTGAAAGTGACACTGTAACAAGTCCGAAGTCTCGACTAGTCATATAGTCAATGGGGATTCGGGGCTGCTCAAGACCCTTCAACTCATTCCGTGACCCTTTTCGTCCCAAATCGTTGATAATAGAACCGACTTGTTACATGAGAAGAAAGTGAGCAAGCCGTCGGCGAGCAGCAAATGTAAGCCTGAGGCAGCACCTCCGCGGCAACCTTGCTTGGACGTCACCTTCAGGGCTGCTGTCATACATACTGTAAAAAGTGCTTCATTGGAGCCCCGGGCCGCGTGAGAAGTGAGAAGTGAGAAGTGATTATTATACAGTACACACAAGATCAGGCATTCATCCAGCGGCACTTCGAATATTGCATGGATGAACCGTTTATCCACCAACACATCTCGAGCACGTTCGGCTCAGTCCCCGTCGAAAATTGATAAAGCGGCATGTCGAACATCTGTTCCCCATGAATTGCAAATCATTGGTCTCTGGGGGTCATGGAGTCTTTCACGGGCCTCGAATTTGCCCCCTCTCAAGATGTCACCAGCAACGCCCGCGCATCACTCGTCGGCTCATGACCACCCATACTAATAAACCTTCGACTTCACAATACAACAGAAATACCGAATCCGGACAATATTCTACACTCAGTAGTCCGAAACCTACGTCGAAGTCAACATTGGAAACCCTCTCGACACCGTCCACCAAAGTGCTGCGACCCAACTTCGACATCCCACAGAAGACATACCCAGCTCCTGACATCTACAACATGGCTACGTCAAGCAACGTGAGTTGTCTCCTCGTGTTCGGCCGATAATAAGGTTGGACCTTTGCTGATTCGTAGGTCGATCTAGCCGTGGCGTTCGCTAGGCATGTATGGACTTCAAGAAGCTCTTAGAATACGCCCTTATCAATCGATAAGCGACAAGGACAAGCGGAGAGTCTTTGTCTGTGTCGACTGCGAAGCCTACGAATTCGCGCAGGACAAAATCACCGAGGTGGGCATCTGCGTGCTGGACACTGCAGATATGACCCCAGAGAACTTGAACACTGCCACTGGAGAATTCATCTGGCCGAATGTCTTGAAGTCGGCGCATTTCATCATCAACGAATACGATCATCTGGTCAACAGACGCTTCGTCCGGGGACATCCTGAGAAATTCAGCTTCGGTACGACCCAGCGACTGCCTCTTGCAATGGCGGCCAGCATGCTCCGAAGACTATTCCAGGACCCGACACAACTGAACGATCTTATGAACACCCGGAAGACACCCGAAGTTGATCCTCGGGAAATTATATTGGTTGGCCACGGCATTGGTAGCGATGTGGATTATATGAAGAAGATCCATTTCGATGTCCACCAAGTCACGAATATCGTCGGCACGGCCGATACGCATCGAATACTTGGTAGAGCCGGACAGACAAGTCTCGCAAGACTCCTGACAGCTCTGAATTTCTATTCTGCCGAGGATCTCGAGCAACAGCTATGGTTACACAACGCCGGCAATGATGCGGTGTGGACAATGAAGGCTCTCGTAATGCTAGTGAGTGTGCATTCTGTGACCTACGGACTGTGTATAGGCGAGCCGATCGCCTGCGGTGGCTGGACTGACTCCTGCTTTTCACTGCCAGGCCAAGACTGAGATGCAGCGCCCAGGCACTGTCCTTCCTATAGTTAGTTCGTTGCAAGCAGCCGGTCGAGCAGAACGGGAAGCGAGGCGTCCATCGAAGGCTCCGCTTGCTGCACAAGCTCAAGACCCCCGTGCTTCGGGAGCTTCATCACTGCTACGGTAGGTTGCATCAAGCTGTTACATCCCCGCAACTTATCTATTGACTGACTCTTCGCGAATGTCTGCTCAAGCAGACCAGCGCACAAATCCTCCGCCGAGGGCCCAACAGCCGAAACCATCTCCGAAACGAACTGAACGCTGCCGTGCTCCGAAAGCCCGACGACCGATACCGAGCTCACCAAGCAGTAACCTTCCTGCGATTGTCACTTTGATGCCATCCACTCCCGCAAACCAGCCTCCACATGTGTCCGCCGATCGCTCGGCAACCTATGGTACCGACTGACCAAGCTGAAGGCTACAAACCCGAGGGCCTCCCGACCGCCCAGGACCCGACAATTATCGTTAAACACTAAACGACCGCGGAGAATCTCAAGACTGAGAAGGGCTCCACGACTCAATCCGTCTCCTGAACAAGTTAGACATTATACTGCTTCAGGGCCCCCACAACCATCGGAAACTCCACAACCGTTGAAACCTTCACGGCCGCAGAAGACTCCATGACCGACGAGGGCTCCATGACCGACGAGGGCTCCATGACCGACGAGGGCTCCACAGCCGACATCGTCTCCTTGACAAACCAAACAATACAGTGCGTCAGGGACCCCACCAAAACCACCGAGACAAAACACGAATCGGTACGTCTGAGGTCCAACGACTAAACCTGGGAGAAGATATTTTCTCATCCCATGCGATGATATACAGCCGAGGGATCGATGTGCAGAGTAATCGGATAGACAAAAGGAAAAAAGCAGCGACGTCTGCATGACGATTGTGAAACCATCCCTCGTTTGGATAGATATACCTCCCAGAACGAAATGTACATTAGAAGAGAAAATTCGCATATGCGTAAAAATCACCATGACCAATGACGGAAGTAGACGATCAGCGGAGGGGGAGGGGGGTGCTTCGGCCTCCGCCCAGCTGACCTCGCAAAGCGTGTCTCAAGGCTCCACGGAACGGCGTGTTCTTCCGAAATGTTGCAGATCGATTATACACATTACATCGGGTGTGCCAAGACAAAAACGAGTAATTGCTTCTCTAGCCAACAGAGAGCCGTACCGATCCACTCCTTTCCCACGCGGGAAAACAAGCCGAGAGACAGCCAGGGAGAAGACAAAAAGGATTTGTAGAAGACGGAAAACCTACTTGAATTCCACCCGAGGATAACACAGAAGCCATCCCCGATCCCACTCCCTCTGACCTTCCCACGCATCATCATCAAAACCAATGGGGTCCCGGCCCCCGCGCCCTCATCATCATCATCGTCAAACCACGAGCGAATCACCGCCCTCCGCATCCGCGTCGCCCTTCAACTTTTTCAGGAGCCGGGCCCTCGCGGTCTCGACGAGGAATTCCTCGCCGACGAGCCTGCCCTGGGGGTCGAGGGAGTCGCCCTCGGCGCGGCGGATGGCGCGGAGGATCTGAGCGAGGAGGTCGCGCAGGGGGCGGCAGTGGGCGAGGGCGAGGAAGAAGCGCTCGCGGACCTCGGCGGGGAAGATGGCGGCCATGAGGGGAAGGTTGGTGCCGGGGTTGGCGGCGGCCGCGGTGGTGGTGGTGGTGCTGGGGTCCGAGGAGGGGGGTTTGTTGGTCTTGGAAGGCGTGCTGGTGGTGGTCGGGGCGTCGGCCGGGGGGTCGGTGGTGTCGCCGCCGGCGCCGGTGCTGGGACGGCCTCGTTTGCTGGCGGGAGGTTTCGTGGGCGTGGCGAGGGTCTCGCCGGGGGCGATGAGGCCGTAGGCCGCCGCGATGTCTTTGGCTGAGGCCGGCAATGCGGGCTGGAAGCGCGCGGGCATGAAGTGGGCGATGTTGCGGAGGACGAGGGCTGCGCGGAGGGGTACGCCGGCGGCGTCGCCTGTTTCGTCCTCGAGGATTTGGATTTTGAAAGCCGTGGTCGCTGCCGCTGGGGTGAGGGATTTAGATGAGGCGGCGGTGGTGGTGGGAGGAGAACTTTGAGAGGAGGTCGGTGCTGAGGAAGGGAGATGGGTGGCGATGTGGCGGATGAAGAGTCGTGTTTTCAGGCCTGTAGGGGCGCCTCCTTCGGTGGAAGACGGTAGTGAGGGATGTGAGTCGGAGGTGCGAGAACAGCAGCCACGAGCGGTCCAGTTGCATGAATATTTGACAGCATCAGCCGCAGCGAAATCGAACTGAACAGAGTCCGTCGAGGTTGCCTGCAAGGGCGTCACGCCATTTGTGAGAGGGGCACCGTTCGTCAACGCATTTCCATTGACCGAGTGCGGAGGATCAACGTCCATATGATCGCCCGTCATGTCCAGCGACGCGACCGGCGCTTTCTTCGGAAGTTTGAGGTGATCCGCGAGGATATGTTGGAGCATCTCCTGGCTATTGCGGAACCACTCGGGACATTCGCCATCAAACGGAAGAATAGGACTTGACTGCTGACCGGGGACCGCAGATTTCGGTGGGAGCGGCGTGACGACCCAGCGACAACGATGGAGCTCTTTGCTCTTATCCGAGAGTTTCGATCCCGAGAGGACGCCAGTGTCGATGGGAATGCGTCTCGCGCGGATGCCTTTGATGACATATTTGTTCGAGCCGGCGACCTGGGCGGATGCCCCCACGAAAGTGGTGCTGACGTTCTTGATGAATTCGCCAGCGATCAGGTGCGGGCGAGTGGCTTGGTAGGGGGCGAATGTGCCCTGATAGGCCTGCCAAAGAGAGATCTGTGTCATCTCGGAGGAAGGATCCGGGAGGAAACACATTCGGAGCCAAGTGGACGATCGTTCAGGTTCGTCGATGAGGAGCAGTTTCTCAACGAGAGTCTTGGAGAGGCGTGGGACGGTGAGCGGAGTGGAATTGACTTCGGATTCGTGACGTGTGAGCCTTGGAGGATCGCGAACTTCTTGAGCAGAGGCGAAGAGCAACCGGCTGAGGTTACGGGAGAGCTCCTGTGCGTCGAGACTGCGAAGGAGGATCTCGACATTGCTCTTGAAGGACGTGAATTGCATGAAGAAATCCAGACATGCCGAACGGAGCTCTTCATCTTCGACGTAAAGATAATCACGGACGCGATGTAACAAAGCCGTTGGGATATCCTCTAGGCGTTTGGGCGAAGGGTGGTTCATTGCGATGCGGCTGATTGTTCTCAGCGCAGTCGTGATGGCGCCTCGATCTTCCCCTAGGGCTTCTGTGATAAGGCCCTGGTATATGGCATCCTTGGGGCCGACATCGACTTCTTTTAACACTTGTTCCGCCACTTCAAGCACGTAATGTCGGAGTTCAACGGTCGCAGGATGTATCGGCAGAGCGAGGACCACCGCTATGACATCTCTCATAAGCGGTAATCGCGCCAGAAAGACGGCGTTCTCATCCTGCAAGGACATGTTCCGGACGATCAGCCCAGCCTCAATGATGCGGTTCAGTTCAAGCAGAAACCGCGGTTGAAGAGTGGTGTCATCCGTGACGAGCAGAAGTCGTGCGTGGAGCTTCTTGAGCACGTCCGGTGTCCCCGTCAGGCCGTTTAACGTCTCCTCGAGGACCACGTTTTCGTCGTCGTACGTGACATCCCACTCGACATCGTAGAACAGGCCGGTGACCTGCAGGATCTTCTTGAGCAGCGCGTCGGCCAGACCGGGGAATTGATCGAAGCGGTACTTGTCGCCTCGTTCGTGGCTGATCTTGACCAGATGATGCAGCGCATACTGCTCCTCGTCCGCGATCCCGCTCTGCAGGGCCAACTGCGCTCGCACGTAGATGTTGGGTCCGATGAAGCCGGTCCCGGGGAGCATGATGTTCCTATACTTCCGTGCGAGCGGACCGGCCGCCGCCTCGAGCTTTCTTTTTCGCTCGTTGCGGTAGAAGTCGGGGTTGTTGGCCGGTGTGGTGACGGGTTTCAATGTGAGAGGGGCGGGACGTGATGGCTCGTACGATGCCAGGAGCGAAGTCGAGCCGTTGGTCATGGCAGAGTAATTGGTCACACCATTGACGCTGGGTGTGGGAGCCGGTATAGGTGAATTTTGCGCCGATAGAGAGCCTGGAAACTGCTGCTGCGGTTGCGCACGCGGCTGTCGCGTCGAGCTGAGATCTGGCTGGAAGAGGACTCGCGGCGGGGGCTGTTGCCGCAGTCCTCGCGAACGACCCGTCGCGCTGCCGACATCCTCCGGATCGCCCGTCATCCGCTCGTCCTTCGGCGTCCTCTGCGCCTCAGGACTGCCCTCGCCAGCACGGTCGCCGTTCGTCGCAGGTTCCGAGTCGCGAGCGGAGGATTTGACGAAGTTCTCCAGCGTCCTTGACATGACATTTCCACCTTTGGCCGTGACGTCCTCGAGGATCTCCTTTGGCGGCGGCTCCCTCTTCCAGTGATGCGTGATCTCATAGGCGCAGAGGTTCTTGTAGTACACGTTCTTCACCTGGAAGGCCTGCGCTGCGGTGTACACGTTGCGGCCGACGAATTCCTCCGCGAAAGTCCGCCACATGAGCGGCTTCGCTTTGGTGTCCGAACATAAATCATACCCGCCTTCGCCGACGACGCGGTTGTAGAGTTTGTAGAGGTCGATATGGCGAATGCCCACTTTGGGCGTGACATCTAGATTTGTCCTGAAATGGGAAGGTATCAGGTCAGCACATGTGTATTCCATTCCCACCAAGCCAAAGCCAGGAGCGTGGGCATGCTGTCGTCCGCGCCTTTGGATCTCATGTAACATACCCTCGCTTTTTATGGAACTCCGCCAAATCCTTCATGAACTCCTGATGCTCATCCGTCGGCTCGATCGACATGCCACGCTTTGGAGCCATATTTGACCGTGTCTCTCAGCGGCCGCGAGAGCCCAATGTCGCAAGAGATGGTCGTTGCACTTTCCCGCGCCGGGCGATCAAATCCCTCGTAGTCGCAAGGATAAGCGCAAGTCCTCCAAATACACCGTGCGTCGTCGTCGCCGTTCAGGGTGGCGTGATCATCGATGTGAGGACGTTGTTTCGCTGGGGTTATCGCATTGGACAGGATCGGGAATGGTGCAGCTTTGGGATGGCGTATGATGATGTTGGAACATAAATTTGGCACATGTTCAAGCGCGTCGTCGCAAAGGTCCGCGGACGACGTTTCGCGCGTCGGGGGAGAAGGGACGGCGGGTGGTCCCGTCGCTGCCTCTGAGTTTGACCACGAATTGGGTGCCTGAGGCATCGACTGCATGTCACCAAATCAACTTGGCACACATCAGATGGATGTTGTCTCCTGGTTAGTCGTGATCATCGCTTAGTCAGACATAATGCGTGTCACTCGATGGACTTGGACAACGGCTTCGATCGATACAGAACCGGGGAAAAGGACTTGCAATACTCTCTCATAAACCAACGCGACCACAAACCGCTCCCAGAAATCCAACCACATTCAAATCCCTCGCGAAACCATTCCCCTGCCGAGAAAAACCCCATAAAGAAAAAGGAAAAATGGATTAATGAAAACCATCTTCTCTGCATTCCCCTCAAAACCTTCCATTAGATAGAACAAGAAAAACGGGAAACGTCCCTCCTACCCTCCCGCCCCGGCCCCAGCCCCAGCAGCGCCGCCCTTCTTTCTCCCCACGCATTCGGGACAGAACCACTTCCCTCTGCGCGGGGGGAGGCTGGTGAGGCCGACGCATTCGAGGTGGAACCACTCGCCGCCCTCGCACTCCTCCTCGTTGTCGCACGCGATCATCGTGCCCCAGGAGACGTCGCCGCAGAGGCAGTAGGTGGGTTCGTTGGGGGCGACGTCGTCGTCGACTGCTGCTGCTGCTGCGGCGGCGGCGGCCGACGAGGAGGAGGTGGTGTTCGAAGCGGCGGGGACGGAGTCTTCAGGGACGGTGCCGAGGGTGGCGTGGGTGGAGGAGGAGGAGCGTTTGTTGGCGTCGTGGCGGCGGGAGGAGGTATGGGAGGCGGATGACGCGGCGGCCGCGGCGGTAGCTGCGCGACGAGGTGCAGCTTTGCGTTGGCTCACGACGCCTTTGGCGCTTTGGCCGTCGGCGGCGGAGGACGTGACGATCCCCGGGGCGGGACGTTTGCTGCGGCGTTTGGGCAGGGGCGCTGGCTGATCTGCGGAGGTTGCTGGAGCGGCTGTCGCCGCAGCGGCGGCGGCGGCTTCGGGCATGCTCGCGGTGCTGCCGCGGCGGAGGTTGGCGCGGCGAGCGCTGGTCGGGGGTTCTTCGGAGACGGCTTTGTTGCCGCGGCGGAGGTTGAGGGTGGGCGGGGGTTTCTTTTCGACGGCGGTGGCGGCGGTGGGAGGTGAGCTGGCGCGGTGACGAGAGGGCTTGCTTGAAGGGGAAGAGGAGACGCCTTCGGGCGCGAGAGGGACCTTGGTAGTCGTAGAATTTGTAGCGGTCGCCGAGGTGGTCGGGGCGGCGGTTCGGATCTTCTTCGATGGAGGAACGGTGGTCTTGCTCTCCGAGGTCTCGGCCGTGGCGGCTGCTGCAGCAGCAGTGGCAGCCGAACTGCGTGTCGGCAAGGCTATCGATGTCGGGGCGACGGAGTCGGAGTCTCGCTTGCGCTTCTTCTGTGCCTCGGGTGATGTAGAAATCTTCTTGCCCACTTCTGACGAAGCGTCATCGCCCTGCTCGCGAGCGATTTGTTCTTGTAGCTCCTCTTGCATGCGCTGTCGCTTCAATTTCTTGGCCTCGTTGAGACGCATGCCACGATTCACCAACTCGGCATCGGCATCCTCGTCGTCCTCGTAAGCCACATGAGCCGCAGCTAGCACGCCAATGATATCATCCCCATCGCCGCGCGATCCAGGCCCGGTCGGATCTACCTCACCATGTTCATCGACGAAAGGTTCGCCTCCGGCCTCAGCCTGCGCTCTCGCAGCTTCCTTTGCAGATAGGCCGCGACCTAGCAGCTTCAACTCGCGTCGCACCATCGTCTGGGAAGGTACCCAGATGGCATTCTTCTTCATCCGCTTTCTCAGATTCGCCATTTCCCATTCAGTCAGCTTGAGCCAGGGCGCCCATTTGCTGCCCTTGGGCGCATCATCCGGCGGTTTGGTCAGAGCGAGCAGAGCATTAGATGTGCTGATCCCAGCGACTGCCGAATGCGCATTTGTACCCGGCTGGCCCGGTAGACGGGGCCCGCGTGGTTTGAGCAACTGCTTGGGTGTATGTGATCGTTGTCGCGGCGTGGTGGTCGATTTCCTATCTCGCTCGCGCTCTCGTGTCGGAGGCACAGACATCGGCGGCTCCTCCAACAGCGGTGGTGAGGCGCGAGGAGAAGTCCAATCCGACAGATCCTCATACGGCGCATTTGGGTCCGGTGGCGGCAAGACTTCGCCTGGAACCATGATCTTCCGTCCGCGGAGTTTGCTGGCCGCTTTGTCCTGCATGCGTCGCGAGAGCTTGTCCACGCGGGATTCGTCTCCACGCCCGCCGAAATGCGCTTCACGCTTCAAGTTGGGTGAGGTCAACTGTTGCTGCTCTGGTGTCGGATCGCGAGATGGTGGTTTGGGCTGCGCGCGCAGCTTGCGCACGACAGTATCCAACTTCCAAGCCTCTTTCTTACATTCAATGTCGAGTCTTTCCGCCTCCACCACGGCCATCCGGCAAGCCGTCTCTGCTTCTTCCAGGGCATAGCTGATGCGACGCCGTAGCTCGACAGGATCCGGTCGGTTCTGGGTGATGGATGGGAGCGTGCTGTAAGCAGTGGTGTCGTCGTGGATCGAGCGGATCTTCCCTTCGGCACGTAGCCTCTGTTCGTGTATCAACGTGAGCGCGCGGGTGAGATGAGAAGGAAAGTGCTCCGTGTAGGTCAAGAAGTCCGACAGTGTCGCATGAACGTCTGGATCGGCTGGGGGCTGTCGACTCAACGCGCGAATGTCGTCGTGTGATACCGCGGAGGCCATGGCTGATGTGATGTCGTGAGGGTGATCGCGGTGCAGGCCACCACGATGACGCTGGTCAAGGGAGTATCAAGTGCGACTCATTCGATCCCGAGGAATACGAGGCGCGCATCGCATGGCAAGAAGGGTCAATGAGTTGCGAACCGCGAATGAGGGAAACAAGACCATTCAACAGATCAGCGTGGGGTCGCGTCACTGGCGCAATGTCAATATAGAGTAGCGCGACGGTTCGCATGAGCTTATACTGTTACATGCCCGGGCGGCGCACAGTGAAGTCTCCGAAAGGAGGAAAGAAGGGACGAGACACGAAGTCACGAGCCGTGCCGCAATCTCTGACGTAGTGCTAGTTGCAGCCTGAGGCATTCAGCCAACACTGCCTACCTAGGTAGGTATGTATGAATACTAGATAGGCTGCATTCCAAGGTAACGAGGACAGTACAGAATACTGAAGATATGGATCGCCCTGTCCTATCCTTTCGCAAGATGAAAACTGCGGCGATCTCAGTGCACAAGATCAATAAGTAAAATGTGTTATGCAAAACTATGGAGAATTCATAACTCGTTAAAAAGGCCGTTACTTCGTCCCGGGTATACCAATGAATAGAAGAAAAAGAGATCGCTCGCGGAGAGAAACGCCAAAGGACTTGAACGAAGCAGGCGAAACGTGACCGTGGCAGTGGTGATAGCCACCCGTGACCTTTCACTTGTTCTTCCCGTAAAGTCATGAAAAGGAAATGCAGTTCGTTAGAATCGTGTCCATGCGATCCAGCGCGTGCGTGTCATCCACCTGATCCAACCCTCGGATCCTACATTTTAGTGTTTCCTCCCCCTCCTCCTCTCCTCGTGGTAGTAATAGTCGTCGTCGTTGCTGTACGCCCGAGGTCGTGGGTTTCCCCGGTCCCTTCCTTCGTTCAGACCTCTCGAAGAAGATGACGACGAGGCTGCCGCAGATGCGATCTCCTTGTTCCGTTTGCCATACTCATGACCGCCCAGGCCACCCAAGATCGCGCCGCCGATGGTGCCTAGACCCGGGAAGATGCAGTCGCCGATCAACGCACCGCCGCCGGCGCCGAGGAAGGTTTTGACGCTGTTGCCTTTCTTTTGCTGCTGCTGCTGTGGTTGTGAGGAATAGGATTGTGTGCTGGAGCGGGGCGGCATGGGTGGTGCGTAGTCGCTCTGGTGGCTGTCGTATCGTTTGTGGCCGTCGTTGACGTTGGTGTTGCTGTGGTGGCGGGAGTGGTGGCGACGTCGTCGGTGGCGGTCGCGGGAGCTGCTGCGACTGCGGCTGCGCGAGGGTTCGTAGTAGGGTGATGCGTCGTGTTTGTTTTTGAGGATGCCGTGCAGTTTGGGTGGTGTCGAAGTCGGGCGACGTCCTGCCGCATCGACCGCCGCTGCAGAGTTGGGGTTGTAATCGGGACGGAGGTGTCCCGTTTTGGCCGGTTGTGAGGTTGGCGGGGGTGGTTGTTGTGCGTATGGTGCGGACGAGTATGCTAGCGATTCTCGAGAAGGACGTAGTTGAGGATTCGCATAGACGTTGAGTGAAGGAGATCCGTTCTGTGGTCTGCCGACCGGAGGCGCGGGTGGTTTGTCATCGGGATACTGTGAGGTCGATGATGGACGATATTGGTTTTGTGAAGACGTCGGCCGTGGTACGGATGCGTGCGACGAGGATATTTCTTCGTATGGCGGTGGTGCGTCAGAGATGGGATATGGTGGGTTGAGGTGTTGCTGTGACGGATGCGCCGCAGCGGGTTGTGGTGAGTGACGCGGCGAAGGCTGTGATGGTGCACCCAGCCCACCTGGGCTGTAATACTCCGCTGCTGCCATTTCGATGTACCAGTATTATCTATGCGACAGTGGTGTTCCGCAGGCAAAGTGAGGTATGCTGAGGCGACAGGTCCGGGAGAAGAAAGGAAGAGAGAGTGATGAAGTCGGAGGGAAGATCTTAGTTGAGATGTGAGACAAGTTTATGTCATGCGTGGTGGGTTAAGGTTTGGTTGGTGGCCGTGGTCAGAAATGTCTCACTATGACACTAGGTGATGTGAGAGGGAACACGATGAGATGATGACGGAGCAAGATACGAAAGGCGCGCTAGAAAAAAGTGTCGAAGACGGGAGAAGACTTGTATATGTAATGAGACTAGATCGAAAGCATACGGCATGCAGCCTACAGCATGCCGGATGTACTACAGTGGATACACGACCGCCCTCTTCCACCTACTGCAGTACTGGACCCCATCGGTCAGTCGCCAGGGCCGTGTGAGAGGTTCAGAAAGCGTCCCTCCTCCTCCTGCAGATGTCATTTTCCGTCTTGGCCAGGGACACGCTATATCATATGCACGCAATGGTACATGACGATGAGTGGTCACGCTGCGGCTGTGGCGGACTCGGATCATCCTGGGACAGTGCATCCCTCACTAACAACACCGGGTGGGAGGAGAAGGAGGAGGAAGAGGAGGGCTGAACAGTGACATGGCGTTATTCATCTTAATCATTCCTCCCTCCATTCAAGTGCCCGCCTACCTACCTAGTGCTGTTCAATAGCGACCATTCCGCCCACACCGGTCCGTCCGATCCGCGGTCGTCATCGGGTAGGGCGGCTGGAGAGACTGCCTCCCCACCTCCCCGCCGCCGAGAGGATTTTCTGCCCGCTGGTGCCGCCGCCGCACGTGAGAACCAAGAGAATGCCGAGCCCTCGTGACGCCGGGCGGCCCGATCAAGTCTCTATCGATGATAAAGCCATCATGATGGATATATATATATATATATGGGGAATTCCGTGCAACACGGATGACGAGTCATTCGGATATACGGCAGACATGACATTGGCAATCGTGGGAGAAGTGGAAATTTTCGCATGTTGGGTTGGGTTGTCTGATTGTCACAAATGCAATACGGAACGACGTTCAAACTTCGAGTTCTACCCCACAGGACTGCGCCTCTCTCTCGTAGTCCACGGCCTCCCTTCCGAGGTTGCGCCGCTAAAATGAACATGTCCACGGGCACTACAGACCACTGCTACCGTATCAGCCTTATATGCCGTTGCCAGCGATGGTACAACTGTCCATGTCACTCCCCTTTGGATCCCTCGGGAAGGTCGATTGAGGCGGAGTGCAGGAACGCGATGATCTATCCCGGACAATCCATACCAACGACAGCCGAAAATCGCACCATACACCACCACAATTCGCATCCTGCGTGTCGAGGGGAGGCGGGCATCTCTCCCGCCTGGTGGTCTTCGATGCCGTGAAGGACGATGCCCATGCACCTAGATATGCACCGGACAGGGCAAACGCGGCACGGGTGAAGTCTTGTTTCTACTTACATCTCCACTACGAGGTAAGAAAGACATGTTTCAATCTGCGAGCTTTGGTCTGTGGAGGTGTTTATCAGTGGAGAGAACTGATCGAGTGGGGCGTTTTATGGCGTCAGCAAAGCCTGGCAACTGATCGCGTCCATCATCACCGGTCTGGCGTTCTGGGCTTGACACATGCTGCGAAGTGAGAGAGAAGGAAAGAGGCAATGACATGTCGCGAAATCCCTCCCTTGTTTCTGTTCAGAGGGCCTTCAGGCAGGTATACATGGCAGAGTTTTCTTTCATGTGGGTCAAAACATAACGGTGCCTCCATCAAGGGTGCAGGTGGTGGTGATGATGATGATGATGATGATGAACAAGAAGACGTGAACTCTACGCCCGGGCCCTCTGAATGATAGCCTTCGCACATCGCTCCCTTCTCCACCATCCGCCCATCACCACCGCCGAACATTAAATTCATCTCGTCGCATGTACAGTACCACGAGTTCCTCTCATGTTCGTCGTCTTGCAAGTCAGGCCACCCATCACTAGCCGGGTCATCGGGAACGTTGGGAGGCTGTGTGCATATGGCCGCCGCATGGACGAACGCTACGGGACCCTCACGACGAAACCTGCGCCGCAGACCAGCAGGCCCCTCGGGCAACTTCACTCAGTTTGCTTCACCATGTCTACCGATTGCAGACGGTGTTTATGTATCCGAGTCGTGTCCAACAGCACGCATGGCATTTGCAGTAGATCATTGGTCGCTTCCATGGTGCATGTATCGCGGTACGGTTGCTTCTCGAGGTATCGAGGATGGAAGCTGCTGCTGCGGACGAAGGATTGCCCCATCGTTGCTTGTTGTCGCTCGTGCGCCGCAGCCTGCCTGAGTACATCGCGTTGTTCCTTGACTCCCACCATCTCGTCGTGCGCTCCAATGGGCATCGGTCTGACCCTCTTTGAACGCCTCGGAGAGTGTCACATCGCGATCGATCATGAGCAGGGTACGACGGCTCCACGAAAGGAGCTGGATGTCATCTGTGTGCCTCCTGACACTCTACGGTTGAAAGGCAGCCGCCGATTCGACGTTCCTGCAGCAGTCCAGGCAGTCCAGGCATACGCAACGCACTCTCACCAAGGCATAGCATACACGATCCCGTGCAATCCCACGCTCACTGTCGTGGTCATGAGAGAGTGAGCGGTACGATGATGATGCCGAAGACGATAGTATGATACCAAAACAGGCCGGGGTCCAAAATACGCCCAGGTGATGCTGATGATGATGATGATGATGTTTTTCTTATCGATAGCGTGCGGGCGGCCGACATATTCCAAGGCTGTAATCAGTGGGGCTTTGGTGTCTCCCGCCCAGTTTCGGTGGGGAAAACAACCCTCGAGCGCTGGAGGAAGTGCAATCTGCCTCTCCCCACACCCCGCCGCGCCCACAACGTCATCGCTCATACGACACCCAAACAAACGAACTGCCGATGGTATGCGATGACACAACACGGGAGGGAGAGGGAGTCTTCTTATCATTGTAGTTAACAACGCAACACCCAATCTCTCACTCTCTTCTTTTCACATCATAAGCCTCCCTCTGTTAAAAAAAGACTTCGAAAATCTTAGAAACTCCAATCGAAAGACCCCTCACCACTCCCATCACCGCAAACATGCCTCACACCATCAACGTTCGTCTGCTTCAAAATCCCTGATCCGTCGTATCCTCGCGATCCGAAGCGAAGCAGTCTGCTGATCAAAGACTTAGGTCTCCCTCCAAGACGGCGCCGACGCCAGCAAGTTGGAAGCGTAGGTCCTCTTCCCGAGCGGGATGCCTATTCGAAAAAGAGAGGGAGAGAGAGACGAACGTCTGACCTTTTCTTGATGAGGACAGGGCCAAGAAGACCGTCACCGACCAGGGCGGCAAGATCATCAAGGAGTTCAAGTTGGTCAAGGGATTCACGTACGTCTCGTCCATCACGACCACCTTTCCATCCCCTTCTCCTCCCTCATCTCAGCCAATTCCTCCCGTCGCACAAACAAACAACGCACCACGTCCATCTCTCCCTGCGATAAATAGAGAAGGATCGGGGTTGTTACAACCATGACAAATCAACGAACCCTTCGAGAGAGAGAGAGAGGGCGAGTTTCACATTTGCTAACGGACGTCCCGAAATTCGGGGGATTTCTTCCACAGTGCCGAACTCCCCGACGACAAAGTCTCCGCCCTCTCCTCCGACGAGCACATCAACGTCGAGGCCGACAAGCAGGTAACCACTCAGTAGACGCCATTGCGAGGTTGAGGAGAACAGAGAATGACGAATCGGTTATAAGATTTCGGTGTGAATGGATCGCGGACGGCGATGAGGAATGGTTGAACGGGTGTCGGTGGAGGAAGAGATGATGTAGCCATGATAGCAGGAAAATGGAGGACTGGCGAGATGATGAACGGAAGAAACGATGATGGGATCATGCGCATCGTATGTCGCCGAGTGGAAGTTTTCGCTTTTTCCGTAAAAAAGAAAAGACACCCGTTCACGTGTCGATATGCGCGCCAAAGAAAAGATGGCGGTGAATTGTGAAATTCCGAAATACCCCTGACCCTCATCCATATCGGCCCATCTGCCCATCTGACCGTGACTTCCGGCGGTATTTGTTCTTGAATTCCGAGCAGATTATGATAGCCAGCCACCTACGGAACCTGTATCCCGATCACCAGACCTCCAACCCGAGGACGTCCTCTTTCCAAAAGAAAAAGAAAAAGAAAAAGAAAACGGAAAGAGCACTCATAGGCCCTAAACTTCCCCTATCCACCCACCTCCCCCCATCAACCAAACAACAAAGCCGTCGTGATGAGAAGGGGAGACATCCGGGCAGATAAACAACAACACGACATCAACAGCGCTCGGTCGGAAGGAGGAGGAGATCTCAACGGAAGATGATTCGTGCCCTCTTCCATCACATGACAGTGGCCGATCTTCATTTTGAATGTGTAATAAAACATGACATTTCCATAGAGCTTTTCGGCTCGGTTCGGTTTGGTTTGGAAGAACGAAAATCCCGCCCCTTGCCTCCAGACACACGCTCCCATCGCATTACAGATCCCCTTTCGCCTCCCACATTTCCAATATCCCCTCGTCATGACATCAAACATCAAACAGCCCGGTCAATATCTTTACATCAACAGCGCGAAGATCCCCGCCAACACCGCCCCGGACACCACGCTGACCACGCCCACCTGCGTCGAGCCCGCCGCGCCCTTGGCCGGCGTCACCGAGCCCGTGCCGGTCGCGGCAGGGGTGGTCGGGCGCGCCGTGGTCGTGGAGGTCCCGTTCGTGCGGGTGCCGTTGACGCTGGGCACGGACGAGCGCGTGGGGACGATGACGGGGCCAGCGGTCGGCGAGGCGCCCGGGTTGCGCTTGTACCAGGCGGCGATGGCGTCGACGGTGAAGTTGATCGCCGCGCTGCCGTACACCTGCACGTAGGTGACGTGCACGATGATGTTGGAGAAGTTGCCGCCGGCGCAGTACGGGTCGCCGGCGCTGCAGTAGGACTGCACGCGCGCGCCCAGCCCCGTGGCGGCGAAGCGCGCGACGTTGGAGGACTCGCGCGGGAACAGCCCATGCTGGGTCGCGTTGCCCACGTGGAAGGTCTCCTCGGGCACGAAGGTCGGGTCGCCCATGACGACGGCCGCCGCGACTTGGTTGAGGGTGCTGTCGGGCAGGGCGTCGGAGATGCTGGCGTTGGGCGGGAAGGCGCCGACCTGTTGGCCGACCAGCGTGTCGAGGGTGACCTGGGCGCCCTGGGAGTAGCCCATCAGGATGAGGGGCGCGGTGGCCGGGCAGTTGGCGATGTAGTTGGCCACGAGGGCGCGCATGGCGACGACGCCGTCGGACTCGGACTGCGGGTAGGCGGAGAGCGTGGCGGGGTAGTCGACGGCCTCGGCGGTGCTGCCGGGCACGCGCTTCAGGACCTCCTGCTTCACGGCGCCGATGATGCCGAAGCCCGGCGCTTCGGTCGAGGCCCGGGCCACGATGATGTGGGCGCCGCCGGGGGAGGGGCAGGCGGAGGTGGAGAAGTTGACCGCGCCCGGGTCGGTCTGGGCGGCCGCGGTCGCGGCGAGGGCGGCGGTCGCGAGGATGGAGACGATGGAGGGCGCCATGGTGAGGAGGACGTCGATGGGGATCGAGGTGCGGATTGGTGGTTTTGGTAACGATCGACAGAAGCTACAATGAAGCGCTTCGGAGGAGGGATATCTTCTCTACGTGAGGACGAGCGAGCGAGTGAGATGTGAAGACGCGACGAGACGAGACGAGACGAGACGATCGGGGAGAAATCAAAGGAAGACGTGACGAAGGAGAGGCGTCGATGGGTATTAAGTCGACGCATTGGAGCTAGAGTAGTGGTTAATCTGGTTTTGTGCATAATGATGATAATAGCGCGGTGCGGGATGCTCATGCACAAAGATCCTCCTCGATGCGCAGTCACGCCAGTGTGCATGCCAGACCAGGTAGGAGTATGCCGGCAGTCCATACCTATTACCTAGGTATGTCAGTAGTGGCGCAATGGACCGATGATAACGTAGTGCAGATTCACTACAGAAGAGTTATGCAACTTGCCAATGCTTGTCTAGTACACACTGGAGATGTCCTGTGGGAGACAAAGTGGAGCATCACACGGAGGAGGTTTCCCTCTTCGGGACCGTGAAGCCGCGTGTGTGTGCCAGTCAGTTTGGCCCTAGTGTCTAATGAACTTGGAAACCCCCGGACTTTGCTCCATAGGCGGATTCCAGAACGAAATAGTCGGCGCATTGACTGCTGAATCGATGGGACTGTACCCTAATCAATCTACTCCAGGGCTGTCCATGGTACCTAATAAACCTCGGCTGTGGCTGCTGCTGCTGCGGCTGCTGCTCCTGCCGCAATCTGGACTTCTCCCCCGGAATCCACCACCTGGACAGAACAGGCATTGGATTGATGATCGAGATGATGATGATGATGATGATGATGATGATGATGTATTGTGCACTGGATAGTTGCTTCCCAGCTGAACGTCGCCACACTTGCATACTCAGGTACTGTACTGTACTGTAATGAAAGAGACCGTGGGCGAGAAGGAGAGAAGAAGGAGGAGAAGAGGAACCACCTCGAAACAGCAACTCCCTTCCCGCAGCCCGCTGCGACACTCCATCCATTTCTGTTCCTTCCTACTGCACCAATCTCCACAACACAGGCCGTTGCTCCATCTAATTCTGCACTTCCGTATGCAGGAATCCGAGACCGAGCTGCGATTGCTGGGCTTTGCACGAGAACTTCTCGTTTGTCAATCCCAAGATAGAATGGAGGGAAGTAAAAGAGAAGCGTATTGGGAAATCTTCACACGTTGATATATCCTAAACATTTCCGAAGAAAAACGCCTCTCTGCCCAGATCAGATCATTGAATCCCAACTCCAATCTAGTTGAAAAAAAGGGAAGAGTAACAAACCCAGTATCGACGTCAACATCCAACAGAGTGCGGTCATTCCGCACCCTCACCAATCCAGCCCTCCACCGCCCTTCCCGCTCTCCCCGCCCGCCAGGATCGCCTTCGCCTTCGCCGGCGCGCCCAATCCCCCCGGCAGGTGGCTCTGCGCGGAGCTCATGAGCACGCCCTTCCGGCCCTTCATGTTGAACTTCCGGTCCAGCTGCTCAAAGTCCTTCGCGACGACGCCCTCGGTCTCGCTCTCGCGGACCATCCACTTGCTCGTGCCGAGGACCGAGTCCAGCTCCTCGATCGGCGGGAGCTTGACGTAGACGAGGCCGTCCTCGCGCGCCTCGACGGGGAAGGTCGCGATGTTGACGGTCTCGTCGTTGGAGCATTTCCCGGCCGCTTCCTTGCCGTCGGCGCCGGACGGGCTGGTCTCGCCGGCGTTCGGGCCGGACAGCGTGTAGTTGCGTTTGTGCAGCGGACAGCTGATCCAGAGGCTGTCGGTCTTGTAGTCGTCGCCGATCAGCCCGTCGCTGAGCACGAAGGCGCGTTTGTGCGGGCACATCTGCTGCGTCGCGTAGTAGCGGCCCTTGACCTTGAACAGCGCGAGTTGGGTGTCGCCGCGTTTGACGGCGAGGGAGGAGCCGGTGGCCGCGTCGACGAATTGGTCGATGCGCGCCATCGGTTGCCAGGTGAGTGCTGTCCATTGTGTGCCGCGGAAGTCGACGGTGGCGGAGTCCTTGGGCCAGTGGACGGGACGTTTCTGGAGCCGCTCGACGACCTTTTCCGTCCCGTCGAGGTTGTCGCTGGTGTTGCCGAATTGTTCAAAGACTTTGAGGCGTTCGGGATCTGCGAGGGCTTCGGTCCATTCGCAGAAGAAGGTGCCGACGAGCTCCTCCATTTGCTTTTCGAGCTCGGCGCAGATGCCCAGTTTGTCTTCCAGGATGACTTCTTTGAGGTATTTGATCCCGCCGGGGAGGTTCTCGACCCAACGTGCCGTGCGCTGGAGTTTGTCTGCTGTGCGGATGTAGAACATGATGAAGCGGTCCAGGATCGGGATGACTTCATCTGGGGGCACATCCTTGGCGAGGAGGTCACAGTGACGGGGGTTGGCACCGCCATTACCCGCCACGAATACGTTGAAGCCCTTGTCCGTCGCGATCAGACCGAAGTCTTTGCTCTGTGCTTCGGCACATTCACGCACGCAGCCCGAGACACCGCCCTTGAACTTGTGTGGCGCGCGGATACTCTTGTAGCGCTCCTCCAGGCGGACGGCCATGCCGACGGAATCACCAATGCCATAGCGGCACCACGTGGTCCCTACGCAGGATTTGACCGTTCGGAGCGATTTGCCGTATGCATGGCCGGACTCCATGCCGCCGTCAATGAGTTCTTGCCAGATGCGTGGAAGATCTTGCTTCTTCGCGCCGAACAGGTCGATACGTTGACCACCCGTGATCTTGCAGTAGAGGTCGTATTTCTTGGCCACCGTTCCCAGAACAATGAGCTTGTCGGCCGTGATTTCGCCACCAGACACTCGTGGCACGACGGAGAATGTACCGTTGCGTTGAATGTTGGCGAGGAACCGATCGTTGGTGTCGGTGAGACCACGTCTTGAGCCGTCAAGAAGATGCTTGTTGAATAATGATGCCAAGATAGATCCGATCGCAGGCTTGCACACTTCGCAACCGGCGGAGTTGATGTCCTTGCCGCATGTGCTCATGATGGTTTCGAAAGATTGCAATTTCCGGACGTAAACAATATTGAACAGATCTGCACGAGAGTATTCGAAGTGAGGGCACAGGTGGTTCTTGACTTCTTGCCCGAGGCTCGCCATGGTCTTCTTGAAGATGGTCTCGACGAGTGGCATGCACCCACCGCATCCAGTCCCGGCTTTGGTGCAGGATTTGACGTCGCCGATTGATTTGCATGTGCCATCTTTGAGTCCGTTGACCACATCGCCTTTGGTAACGTTGTGACATGAGCAGATCTGGGTGTCATCGTCGAGGTCGTCGGCATCATCATCCCCGCTGTGCTTGCCGACAATAAACTCCGATGGAGGCACCTCGAGGGGCTTTCGCTTGATCACCATGGGTACCAGCTTGACGTAGTCTTTGGTGTCTCCGATCATCATGCCACCCAAGAGGTACTTGCCATCCATCGTGAAGATATACTTTTTGTAAATTTGCTGAAATGGGTCTCTGTACGTCAAGGCCTTGACTTTTGAAATTGCCGAAGCGTCAGGAGTTGCCGTCGTCGTCTTGACCTCTTCGGTTAGTTTTTTGCCGCTGTCTTGTCGTTTCATGGGGAGGTCCTTAGGTCCGTCACGATCAGCGAAGAAGTCTCCGAAACTGGCGACTTCCACGCCTAGCAGCTTCAGTTTCGTGCTGAGGTCCGGCCGTTTGAATGCACGAGGCGAGTGAGCTTTGGCTTGGGTGAGATTGAATGCTAGAACATCAGCCATCTCAATGCCTGGCGCAATCAAGCCAAAGGTTTGGTTCTCCCAGCTGGCACATTCACCAATGGCGTAGACATCTGGTGCTGAGGTGGCGAGATCGTCCCCGACAATGATGCCACCACCACGCTCCGTACACGTTATTCCCGACTTTTTCGCCAGTTCATCGCGTGCACGGATACCAATGGCAAAGCAAATCGCCGAACATTCCATAACTTCCCCGTCTTCGAAGGTGACGCCGGTCATATTGTTTTCCGCGTCTGTGTTGATTTTGCCGACTCGCTTTTGGAGGAGGACCTCAAGGCCGAGCGCTCGTACTTGTTCTACGACCATGTTTCCTGCATCCATATCCAGTTGTCGGCTGAGGACCCATTTGTTGCGCTCGATGAGTTTGACTTTGCTGAATTCTTCGAGATCCATCATGGCCTTGGCAGCTTCGAGACCGAGGAGACCACCTCCGACGACGGCGCCGACTTTGCCTTTTTGCGTTGACGAATACTTTATTAACCTTTGCAGGTCATCGATTGTGCGGTAGACGAAGACGCCATTCGCATCATGTCCAGGTGTGTGTTTTGGGAGGATGGCATCAGATCCGGTGGCCAAGACGAGTACATCGTACGGCACGGTCTCACCCGTTTTTGTCTCGATCGTTTTCTTCTCGGTGTCGATGGATGTGACGAGAGTGTTGAGGTGATATGATAGGGAGCCGGTTGGCATGGATGCATACCATGATTCAGGGTTGAGGTAAAGATTCTCCACTTGACGATGTTGGAAGAAGCTGGTCAAGCCGACGCGGTTGTATGCAAGGTGCGGCTCCTCGCCGATGACAATAACATCCCATTCTCTTCTCTTCGCATCTAATTTCATGAGCTTTTCGATGAATGCAATACCGACCATACCAAGGCCGACCACCACCAATCGCTTCTGTTTTGGTGCATCTGGAATGTCTCTGATTGAATTCACTGATTCGATCTGGGTTTCGAGACCCTCGATTTGGGTTTCGGTCGCCATCTCCAAGTTGTCACTCATCCTGGGATCTGGACGAGCGACTGAGGTAGGGAGAGGGATGATGTGAAGGAGAGGGAGACGTGCTGGAACAGGAGTAGAAAGGAAATATCGCGGAGTCAAACCTTCTTCTACTATACCCACGACAGCATATGCCGAGCGGCTCGAGACCGACCTACCTTGTAATCATGTTGCTCTCATTTCCGCTACGACATGCCAATTCCGCCGCCGCCGCTGCAGCAAGGCATTGAACGTGGTGGAGTCGAGATCGCACCATGACCGATTACTAGCCGTTAGCCACTGAAACTCGCCGGCCCACGGAGAAGGTCCAGGAGATCTGGCAGATGACAGGCTACTGCATTCGATGATCTCGACGTGATGTTGCGAACCACCCACATGGCGGCCGATGGGCAAAAACACGCGAGAGACGATAAGATGAAGATGTTCTGTCCAATGGTGGAGGAGTGAATAGTAACAAGCGCGCCTATCTCCGAGGGCTGCAGGCACGATAAGGACTTTTTGGTGCGCCCCACCACCACAACCATCGGCCAGGAATAAACAGAATTAGGGAGGATTTCTGGTGGGGGCGTTCTCATGGGCTGATACAGAACGATAAGGCCGCCGTATTACATACACCACAGTACTGGGCATTCTTTTGACATACCTCCCTACAACACAACACCACCTCGTCCTCAGTGGCGTTGATCGGACAGGAAACGTTGGTCTCGTCTATCTCCAACGACGATCCTTCCATTCATCATTCTGGGCTGAATCCTTCCGTGATACTGTACATGGAAACTACGAGTATCCCATTGTTTCCTTTTCCTCGCTATATTGATCACAACTGAATGCAGTTGACGTCGGTGATCAGTTTCGCCTTCCAATCCCATAGAGATAAATCTGTTCTCGGGTTAAGTGGATACTCGCTACATTCGGAGGCAGGTAGCAAGACATCCACGGATCATTTGTTGATTTCGGTCCGCGGGCGTTGCGGAACATGACTAATCATGGGGACGATTCCACCACGGATAGTTCCGCGGAAAGCGGCCGAGGAGAAACCTCACTTCACGCCATGGTCTTTGCTTCACTCTTTGTAATAACTTGCCATCATAGCCTTGCCGTCGCAGCCGCAAGTCCCAATGCATGAGAGAAATTGGAATTTCATCGCGCAGATTGAGCAATATATTGCGAAGAAGGCATCAATATCCGCACGAGCCGTAGTGAGACATTAATATTTTTGAACGATCATCGCATTGCTGATGTCAAGATCTTCAATATGTCGGCCTCCACCACGCGGCGATGAACGCCTTCGTCCAAGGGTTGCGCGATAGTCAGCTCCGCCTAGGCCAGATTTGTCCACACACCAAAGATTATGCACCACGAAAAAGCCAAAGATAAGCCGTCCACGCTATTTCGACTTTGCCTCACTTTCTAGACTCCCACACGTCGGAAAGGGTTTCCACTGCTCAGAACCCAATTTCCAAAATGTCGCGAGATGTTCCAATTCCGTGATGTAATCGACATGGCCAGCTGGGCACGGAGTGATCGTTCCTCCGAGACTATTTTCCGCGGCCATCGGCGGAATCGGCCATCTGCGCTGAGACGTTGCTCACAGCGAACTAGGATCGGCGTCTCGCCTCCTCAATCGACAAGTCCTCGAAACATGCCTCGAAATGTGTGGCCAGTATGTCCCGAGAAATGTTGTGTCTGCCAGGTACCGGCAAGTATGCTTTGAGCCTTGTTGCGTAATCCCACCATTGTGACACTGGTGTTGTCAAACGTCTTAACCTGCCAGAAATCTATCCCTCTCATTGACTCTGTCGTCACGCATTTACGTTTTGACGACAACCTGAACCTTTCAAGCTTTCTCTCATATTTCCTGCGTGACTATTGAGCGGGCTTGTCTTCTCTTGTATCACTACATCACTTGCGTGCTTGAGTGAAACCTAGCACTCCACGTACACACCTAGATAATGTCTTCGGTTTCTAAGATGGTAAAGGAGCTACCGATCCGCAAGGACTCCGTCAGACTAGATCTGCCGCCAACGCCGCCTTTGACAAGTGAAAGCTCTTCAGATGAAGTCGATGCGAGCAGTGCTTCGTCTTTCACCGACACTCCGAATCCCCCGAAGGTAGACTTTCCCCTACCACCGCCTACGACAATACCCACACAAGTCCTCAAAGAAGATTCCAAAACTCCAGATGGATGGCTGGCCCGAGATCCACGATTAATACGACTGACCGGCGTCCATCCCTTCAACGTCGAAGCGCCGCTATCTGCCCTGTATGACGAGGGCTTCCTCACAAGTCCGGAGTTGTTCTACGTCCGAAATCATGGGCATGTCCCTCGAGTAGAGGATCATGAGATTCCTGATTGGGAATTCACTGTCGAGGGAATGGTCGAACAACCTCTCAAGTTGACCCTGCGTGAACTCATCGAGGAATACGAGCAACACACCTACCCTGTCACACTTGTCTGTGCAGGTAATCGGCGGAAGGAACAGAATATCGTCCGCAAAACGAAAGGATTCTCGTGGGGTGCTGCTGGTGTGTCGACAGCTCTCTGGACTGGCGCCATCCTAGGCGATGTCCTCAGAAAGGCGAAACCTTTACGAGGCGCCAAATATGTCTGCATGGAAGGCGCCGACAAATTACCCAATGGATTTTACGGCACATCAGTCAAGCTGAACTGGGCCTTGGATCCCAACAGAGGCATGATGCTCGCACATAGAATGAACGGTGATGTTCTTCGTCCGGACCATGGCAAGCCTCTTCGCGTCATCATTCCGGGCCAGATCGGCGGCCGCAGTGTCAAATGGCTCAAGAAGCTGATTGTCACAGCCGAGCCAAGCGACAACTGGTATCACATCTACGACAACCGAGTCCTTCCGACGATGGTCTCTCCTGAGGAATCTGCCGCCAAGAAGGAATGGTGGACCGATGAGCGGTATGCCATCTACGACCTCAGCACCAATTCAGCAATCGCATATCCTGCCCATGATGAAAAAGTAAGCCTCACAAGTGATGATTCAACGAAGACATACAACGTCCGAGGATACGCTTACGGCGGTGGTGGACGTCGGGTGACTCGCGTCGAAGTCTCTCTCGACAAAGGCGTGACATGGATCTTGTCGGACATCGATTACGCTGAAGACCGGTATCGGGACGCTGTTCCTCAAAATCTTTACGGCGGTGCTGTCGATTTCGGATGGCGGGAAGCCTCATTCTGCTGGTGCTTCTGGAATGTGAAAATTCCTGTCGCGGATCTAGCCAAAGCACAGGACGTTCTTGTTCGAGCAATGGACGAGAGCATGAACCTTCAACCTCGAGACATGTATTGGAGTGTGCTCGGTATGATGAACAATCCTTGGTACCGCATTGTTGTCAAGAATGAGGGCGGTGTCTTACAATTTGAGCATCCTACGCAGCCTGCTCTGATGCCAGGAGGTTGGATGGAGCGGGTCAAGAAGGCGGGTGGCGACCTGACGAACGGGTTTTGGGGCGAACAGACTGGTGGTGAAATCGCGACAAAACCCGTGTTGGAAGAAATCAAGGAGGTCAAGATGACTAAAGATGGCGTCAATCGGATGATTACTCTTGAAGAGCTTCGTGCACATGACAAGGAAGACGAGCCATGGTTCGTTGTTCGGAACGAGGTTTACGATGGAACAGCCTTCTTGGAAGGGCATCCAGGCGGCGCTTCGAGTATTATCAATGCTGCTGCACTGGACTCCACGGACGAGTTCATGGCTATTCGTGAGTCGCAGCCGAGCGAAAATGTATACGAGGAACTTTCAGACTGACAACCTCACAGACAGTGAGAATGCCAAAGCTATGATGCCTTCATACCATATTGGCACTCTTGACGATGCTGCCATTGCTGCTCTAGCGAGCGGAGACGCTGTCGAGACCGCAGATGCTCCTCCGCGACCTATCTTCCTCGATCCCAAAAACTGGCGCAAATCCATCCTCCATGCGAAGAAGGTAATTTCACATGACACTCGCATCTTCACCTTCAAGCTCGACTACGACGACCAAGCGCTCGGCCTGCCCACCGGCCAACATCTCATGATCCGCCTGCGCGATCCCGTCACCCGAGAAGCTATCATTCGCAGTTACACGCCTCTGTCTGAGACTTCGAAACGCGGCTACCTTGATGTACTCATCAAAGTCTATTTCGACACTCCCGGCTACGCCGGCGGCAAGATGACGAAAGCCCTCGATTCCATCCCCGTCGGCCACCCTCTCGACCTCAAGGGTCCCATCGGCAAATTCGAATACCTCGGACAGGGCCGCTACACCCTCAACGGCGTCCCCAACTTCTCTCCCGATCCCACATCCCTCGTCCCCTCCGTCGCGCCGCTTAAGACTTTGTACATGATCTGCGGCGGCAGCGGCATCACGCCAATCTTCCAAGTCCTACGCGCCGTACTCACCAATCCCTCCGACCACGTCCGCTGCGTCGTCATCGACGGCAATCGCCTCGTCACGGACATCTTGTGTCGGGAAGAACTCGACGGGTACGCACGCGATTACGCCAATCGCTGCGAGTTGCTATATCTCCTGACTCAGCCAGCGGACGATTGGACGGGCTTGCGGGGACGTATCGCAGCGCCCTTACTCAAGGAGCGTGCGGCAAGGGAGAAGCATGCGGGTGGAGAAGCGATGGTGCTGGTCTGTGGGCCGGAGCCGATGGAGAAGACGGTGAGGGAGGCACTGTTCGAGGGAGGATGGAAGGCGGAGGAGATTATTTTCTTCTGATGGTGTTCAATCGAGACATGTTGTGTGTCCGGACTTCGTGAATGTTTTTTTAGAAGCCGGGATGGTGCATTTTAATAGGCGTTTGGGGGCATAGATGGCGTTCGCTGTGGTTCGGCGTTAAAAAATGACCTTCAGCGAGATTGTGAAGGCGGCATCGAATTGGGACAATGTTGGTTTTAGATTGAAATGAACGATCTTCATCTTTGTATCCGAATTTCATTCACCCATTGCTAATGTCCATACACACCCACATAGATCTCCAGGTGATTCATGAGTGACGAGCATTCCCGCATCATTCTCCGCCCTCAAACATATGGGATCCGATAAGGCGGCCGATCCCGCCGATAGCACGTGCACGAATTACCCGATTGGGACTCACGCGACATTAGCTAAGCTCATTTTTCTCTGTCCGCTAAATTTTGGTTTGCCATCATCGCCGGGTCGAATATTGCTACGATTTCGGTGACAGCCTGCACGTCCTGTGCAAAGTCCCACCACAATGGCAGGCGAAGATCAAACCCACCGGCCGCATCGGACTTCGAAGACAAAGAAGAAGCACGACGCGAGTCAACCTAACCCCAAAGCTTTTGCATTCGCAGCGCCTGGAAGGCTTCAGAAGCAGGCCGCTCGCAGTCACGATGTCAAGGAAAAGCGTCTACATGTACCGCTGGTCGACCGACTTCCTGAGGAGGCGCCTCCGTTGGTAGTCGGTGTTGTTGGACCGCCCGGTGTTGGCAAAACTACCCTGATCAAGAGTTTGGTGAGGAAATATACGAGACAAACCATCACACAGCCGACCGGTCCAATCACAATTGTCACGAGTAAGAGGAGGCGTTTGACCTTCGTGGAAAATCCAAGTGAGAGTCTGGCATCGGCGATTGACCTCGCAAAGGTGGTGGACATCGTCCTGCTCATGATCGACGGCAATTACGGCTTCGAAATGGAGACGATGGAGTTCCTCTCAGTGTTGAGTAGCACGGGTATGCCGGGAAATATATTTGGTATCTTGACACACCTCGATCTTTTCCGCAAGCAGGAGACACTCAAGGCACAGAAGAAGCGACTGAAGCACCGGTTCTGGTCCGAACTATACCAAGGTGCCAAGCTCTTCTACCTCTCGGGTGTGATCAACGGCCGATACCCGGATCGTGAAGTCCTCAACCTCTCGCGCTTTCTCAGTGTCATGAAGAATCCCCGTCCGCTGGTCTGGCGCAATTCACATCCTTACGCATTGGCTGATCGAATGCTCGACATCACACCACCGACCACGGTTGAAGCTGACGAGAAGTGCGATCGCACGATTGCGCTATACGGATATCTGCGCGGCACAAATTTCCCTTCTCACGATGCTCGTGTACACATCCCTGGCATTGGTGATTTAAAGGTCGATCGAGTGGAGGCCCTTCCGGACCCTTGCCCCACACCACACTTTGAACAGGCGAAAGAGAAAGCTGAGGGAACAAAGAAGAGGAGACGGCTAGGGGAAAAGCAAAAGATCATATATGCACCTATGAGCGATGTAGGCGGTGTACTGGTGGACAAGGATGCTGTATACATCGACATCAAGAGCAATAACTTTGATGCAGATGACAGCGACGAAGATCGCGGACTCGGCGAACAGATGGTCGTTGGTCTGCAGGCTGAGCGGAAATTACTTGGAGAGGATGACCAGGGTATCGCTTTGTTCAATCGAGGAGAGAAATTGAGAGAGGTCGCCGACGATGATGAAGCCCAAAACACGGGCCGCAAGGATCGTCGGAAACCATCGGTCATGGAAAGGGACGAGGACGACGAAGTTGAGGATGATGAGGATGAGGGGTTTGCGAGTGGCGATACCGATGACGAAGCGGATCTCGAGGCCCTGCAGCAAGCACCCTCAAATCTGCGCAAGAAACCGAAAGATCAGGATCAGCAGGTCGAAGGTGACATTGCGTTCGCAGACTCTGACAGCGATCTCGGGTCGATATCCTCCGTTTCCGATCAAGATCTGGAGGAAGATCCTGACGAGGAAGGTTCCGGCGACGAAGAACTTGATCTCGACGGAGACGAAGACGAATTCGACGACGATGATGATGACGATGACGAGCTGCGATGGAAATCAAATCTGGCAGATCGTGCCTTGGCACTACATCGTCGAAAGCAACCATACCGCGTTGCGGAACTCGCCAAGATGATGTACAACAATATGCTCTCCACGGCGGATGTCGTGAAGAAATGGCGAGGCGAAGACGATGAAGATGGAGAGGCTGATGAGAAGCCCGAAGAAGACGATTTCTTCCAAAGGAGAAAGATCACCAATGACGAAGATGACGATCGCATGATTCCTGAACTCGATTACACTGAACTCGAAAGCAAGTGGCAAGACGATGACATGATCGAGTCCTTGCGAGCGCGATTCGCATCAACTCGGGTCAGCGGTGCCAATGCTGAAGAGCTCGGGAGCGATGATGACTCTTTTGGTGATGAGGATGGGGAGGGAGGCGATGATGACGAAGGAGATGGTGAATTTGAAGATCTCGAAACTGGTGAAAAGAATGTGCCCAAAGCAGATGCTGCAGATGAAATCGAGGCAGAGCGTGATGCAAACGCACGCAAAAAGGAAGAACTGAAATTGCGGTTCGAAGAAGAGGATCGCGAGGGTTTCTTGAACCCCAAGAATACCAATCGCGAAGCCAACGGAGCCAGCACAGAGCAGGAGTACGGTGAGGATGAATGGTACGATGCCCAGAAAGCTCTTCTTCAAAAGCAACAGGATATCAACCGCCGCGAGTTTGAGGATCTGGATGACCTATCGCGTGTTCGTGCGGAAGGACATCGCGCGGGCACTTATGCGCGCATCATCCTTTCCAATGTGCCATGCGAGTTCACCGAGAATTTCGACGCACGATTTCCACTTCTCATTGGTGGTCTTCAGCCTACAGAGGAGCGAATGGGATTCGTCCAAGTACGCATCAAGCGGCATCGATGGCACAAGAAGATTCTCAAGACAAACGATCCCTTGATTTTCTCGCTTGGGTGGCGGAGATTCCAGACCACCCCTGTCTACAGCATCAGCGACTCCCGAACGCGCAACCGCATGCTCAAGTACACCCCTGAGCACATGCACTGTTTTGGAACGTTCTATGGGCCGCTGGCTGCACCCAACACTGGCTTCTGTTGCGTGCAGAGCCTTTCAAACAAGAACCCCGGCTTCCGTCTCGCCGCGACAGGTGTCGTGCTCAACGTCGACGAGAGCACCGAAATCGTCAAAAAGCTCAAACTCACCGGGCACCCTTACAAGATCTTCAAGAACACCGCTTTCATCAAAGACATGTTCGGCTCCGCCCTCGAAATCGCCAAATTCGAAGGCGCCAGCATCAAGACCGTCTCCGGCGTCCGCGGCCAGATCAAGAAAGCCCTGTCGAAGCCCGAAGGCTGTTTCCGCGCAACTTTCGAAGACAAAATCCTCATGAGCGACATCGTCTTCCTGCGCGCCTGGTTCCCCGTCCGGCCCCACCGCTTCTACAACCCGGTCACAAACCTCCTCGTCGCCGGCGATGGCGCTCAGGGAGATGCCTGGACCGGCATGCGGCTGACCGGCCAGGTCCGCGCGGACCAAAACCTGCCCACGCCGAAGCTGAAGAACAGCGCTTACCGCCCGATTGAGCGCCAAGAGCGCCATTTCAACCCCCTGCGCGTCCCGCGCAAACTCCAGGCCGAGCTACCGTACAAATCGCAAATCGTCCGGATGAAACCGCAGCGGCCGGGCAAGGAGACGTACGTCCAGAAACGCGCGGTGGTCGTCGGCGGCGAGGAGAAGGCTGCGCGTAGGCTCATGGCGCAGGTCATGACTATCCGGAAGGCGAAGGTTGAGAAGCGCAGGGCCAAACAGGAGGAACGCAAGCAGGGTTATCGGGATAAGGTCAAGGAGAATATGGAGAAGAGGACGGAGCGGGAGAAGAAGGAGCGGGACGAGTTTTGGAAGAGAGAGGGGAAGAAGAGGAAGGGGTGGAATCAGGATGGTGGGGAGGGCGGTGGTGCTGGCGGTGGTAAGAGGAGGAGAACGTAGAAGATTTTTATGCTGTGTAGAGATAGATTGGGGAGAAATGCCGATTTCACCTTACTGGGATGATCACAAAAGTATTCCAGTATTCGAGAATTGTAGAAATGTGATAGTAATACAAACCCGCTAAGCTACACAAAAACGCGCTATACATATATCTAAAACATAACAACGATCGTGGTGTTGGTGATGGTGGCCAAGATGGCGTTTCAGTAGTAGTAATACAATCGTTACACCCATGTCGTGGTTGTTTCCTCTAAAACCTGCCCCGTTTCTAAAACGCATAAGGTCCAGGGTTTGGACGAATATATCCATCTTCGTCCCCGAAATCATCATCCTCCCTTCTCAACTGCCTCTGCCACTCGTCGTTCAATTTTGGCATGCACTGCACCGCGTAAAGCGTCCGTGGGGCGTTCTGGCGAATCTGTCTCAGACGGCCGACGTATCGCGCGAGATTGACTCCTTTCACCATGAGATGGGGCGCTTCGAGATATTGCGTGCCGACGGACTCCGCGCGACGCAAGGTGAGCAGGGCGCGGCTCAGGCAGATGAAGGTCTGGTATTGCGGCATGAGGTGGTCGACGCGGATGTAGCGCGCTCGGATGTGTTGCAAGCCGGTGCGGAGTTCGTGATCGTCGGGGACCGGCCAATATTCATCCAGCCAGCCTGGGAAGTTTGGGATCAGGAAGCGCTCGGTGAGTTGGAAGGCCAGCAGAGTGTAGGGCGGGGTTCCGGAGCAGAGGTATCGGATGAAGACGTTCCAGGTCATGTTGTCGAGGCTGTAGCCTTCGGAGATGAGGCTTGTTACGAGGTTGATGGCGTCCGCGATGCGGCCGGAGTCGACGAGGGTCTTCATGTAGAAGAGGGCGGGGCGGCTGAGCATGAGGCGACGACCGCCCTGGATGGTCTGGGCTACGGAGCCTGACTTTCCAGGTTTTTGATGTGGTTGGGAAGAGTGCAGTGTCGACTCGGCGGAAGAGGTCGTGCGGTTCGCCTCGCCCCTTCGAGATGCGAAAGGTCGTAGAACGGGCAGCGTGACGGGCGCGACCATGCGGTCGGCTTGCTCTTTGGCAAGTTCCCAGCAAGACTCGACCTCCTTGTGCTGGCGCAACCTGTTCAAAGCGCGCATCAAATATGCAAGGATCTCGTTTGGAGGGTCCACACCTTGAGCGAGATATCGAGCGAACAACTGCCTCGCGGCTTCGAGACTCCTCTCGGCTCCGTAGACCTTGAGGATGTGGTCGAAGTGCTGCCTGGCCAGGAGTGCTTCAGCTCTGACATCGTGCCTGTTTTTGCTAAAAGAATAACCGTCTGCAAAAGGTAGCAAATCCGCCGTGTCCTGCACTGAGTCCACCACGAACTCCTCAGCCTCCTGCACTTCGGCTAACCGTATTTGCCTCCTCGACTCTGTCACCCGCTCCACTAACTGCTCCCACTGCTCCAGCGTGAAGGGTCCAAAGACTTCGCCGCCCGGCGGCTTTGCTTCGGTGGACTCTTCGACTACGGAGTTGGCCTGAGAATGGCTGTCTTCCGCTTCTTGTTTTGTCCTGTCCGAGAGACCGCCATCTGACTTATCAGCAGTATCAGATCGAACGTTCGCTGGCACTTCCGCAGCGTCATTCAGTTGCGTCTTTGCGACCGCATCATCAGCCGAATCGGACTGGGCATCTGCCAACGAATGTTCACCAGTCGCGGAGTGAACTTCGGCTGACGGTTCATCGGCGGAAATGGGTTGAGTGTTTTCTGGGTGTTCGCTGACCGGCTCGGGCGGATCTTCTGTCTCGATCTCCTCTCCGGATGCAGGTCGATCAGACGATTCATCGACGCCATCGGACGGCTCTTTAGGGGGCCATATCGTGCGCGCTTCAGAATCACTCAGACGGAACATTTCCTCAGCTACCGGTCGACTACGCTCAAAAGGCACAGCTGGTCCATTGCCTTTCCATGTCTTCGGAGCACTCAAACCTGCAGCTTTCAGCTCGAGTTGTGTCCGCGCCTCGAGGTAGATCTGTTCAATCGTCTTGTCAGACCTGACATTCGTCCGCTGCAGGTGAGTGTGCATCCAGACGACCTCTCTAAACCTCTCGCGGATGAGATATGCCTTCATCACGATGGACCAGCTTATGGAAGTCGGCATGAAGCCTTCCCTAGGCATGAGATAGCGGAGCATGCCGAAGGCGAGCCCTTCATTGTTGGTACCGCATAGTGCGTAAATGAGGGCGGCGTAAGTATGGTCGGAGAGAGCAACTCCCGACTTTTTCATCTCCTTGTAGACTGAAACTGCGCCGCTGAGGTCGCGAGCTTGGCCCAAAGACATGATAACGAGATTGAAATTCTGCGTGTGGGAACCTTTCACTTCGCCCTTCAGACCATCCGCCACGGAAGCATACAGAATCTCCTTGGCTTCTTCTATGCGATAATTTTCGAGTAGTGCAAGAATCTCACTTCCGATCAAATGGGTCGTCCGCTTCATGCCGGTGAGCTCGTCGTGTTGTTTGAGCAGGGCTCGAACGTTATCCACGTCGCCTCGCCGAGCGAGCATGTTGCAAATAACGTGAAATACATGCGCAGTGGGTGCGAGCTTCGGATCTTCCTCAGAGGCTTGATGCATCAACTGCAGAGCCTTGAATGCCTTCGTGATGTCGTCTGCGCGGGCATAGGTATGAATCAGAGCTGTCCAGCAGAACCGATTTGGCGTAGAATTGAATGGCTGAGCTAGATGTACGAGCCGCTGGAAGGCCTCCTCCGCGCGCGTCACATTGCCGGATCGAACATACGGCTGCACGAGAAGCCACATCGATGGTCCCCAAGACGATATGTGAGGATATTCCCGCATGAAAGCATTGAAATACTCGTTGACCAAGTCAGGCTTTTCCATCTCTGCGTAATGCCTGATGATCGCTTTGAAGGCTTCACGAGAGAATTTCGTGTGGAAGCGTAGCCAATCGTCGATGACGATGGCCAGAGGCAGATGATTGTCTTCACTCCGAGCGGAGCTTTTTTCCCATCGAATCGAGCGGCCCAGAAGAGGGTATAGGAGACTCTCGGGGGGGTGTGCTGTAGGCGATTTCCGATATGACAGGTAGAACTTGGCCAAGATCTCATATACCTCAGGGTCGTCTCTCTTCTCTGAGAGAGAAAGCAGGCTTGCCATTGTCCTTTCGGCAAACGAAGTTCCCACGACGGCAGGACTGACAGAGAAGATGTAATCAAGCAAATCGGTCACGAATTTCTTGGCTGCAATGATGCGCTGATCCTGCCAATAATACGCCGTTCGTCGCCCACGATAAGAACTGGTTTTTTTATCAAGCTGAGGATCGTCCGCCTTGAGATAGAAGCCTTTACTCAATAGTCGTATGCTTACTTCTGTTGCAACGAACTGACACAGCGAGCTTGCGAATGACTTTCGTTCGCCGTCAAGGTCTTGATGGTTTTCATTCTGAGTATTCTGCATCTCAGCATCCACACTTGAGACACCTGAGTTTCGAACCCATTCCTTGACACTCAGAATCTTATTCCTGTCTTCGTCGGTCAAGCTTCCTCCGAGGCAGTGGAACAACTGACCTTGCAGCTTTTCGTTATCAGCGGGAGGACCAAGTGCCAAGGCCTCAGTGTGGATATGGAAGGCCAAATCCCAGTCATTGTCTTCAAATGCCAGTCTGAAAGCTTCCGAGTGCAGTTGCGGCTTGACAGGGAATGCTTCAAACATCGCATCATGCAAGGGCCTCAGAGGTTGCTCCTGTCTTCTAAATACCACTAGAGCGTTCTCGAATGTTTTATGACTTCGCTCAGTCGTCGGGGCACTATTCCAGACGGATATGAAGTGAGCATCAGCCTCAGTCCGTTTGTGTTCTTTCAACCAATTGAGAAGTGCGTCGGTCAATAACGACACGGTCGGAGAGGGCTTTGCTGGGGACTGCAACCTGTTGTATACTCCCATGGCTGCTTCGAGAGCGTTTCCTTCTGGCAGGACATCGTCTTCGGCCAATCTCAATCCAGGCTTGCGAGAAACAATGCGCCGAAGGTCTCTCATGGTGGCGACATCTTCCCCTGGCCACGTTGTCTGATCGTCAATTTCGATCGGAGTCTTGAGTATCATTTCCGGTTCCTCGGCCGCAAGCGGAGATTCTCCAGCACCTTCTGCTTCCGTTCGACCTGTATCAAAGTCGCGCATGTCGTTGGCGAGTGCCTCAGTCATACTTATTGGCTGCTCTGTCCACCCCTGCCCTCTCCTGCGAACGTTCTTTTTCTCTTTCTTTTTCTTGTCTTTTTTCCCTCTCGACGACGGAAGAGAATCAAAATCTATGCCGGCAAACGCATCCTCCTCCTCTCCTTCTGCGCTCCCAATACTAGCCTCGTCTCTTAAGGCCTCTCTATCTTGCGACACCTCCGTCGTCGAGACTTGCGCCTGTTTCTGCTTCGACTCTAGGAAGGAATCCAACTCGGTTCCCGGAAACGCATCTCCCGGGTCATCCGCGTCACCAATTCCATCCGGCATTTCCTGCAACAAATCACGTTCGCGGCTATCTTCGATGTCCTTCTTTGACTTTTGGAAGAATGCGTCCTGCTCTCGCTTGTTCTCGTCCACAACATTACGGTCTTTCTCTTTCTCTCCATTCTCATCCACGATTCTCTCTTTTGATGGGGAAGTCTTGGATGCATAGCCCCTCGCAGCTTGCAGGCGACCCTCATGGGGCCGACGGACACCTCGATGATCCCATCGGTCACGCGTTGGTCCGACGGGACTTGTCGATGAGTGGACGCGATTCAGATATGCAAGTGCTTGAGGGGGATACAGGAATTCCAAAAAGAGTCCCGGTTCAGTATTTGGGCACGTGATGAATGATTGAGCTCGCGATTTACCCCTTCGCTGTGAGTAGGGAGTGTTCGAACTTGGGCTGGACACCGGGCTTTTTTCTGCGAGTGCGAAAGGCGGTAATTCGAAGTGGTTCGCGCCATGGTGGTGCCAGAAAGTCGAATGCAGCATGCGCTTGCTACCGAGAGCTCGTTGGACGCATCGACGAGATTCGGGCTGTCGAACTCCGGCGTTGAGACATGATGTCGCTCGCTCTATCATGCCCCCGAAACACCACGAGCATTACTGTGTAGTCTTTATTAGGAGATGGTGATAAATCAATGATTCGGCGATGCGTTCGAAGGAGCAATGAGGCGAAATGGAAAAGTGTGAATAGCAACGCCCCAGAAGCTCTCATGCTGGTCATTGATCTCAGGACTTTTCTGGGAGCACGGGGACAATCCCCTTTGGGCCAAGCGGCGATCGTCCATCGGCAGCGAACGATGTTCGGGATGAATATTGAATCGAGATCAGTGTTCATTTCAGTATTCTATCCCTTTCATTGCATATTCAATAGAGTGATAAGGAGCCTTAATTTAACCATCCACAAGACTTTGAATATGGGTCCTGCCCACATTGGCCGCGCGCGGAACGATAGAATCGTAAATCTAGCAAAATGTATTTGACGAGAGGACCTCGATCCTCGACAAATGATTACGTCAGTCCCTTTCATGACAACGCTGTTCAATCATGATCAGACACAAGATGCACCTCCACATTTATTTCCCTCTCCATCCTCCCATCCAGGAAATCCTCAATGTCCATACCAGTCCGGAATATATACGCGGTCTTCGTTCTGACATTCCTCTCCCTCTTCTCCTCGTCCACTTCGGTCTCCGGAACGATTTGCGGTGCTACAAACCCCAAAGCCTTCAGCTGTTCACCAAACGAAGGTGGTGACAATTCGTCCACGTATGGTGCAAATTCCTTCCCGTAGTGCTTGAGACTGTAGATGTCCCATGATTTGCGGATGGCACCCATAATGACCGTGAAGTTGTCAGTGGTGTTGGGGAGTCGGAGGATGACTTGTGTTGGAAGTTTGATCTGTGGGTAGACGGTGCGGTTTTGCATGAAGGCGACGATTCTGAGAGGCCCACCAGCGTGAGGATTCGGCCTGCGTGGGAGTAAAACGACGTAAGGCTGCAATGTGAGCATGGGCGGGTGCACCATGTACATTCCCGGAGAGGGGGTGGATGTTTGCAGGGCGTGGATGTTGCGGATGGACTGTTGGATGTTTTTGCGCAGGTCGACTACATCTTGAGAAATACGAGTCTGTTGACGACGAGGTCGCTGGCCAGGTGGCAAGCGCATCCGATCCATCTCGACGATGACTTCGAAAGATTGTGCGCTCGGTGCCTTGGACGGGTTGTCATGGCTGTCCCAGACGCGAGCCACGCGGAAGACCCCCAAGTGATCTGGGTTAAGGTAAATGGAGCGATTGAAGCCGACGGATGCCCAACAATTGACCCGCATGGATAGACCTTTGCGGCGGACGTCGTCCAGACATTCCTGTCGATCTCGAAATTTCTTCTGAACCTGTCGATGGACCAGCTCGGTAAGTTCCTGCGGCGTGCTGTTCAGATCGATATGAATCAGGTCCGTGTCCCAGATGTTGTTGAAGCGTCCATCAAGCCAGAAGAATTTGAGGGTGCCGGTATTCTGCAGAGCAAGTTGCTTTTCCTCTTGGGTCAATTTTGTCAACCCTTGTCGTACGGAGTATTCCTAGCCTTCCATGATCTTGACGTGACATGCGCGACGCCAGTCGTGCTGTGCCTGTGCGAGATCTTGCTGGTGGTTCATGAGCGCGCTGACATCATCGCCAATGTAGGCATCACTCTCGTCATCGCTGGTGTCCTCATCCGCGTAATGAAATATGAGCGGGGGTAATGTGAACGACTGATTGATTCGTGGAGGAGCAGTCCTGTTGAGATTTAGACTGAAGTTGGACAAATCATAGTCGGAACTTTGAATGAATGACATGTTGGTTCAGTTATTGATATTGCGTAACGATGCCGAATGATGGCTCGGTTACTTGGAGGCTTGGAGACGGTATGGTTGCGATGGTTCAAGTTAGTCAGAAACCCGAGAGTGTCGTTGATGTGAGGACGCCCGAACGTGACTGCCAATTCGTCAACTAGCGACTTGTCGCTCCTGCCTATGCCCCTTCACGCAGTATCCATCATTTCAATGGAGATACAGTGGATGCCAATGACCACATGTTATGCCCCGAGTCTCACCCGCGACTCTGTGGTTGAACGAAATCATATTGGCCAACTAATGTCATGATCTCAGATCTCGAATTGGGTCGTGGCACCTGGAAATGAGTGCGTAGTACTTCATTCGAACCCTAACAAACAGCACAACCCAAACCCTATTCACCTTACACCTATACGTAGGCGCTGACTGGCAATCCGTGGATCATTTCTCTGCCTTTTCAAAAGCAAGCAGTCAGGGTATATCAAGAGATTGTAACGAGAGCTGTTGAGAAGTGGCTTCTGGTCACGTTGTCAACCACCAGAATCAGGGGCATTCGCGCCTCATAAAAAAGCAGCAAGTGCTCCCATCACCCATATGTGTATTGAGATCGTGCGGATGTGGAGCAGCAGGGAACTCCGTACGGATTAGACTTCTGTAACGGCATGTGCTGGCGTTCAATGACAAAGAGACGATGTAAACATTCCAAGGTTAGTAAGGATGTTCAAAGCATCACATGCGTGACATGACATGTGGGACCGAGATCACCGTCACTTACAGACGCATTGTAGGTCTGAGCTCCCCACGAAGCGCACATCGCTCGGCGCAACAATCTTTCCGTCTCAAGCCGGATGTACCCTCACCTCTACTCTACTATTACGTATGACGGGAATAACAGCATCACCGTGATCAACATGATTTGGCTTGCAATATTAAAGTTGCAGTGCAGCGCGGGACGAGCGGAATCCTTCCGCCGGCGTCGGCGCCGTCGGTCATCATAAATCGGGTTTCGGCGTGTGATCCTCGCCGAAGTGGACAATGCAACAGCATTATGTGATCGCCGCTCCGAGAGCGGATATGCACACGATGCATTACCCAGCCTTACACCTCTCTGTTCAGATGTCTGTGCCCCGTGAAGCAGCTCGGTCACCCCGAAAACATGACGCCGCGGCCGCAAACCCCTTCCAATTTGCATCATGTCTAGCTGTGTTCGGGCAGTTCCTCCGTTGGACCCGCAGCATTGTGCCCTGCCAGATGTTGTGGATCGACTTCGCGTCTGGCCGCCTGTGGCGCTCTTATGTTGATCCGCGCCTGTATAACGGTAAACCAGCATGCCCCCGACATGCGCCCATCACACACTAGTAAGCTTTCCTGTGGGAACAGCCTTCGAAAATGGCTTTCAGCTGAACGGCCGCCTACCTTGCCCGTATTGACCACGTTGTAGAGACACCAGCTGGTCTCATAGACTGGTAGATTCCCTATGCCATTCGAAACATTTCTGCATTTTGATTGAAGGCAGAGTTTCTTCTCCGGCTTCGCTCGTCAAGTGTTGTCGGCATGTATGTACATCCATGGATGTTTCGGAGGTCTGCCCGGCAGTCGAGGACTTAATGTGTGATAAATCCGAGGACGGTGTGCATGTGCTTTCATACTTTCATACGGTATTCACAGCTCCGATGTTGTTGGTGGTAGACTGAAGCCCATGCCTGATGAACTACCAAACATCATGTTACGCAGCGCTGTCAGCCCCGACACAAAGGTCGCTGTCATGGTAAATAACGAATGGGCCAAATGGAGCAGTGGGAAGCGTGCAGATCGGCGAGAGCGATCCCAGCTGTCGGAGGAACCTTCGTTACCTTCCGCCGACCGCACGTCAGATTACCTGCTGCGCTTTACCGGGCTGAGCACCGCATCAAGGCGAGCAACGTGGAGGATATATATTCACGTACTCCTTTCTCTGGGTAGATCATTCTCTTACACACATTGCATGAAATCCAGTCAAAAACACACCGATCGTGCGGCGCAAATCTAATTCAAATTCTCACGCCACTTAATCTATACTCTTTTTACGCATTGATCATGGAGGCGACTCAAGATAAAGCCGTCTCTCCGCTGACCCTCGTTGTGACCTTCGGAGCACTTGTAAGCAAAAAGACCACGCGAGCACGGCGCTCAAGAAACATGGTGAGATTGTGCAGTGGCTAATCCCTCTAACCATAGGCCGTTGCGTATTTCATCTTCTCGACTCTCAGCTCCGCTTTTCGTGGACCTCTGGCTCAGATCCCCGGTCCTGCTTCACGCCATCTCTCAATCATCCCATATATTCGTGATCTGATCTCCGGTCGATCAGTCAATGCTACAGTCGAGCTTCATGAGAAATATGGCGACGTCGTTCGTTTGGCTCCGAATGAGGTCTCATTCACCTCGGCCGATACGGCTTGGACCGACATCTACGGTTTCCGCACAGGGAAGCTAAAGGGACATGCGAATATGGCCAAAGTATGCACTTTTATCTGATGTCCACCCTGAACCGCATCTGACTGTGTGACCAGCATCAGCAATGGTATGGTCCCTCGCCCAACGGTGTGCCCTCTATCATCGTCGCAAATGATGCTGACCACACACGAGGTGAGTCCATCCTATCTCATATCCCGATCGTCCCCCAACTGACCGTCATAGGCCGCAAAGTTCTCTCTCATGCGTTCAGTGAGAGGTCACTCAACGGCGAGGAGCCTCTCCTCCAAAACTATGTTGATCAACTTGTCTCTCGACTCAGGGAGACCATCGCAGCGAAAGGCGACGCCGTCGATATGGTCAAGTGGTATAATTGGACCACTTTCGATATCATCGCAGATCTGGTTTTCGGTAAGCCAAGTTGCCCAATGACCTTGCGCGGCTGAGCTCACATAATCTTCAGGCGAACCCTTCGGGTGTCTTCAGAACCTTGCAACTCACGAATATGTTGGGCTACTCTTTTCCTCCCTCAACGCCGCTGTCTACGTGTCCATCATGGAATACCTTCCCTGGGTGAAAAGATTCAAGAGCTTCCTCATAGATGCGAACATCATGAGCGCTCGCGCACGCTACTCGAAATGGATTGCCTCCAAAGTCGCCGCCCGTATTGCCCGCGACAGCGATGTAGATCACCCGGACTTCATGACCGACATCCTCGCCAACAATGGCGCCAAGGGATCTAAACTCACCGATCTTGAAATCAACTCCAATGCGAGCCTACTCATCACCGCTGGTAGCGAGACTACCGCCACTCTACTCTCTGGTGCAACATATCTGCTCTTGCGGAACCCGGACAAATTGTCAAAGCTTCAGGACGAAGTCCGCTCAGCATTCCCTTCGTACGAGGAAATCACCCTTGACGCGGTGAATCGTTTGACGTACCTTAATGCCACGCTTACGGAATCCTTGCGAGCATTCCCTCCAGTCCCCGTGGGATTTGTCAGGCAGGTCGGTGCTGGAGGAGAGGTCATCAGCGGGCACTACATCCCTGAAGGTACCGCGGTGTCTGTCTCGCAATATGCGGCGAACCACTCCGAGGCAAACTTCGTCGATGCAAAGAAATTCGTGCCAGAGCGATGGTGAGTTTGAGATTCCTGCGTGCATCATAATGCCGATGACACATCTCCCCCATCATTCCCAAATCAATGCAAAGGGCCACCTTCTGACCTGACATCCTCTCCACAGGCTCGATTCATCACCATACCCCGCCGACAAAAAGGCAGTCCTCCAACCTTTCAGTAAGTCCCTCACTCCTGCTCTCCTTCATCTGACGCTCTCAGAAATCACATTCTGACAGTCACCAGGTTTCGGCCCTCGTGCCTGTCTCGGCCGCTCTCTCGCCAACGCTGAAATGCGCCTAATCCTTGCAAAGATTGTTTGGTCGTTCGATATGCACTTGGAAGCACGGAGTCAGGATTGGCTGGAGCGCTGCACGGTCATGAGGCTTTGGGTAAAGCCGGAATTGGCGGTGAAATTGACACCGGTGGAGAGATCCTGATTTGAACTTTGTCCTATTGATGATTGATGCTGGGAGGACAGGCGGGATATAGAGGTGGGATTTACCTAATGACAGGCGATGACTTTTCGACTTTGTTTGACATTTCGATGACCTCTCACCTGGTAGCGGTTCCGACGTGTTTGAAATGTGTCGAGTTGACTCGAAAACGCTGTTGGGCAGTGGTTGAGGAATCCCGAGCGGATTGTCCAGTACTGATTCGAAATTACTCCAATGGCTCCCATCGATTGTATATGAGCGCTTACATGCGAACAAATTGAGTGATGTGTTATAAGAGCTCAAGATGATACATACACGTCTTACGACAAACCTACCCTTGAATCGTTCCAGCAATTGAGCGATGCTGGTCGCGAACATGATCGCATCGCGAAATTCTCCCACATGGCTGATATATGTTCTCTAAACAGGAATAGATAGGGGCGTTCGAGTCCATTGCAAATGAACGATAGCATAATCTCTTGGTTGTACGTTGCTGTGCAACAAGTTTTATGTGTGCTGAACCGTGCAGTGAGGGCGGAATCAACCCTAGAGTTCCATCAACCACGCTGCGTATTGCCTATTTGGGATCTCCGTCCGCGCGATTTGGCCGTCACTCATACCATTGAAGGTATGCAGAGTGGAGGGAGTCTTTTTGCGACATGTTCAGTTATCGCCTCCATCGAAGTCCGAGCCGCGGTGTCCTCCACCTCACACGATCACGCAAATGTAAAATGACATAGGAATGATGCAGCGTACCGTGGATCCGCTATGGAATCGTCTCTGTCCCTCCTGGGCGCAACTCAGCAGTGGAGAAGCCTCGCGTCTTCTTCAAGCATCAATACACCTAGTCCCGACAAGGAATTACACACATGCGACCGTCCCTGACCGACGGCGATGCGCTTTCACGAAAAGACCGAGTTTGGTGCCGGACGGCACGAATGTCTTCCACCCTGGTCCAAGAGCATCAGTGCCCACTGCGAGATGTTTTACGAAAAAGTCCGTTGACATAGATCAAGCCTCGCTGGCGAAAATACGAGAGTCTCACAAGAAATATGCTGCCACTTACAAAGATGAGTCGGTAGCTTTTCTGAAATTGCGCCTCAGAGCTGTCGCTGCACAAGGCTGGGTTAAGGAGACTCGATGGCTGGTGGAGCATCTGATACGCGAGAAAGGACAGCCTCCGGATATCCACATGTACAATGCTCTGATCCTTTGCAATATCAATGCCGAGGATGGCGCCGGTTGGCGCGTCAATGAGCTCCTCGCAGAGATGGACAGTATCGGTCTGGTCCCAGACGCACAAACTTGCCATGCGGTGCTCAAGGTGACATCGATACACCTCGATCATCTACTGCGCTCAGATATCTTAGAATACATGCGCAACAAATGGTTCACGCTCTCATCCGACGGTGCCCACGACGTCGCTGCTGGCCTTTTCCGCGAAGCTCAATTCGAGAAGGCCATAGAGCGATTGAACTTGATGCGGGATGAGGGCATGATCATAGATGGCTGGCTTCTTGATCTCGCCATATACATCCTATGTGATGCCGGAGAGATTGGAGAAGCCTACAAGATTGTTCGATCACGCGACGATTCCACATCCAACTTGATCAACAAGAGCGTGTATTATGCGCTTCTCGATCACGGTAGTCAGGCTCGGCACCATGCTGCGACCAAGCTGGTGTGGAGCACTCAAGTCAACCCTGGCTACATCAACCCAGCTTCAGGAATCTGTCTCAACGCTCTAGCGACGGCATCGAAAGCCGGAGACGCCACCCTCGGCACAGACGTCTTTTCGCACTTTAGCAAGCAGGGCACTAGCTTTCAGAGGATTCATTTTGAACTGCTCGTTACAACATACATGAACACTAGCCCCCCGGATCTCAGGAGAGCGCTGCATGTGCTCACAATCATGTCTTTGGAGACATTCGAGCCCACCGTTGCGGAAACGCGTTCACTCTTTAGATACCTGCAAGACAAGCCGGCGCTCGTGCATGAGTCTTTGAAGATCATCCAAACCCTTCACCAGCAAGGTCGCCGCATTCCCATCGCGGTGATCAACCTCTTAATCGAATGCTACGCGGTGCAGAAGGACCTGGGCTCGGCGATGAAGATTTACAAACTCATCCACACCCTGACGCCCATCGGCGACGGCGCCAAGAAATCTGTCGCCAACATCGAGACCTTCAACCTGTTGCTCAAGGCATGCCGAACCGCGGATCCGCCGGACTCCAAGCAAGCCGTGTTCATCGTGTCGGAGCTGCTCGCGCTGCGCGTGATGCCCAACGCGCTCACCTTCGACCGCCTCATCCTCGTCCTGGTCGAGAGCGCCATCCACATCTCGGCCAGCCGCGACGACGCAAAATCGGAAGAGGGCAAACAGAAACAGATCGCCGAGCTCCTGGAATGGGCCTTCCGCCATTTCACCGACATGCGGGCCCAGGATTGGCTGCCCCGCTACGGCACCATCGAGAAGCTGGCCACGCAGCTCGCGGGGCTCGGCGACGTGCGGTGCTGGGACGTCGTGCAGGCCGCGGAGGACAACGAGTCGGCGGTCGCATCGCTGCGGCAGAAGAAACGCTTCCTGCGGAGAGATACGGAAATCGCGTGGCAGAAGTCCCAGAGACGGAATCAAGGTCCGGACTCCGACGACGAACAATCGGGCGGTGAACATGATGATGAATTGGCGAGAGCGTTCCGGTAGATTTGCTGCTCCGGCCCGGAAAGGAAGATTACAGAACACGGGGACAAAGGCAAGTAGGCATGTGGGAGGGCATCGTGGGTTCAATCCGACTTCAAAACCAGGAGCGGAAGGGCCCAATGTCATTATATCGCTTGTGTACATTGGATCTTCCATGGCCCATCAACTTTTCCATCGTCGTCCGGGGCCGCCTAGTCGTAAATGTAGCAGTAGCGACCATTCGTGGGACTCATCGTGTCCCGAACCGTGACGTTCTTGAGGAAGGGCGCGATGTTGATGCTATCGTCCAGCGTCACGTTTCCGCTCGGCGGGTCTGCGAGATTGCAACGATCAGTACGTGGGCAGATCTCCGTTGCCGCACAATAAGGATGTACTCACCGTTCAGCATCGTCCGTGTGCCGTCCAAGGCGTCCTTGTAGACCCGGGTGTCAAAGTCCAGACTCTGCCAGATCGACCAGACCCGGTCGAGCATGGTGTGGTGCATGTAGAACAATGGGTCGCCGGCCGAGACGAAGAGATCTGAGTTGAGACCGCCTATGAAGCCATGACCGCCAGCGTGAATGCCGCTCTCCACGGCAGGGTGGAACTCGTGGATGGCTTTTGTTTAGTGTTTCGTTAGCTCAAACATCGCTCTCGAGGGATATGGATCGCGAGACTTACTGCTGCTGTTCAAGATGAGCTCAGTGACGTTTTGGTACGAGTTCAAAGCCTGGATCGTCTGGGGCAAGAAGTCGCGGATGACGCATCGCGGGTTGTATCCGAAGCCGTCTGCTTGTGGGTTGGGCGGACCTGCTTGGCCTTTGAGTCCTTGGGAGATCGGTCCGAGATTCACCGTCCAGTTCACGAATGGCCCACTCGCGATGCAACCACCTCCGGTTCCTGCAGCGCGGAGAATCTGGGCGGGAGGGTCTCCGGCCGGGGTCGTATAGTTGAGGCCCTCGTGAGGAACATACTTGCCATTGCCGGAGAGCGATGTGTCGGATCCGTCGAAGATCGGGTTGGATGAGTCAGGCGTATCTGCCCATTTGGACCAATCCCAGTAAGGCTGGTAGCCCGTGTATCCGCACTCGTTCCTCAGGGCTTGTTCGAGTTGAAAGACCATCTCCCGGTGCCACGGCAGCAGATATCCGCTGTTGTGGATCACCGTAGTGTACAGTGAGTGTCCGACGATGAAATCATCATAGCGACTGCGAGCTCCCGGAGCCAAGGAACGGCTTGTCTTGGACGGCAGACGTGCGAGGCACTGCACGGCGGAGATGTATTCACGTCGTTCCTTGGCGGAAAGATTGCCCCTGTGTGAGTCGTCGTCAGACATGCCGAGAAAGCTTCACGGGAGTACTGACCATTCTCTCCGAACGCGGATGTTTCCCGCTGTGCAAGAACCCGTATATGCGAGCGAGTCCATCGTATTCGCTCTGTATTTGGCAGTGAGAGCTGTCATCACCTCCTTCGGTGAAGACGTCGATGGCATTTGTGATATACCATATTTTGGAGCGGATGGCGGACTCCATGGCTTCGGAGGAGCAGGCAGGATCTTGGTCAATGTACCCTCTATGTTTCGCCAATGTTCTAAGACAAAGGCTTCAGATCCGAGGAGGATGAGGAAAAGCGCCAAAGCATTGTAGTAGAGTTTGAGAACCATGTTTGAAGCGCCATCGGTTTCTCAGTAGGTATGAATGCTATGCGTTGATTGTATATTTCTGATTCTAGTTGGAGCAGGTGGCTACATTTATATTTTTCAGGGAAGCCTGATGCCGGATCTCCCTGCCATGATGTCGATATAAGGCCTCTCCGCATTGTCAACTGTCCGAAACTCCGCCCATCGTGATGTTGCGCCTGTCTCCAGCGATGCTTGTAATGATCGTCGCCGCTAAAGAAAATTATGCGGATCGACAAACGGTGATCGTGTGGGAGCGACTATACGACTCGAGCTTCCAGAAGATGACGGAACATTGGGACCATCGTCGCCGCCAAGACAGCGGAGTATAGTGAGTCTTGGAGCTTGTCATGATGATAGCACGCAGGGAGAAAGGCGTCTCACCTGCATGATCAAAATCTTCGACTCGGAAAGTGGAATTTGACGCATCCGGGCTCGGGTGCCGGGATCGAGCTGCAGCATGTTGTCCGGCTCGCTCGGACGCAATATCAACCACGGAGGCTGCCGTCCGAGAATTTGCCGATGCAATGAAGAACTGGCGCTCGTTCGTGCGGAATATCTCCCGTCATTGAAACAGGACATGATTATTAATCGTCTCGAAGGGCCAAAAAGTGGAGATCATCTGTACGCTTCTGGCACTATTAGGGTACATTCTTTGTAAGACTCTCCACTTGACCTGTTGGCGGCATGGCGACCGAAGATGCGCCAGGCGAGTCGCGGAAACATCTTTGATGCGCGTCCCGGTATTCACCCATCGTCCGTCTCTGGGCCGGTGGCTCCGCGAACTTTGGCACTTGCGACGACGACGACGACAGAATGTGTGGTCTAGCAGCATTTCGTATCAGTCTCCAACGCGCAGGGCCAAATGTCTGCGTCGCTGGATCTTCGCAGTGGATGCCATTCGCATTATTATTATTACGAGCCGGGCAGGCAGCGCCGACGGATATGTAAGAGCACCTGGGCAAACAGACGTCGTAGCCCTGTCCGCCCGCCGAGGCCGGCAAGATGGATCGTGGCGCGCGTGGCTCAAATGCCCGATTTAGGGCTGCGACAGACCAGGGGAGCTCAGATTCCAGGAAGATAATCATAATCCGCAATATATTGCCATATCGCAGCGGCACTTCTCTACGGAACGAGACAGGGCGCAATCAATGATAGGCCCGCATGACTCATGATCACAGTGAGGCATTCTGCAGCTCGGGATATACGCACATGACACCTGCAGGTAGATAAAGCAGGCCGTAAAGATTTGCCCATTCGAGCCGAGGGCGTGCCAATGCGCATTCTACAATCACACTGGCGGTGCCTAGTTTCCTCGGAAGCAACCTGGCAGAGGCTCGAAAGCGAGCAAACAATCAGAGTGGTCGAGGCGACGACCAGATGTTGCGCAAATCGTTCCAGTGAGTTCCCACCAGCAGAGGCAAGGGATATGGCTCGCTGTGGCGCGCTTTCATCTGCACTCCAACATGCCACGGCACACGAGCTCCCATTAAATCCTTTGCTCAGCAGCTGTGGTCAAAGTTCTGTACTGCCCCCAGTGTGTGCAGTAAATGTGCATGTGATTACATGAAATTCAATTCGTCCCGTGGAAAAGTCTCAGGTAAGATGGAGGGCGAGAGGGCGGGAGAGCAAACGGCACAAAGGTCGGCGGCGGCGCCCCTGCAGCGTGATGATACGCAGCCATCCGTCCGATCTCGCACAGGATGATGATAGCAACGGGTCGCCCAGGGAGTCCGAACCGGGGAAAGAATGTATGGGGCGACCAGTAGTAATAAGACAACACGGTACGACAGGATGACAGCGAAATCCTGTTGCCTTCCACGCACGCGAACGAGCGACCTTCCTCATAGGGAGAGCAGGGTGGGGAGGAGGGCACTCTAAACGATAAGTGAGTAACAGACCGGAGGCGAGGCGAACGAATGGGCAGCAATTCATCCGCACCCAGATGGAACCTGTGGCACGCTGGAAACAAGCTTCAGGCCCGCCCTCCAACAGAGGCGCGTTAGACCGTAGCGTGTGCGCAGGACACGCATGTACTGCTCGCATCGTACCTCTGTCTCTCTCTCGCGATATGCATATCTGATCCAGGGCCAACTTCTCCTGCCTGTTCGGGCGCTTGTTTTCGAAGGCGACTTGGGGATTCCGTTCTAGCACTGCCGATGGCGCGCGCGCACCCTCCCATCAGACGGATCCGCTGTCGGTGGACCTGTTGTTACACGTAGACCTTGCACCAAAAAGGCGAATATTTCACATAACATTAGTGTGGGCGTCCAATCGAAACAATTGCATCTTTCTAAAATCCCGTCCTCGGGGCGCACATCCTACGTGGCGAAATGAGTAGTACGACATCGACATCTCGGCAATCCCGCAAGACTTGATATTACTGCACATACATAGACGCGCATGAACCAGGTCCGAGCAGGGTTGCAATGTCCACATGCCAAAGAAGCCCAATTCACCACACAGCCTGATGAGGAAATTGTTTATTAGAGTCGAGCATACCGCCGTCGGGGACCTCGTGCGAGGACTTCGCCACATCCCCAAAAGGAACCGACGGGCCCCGAAATCCCCGGAACATCGGCGGGCTCTTGTTCTCGCGATCCGGCAGGCCTTGAGGCTCGAAGGAGCGCGGCGCCGCCCCGACGTCTCATCTTCTTCCACCACCCCGACCACCGCCACCACCACCATGTGCTCCAAGGACGTCTTCCACATCCACCAAAATCACATCCACCAGACATGGAACAAGGACCACCCGCCTCAGCTCACGGTCTCCTCCGGCGATGTCGTGACGTTCGACTGCAAGGATGCGAGCAATGGACAAATCAAACGCGACTCGACGGTGGCCGCTCTGGCCACGTTCGAGACGGAGCTCGCGGATCCCGTCTTCGGTCCGGTGTTCGTCCGTGAGGCCGAGCCGGGCGATGCCCTGGAGGTCGAAGTCGTGGGGCTCGAGCATGCGGACTGGGGCTGGTCCGCTCTGGTCCCGGGATTCGGGCTGCTGGCCGACGAATTCATCGAAGAAGGGCCGCAGTTGAAGATCTGGCAGATCCCCGCGGGCGCCAAACTGCTGAAATTCAACGACCGAATCTCGATCCCCATTCGACCCTTCCTGGGGACCATGGGCGTGGCCCCGAGTATGGATGGCCATCATCCGACCATCCCTCCGTTGGAGACCGGCGGAAATATCGACTGTCGGCATATCACCCAAGGGTCGACCCTCATCCTTCCGGTCCGGGTGCAGGGCGCCTTGTTCAGTTGCGGCGACGGCCACGCCGCGCAAGGCGATGGCGAGGTATGCGGCGTGGCCGTAGAGGTCGGGATGAAAGCCACGCTCCGTTTCAAGTTGATCAAGAACGCCGAGCACGTCTCGACGCCGCACTACCGGTGTCCGCCTCAACCGGCCCCGGTACTTCCCGATGCCGGCACATATAGCACTCTCGGCATCGACCCCGACCTGCTCGAAGCGACTCGCAAAGCGGTGCGCGCCATGATCGGCTATTTGGTGTCGCAGAGAAGTCTCTCCCGCGCAGAGGCATATATGCTCTGCAGCGTTGCGGTAGATTTGAGAATGGCGGAGGTCGTGGATATGCCCAATTACGCCATCTCAGCGACGATTCCCATGAACATTTTCCAGTGATCTGCGACGAGCCCGAATATCGTCGAATGTACCATTGTATCGGCCATGTAACCCAGCTCACATATATATACCGCAGTTGATATCTTTGCCTCTTTGAAATCAATATTCACTTTGAGGTCGATTTGGTAAGCATCCCTGTCGGCTCTTGTTCCACATGCTGCTTCTGTGGTGCGCAGACGAGACAGTGCTTGAGTCATGGAGGTCGTGACAATGGCCAGGTTCGGATGTCCGGGATGTTCTGAAATTCACGTCATGTCGTCGATCTTGCGTACATGAACATTGTCCAACTCGTACGGTCCAGCTCCCGTTCCAGGCCGAAGGGCTGCGCTGCCTGGTCGAGATGTACAGAATGAATCGTGGGAGGAGTGGACCCCGGGGCGTAGATTCGTAAGGCTCTCGGTGTCGAAATCGCTCGGTCTACGCTCGCTGCGAGCCCCGTATGATGGAGGCGCACTGATTCCTTTGAAGCTGCCCGAATGAAGGCCGTCAGGGCCAGATACAGAACCGTTTGCTGTTGATGCGAAAGGTGAGCCCGGAAGGTGTCGGAACAATGGTCCCATACACGGGATGCAGGCGCAAGCGATGCCGATGGGAGGTTCAATCGAAAACCAGATGATGACAGCATAAGCGTCCCCTGCATGATAGAGTCAGTACCGGCAATGACATGATCAGCAGAAGTCGCTCGGCCCAGGGTGGCCTCGGCGGACATACATGTGAAGTCTTTCGTTGAGCCAAATTCGAGCATGGAGACTAGACGGCCAATCGATGCACAAGCAGTCCTATAATAGTTCAGTAAATGCTTCAAAACCTCGCAGAGGATCATCCTTACAAGGCGCCAAGCAAGAAAACACCACACAATGCAAGTCGCGTGCTCCACTTCAGACGAAGTTTCCAGATGATGGGTTGCGGAAGAATGAGGATAATGACGTCTGTGATGACATTTGGTATGGCGGCGCCCTCGAAGAATTGGATGATGGCGAAGCACTTTCCAGGCGTCCTCGGCATCCAGAGCCGGTACACCGGTTCACACTGAAACAGAGTGGCCACCTCGACACCGATGAACCAGCAGATGACGAGGCCGATGGTTACTTTGACGGCCAGCGAGAACATGCGGTTGATGCCAAAGAGTCGCTGGTACATGAGAAGGACGCCAATTTTCGCGAGCGCAAGCGCGGCGGTGTAGACCAATTCCAGTGCGTAAAGTGTTTGGAGATATCTCATGCCGTGGTCGGGTATATATTTGAGATGTTTGCCCATGCCATATTCGACTCCTGTTTGCGATGGTTAGTGCCCCAATCTGCTATCAATCATCCCGAGACGACTCGAAGTTGTGTGTACCTAAGAAATTTATGGTATTGATGCCTAATGAAAAGACCTGTTCCACTCGTCATCAGGAATCTGCAATGGTCGACATATCTGCATCTTTGAGAAATACCGAAGCGGCCAAGATGAACCAATCATCCCACCATAATGACACTCCTCCAAGCTTCCGGGCGATGAATCGTAGAATGACGCTCGTTGCAGCGATGACGATCATCAGAATCTGAACGACTTGGATGGCCGGGCCTCGATTATCTGATGGCTGGACCGTCGCGGCGCCTGCAGCCGACGACGACATGAGTGGATCATTCGAGAGTTGGTGAAGAATGAAAAGAAAACTCGCGCGCGGATGCCACCATATGTCGCGAGGTATGGCGAGAAGTTTGTTGCGAAAGCTCTCCTCCTTTGCGTCCAATCTCTTGATCGTGTTGTGGATCTACAACGGGTAAAAAGTTTAATATACTAACGTCAACGGCTGCTCTCGGCCTTTCGGTCGACATGGATGATGGATGAATTGAGACATGTTGCAAACCCGCCGAGCGGCAGGCTTGGATTGCGATGCTGGCGGAAACCAGTGTTCAAAAGAGCGCTGTCTCATCCTGGTCTGTATGCATGCTTGATGGGCCGATCTATTCGACTTCTTGCACGCTCATTCTCAGAGCGCGGAGGTTCGCACATTTGATCATCATCAGCCTGGTAGGCGGAAACGCCACAAAACCGTCGACCGTTGGATATTTCGGTGGCACAGCTCGGACATCACAACAACCCATGTCAGCCTGACCGGAGTCTGCCAGTTCAAGATTGGCGTCAAGGTCATAGCCCTGCAAACCTTGGGGATCTTCCGAGGCCCTGTTCACGACAGTGCGGCCACTGCGGCGTAGTGTGTTGTGCTGTGTTTCAGGGGACACGCCGCCCCCCCTCTTTTCGGCGAAGTACCAATTGTCGCACTAGGGCTCGGCTATCTTCTCCGATATCGAGGGAGAAGCAAGGACTTCGATCGTTGTTGGGGTGGGTAATAACAAGCCGGCACATCGACAATCGACTGACGGTCTGAGCACGATGATTGTCGATGGTTGTCACCGTGCCCAAATAGCGTTGCCTAGTGCCTCGACATGTCATGAATTTCCTAACATTCCATCAAGTCTTATCCGGCTTCATGGATGAAAGCGGCAACGGGATCTACAGGGTTGAGAAATCCATCCTGCGTGTGTGTCTCTGACCAAGGACGTGATCGAAGATCGGCCGAGTACGCCAACAGCAGCTCAATACCCACTTGTTGCAAACCAACCAACCAACCAACAAATCAACAAATCAACAAACAAGCGGATGCAGCTCAACATACTGTATCTCCAGGTAAAATCGTGTGATCGACGCGTTTCCTAGCACGGTCTCAAAGCTTCTGCTTCCACTTGTCTATTCTACTCCTCGCATTTCTTCTTCAGATCCTGGCACCAGATCACAAATTTCTCTCGCAGCGTCTTCGCGTAGAGCCAGCGCACGGTGTACGCGAGCACGCCTCCCATGACCTCCCATGTCCGCACCTCACACGAATGCTCACCGGTCGGGACGATCTCGTGGAAGCGCTCCGCCTTAAGCCCCTTCGAGACGAATCCTCCTTCGGACTTCCATGCCATTCTGTATACGCGACTGCTGTCCGCAGTGAATCCATGCTTTTCTGACAACAACTCCCCGCTCACGTAGTCGCTGGGATGGTCAGGTGTTGAGATGTCGCTCATCCTCAGTTCGGTCGGCGTGTCGCTTTGGGGTTTGGCCGCGTCCATGATCACGTGGAAGATGAAGAGAGTGTTGAGATGCAATTTCGCATCGGACTCCGACTGCCCTTCAGGCTGGGATTTGATGGTGACTTTGGGGATCCAGGTGTTCCAGCTCTCGTAGTCGCCGACGTTGAGCAAGGTCTCGAAAACTTTGGCCGCGGGCGCGTCAATCCGCACGCTGCCGGTCGTTGTCAGGACGGCATCTCTGTGGCTGACCGTTGGAGTCGCCAGACCCTGCGACGGTGGCCAGACTTCGGAGTGTGTATTCGACATAGTCGTGGTGTAATTCGTACGTTGGGATTATAATCTCAAAGCTCTTCCAGTAGCTTTGGTAGACTTCCAGCGCCTGCATGGAGCGGTGATCGATTACATCATCAAGAACGCGCAGAACTTACCCGCTACACTTTCCTCAATTTCTTCCTGCACATGCATTTCAGCCAAACAGTATGTTCCCGCTCGAAAAACAAGTCAGTATCGCGTCTGTTTGAAGTACCGAAGCTATTCTTTGTTCTCCATCGTGAACTTGAGGAACGTTGATTATGCCTTAGCTCAATGTACAGCCAGGCCTCGGTTGTCGAGATTACTCCCTCGAAGATGATTGCGGCGGGCCAAGTCACTTCGCGTCCGAAGATAGGTGGGAGCCCTGGAGTGTTGCGGTAATCCGCATGTATACCTAGGTAGATGGTGACCTAGGTATACAAGAGCTGGAGATGGTGTTATTTTACTTCACCGGTGCAGCTATGTGCGCACAGTGTAAACATGAGCATGTGATGGTTAGAATGCCATGCAAGCTGCTATGTGGGAATGGTTCACGCGATATAACCTTGCAAATCGCTTGTCAGAATTCTGCAGGGCGAGGCCTCCCCTTAATCGTCCATAAACACATTTATTACGGATCAATGCGGCATTTGCAAACCCTCCAGGGCTGCTTACCTATGTACCTCCAACAAGCAGTACATTAGCCCGACGACCGTGGCACAGACAAGAAACTTATCACGTTCGTCAAATGCTTCCTCCCCAGTCCTTCAGGAATGTGATGAGTGGGTCCAAGCCCAAGCCAAGGGAATCACAAACTTGGCGGCGGCTGTTAGACCCGAGGATGTCGCCCAATCGCTCACCGCATTGATCGCCTTCTCCTGAGTGCCCAGGTGTTTTGTCTACGACTTCACTCCACCGAGACACACGAAGGGATCCTTGACAGCACCGTGGGCACCTCTTTGCCATGAACGCCCTGTATGATGCACAGCTGCTACGTCCGCCAAGGATTTCACGGACCGGCTCTTGTCATCATGGATGCCGCAAATGCATCAGACCAAGCGCAGGTGGCTGTTCCTGCACCTGGCTTATCATTCCACATTTAGCAACGCAGGGCTTCACCAAGCAAACCTTGAAAGAGATCTGCATCGAGGCGGCTTACATACACACATGCACACACACATACATACACCGGAGTTCAACGACGCCCTCAACTGCATATGAAGTGGATCTGAGGGTCGACGTTCTCAGCTTAACTCCGCCGAACTTGGCGTGGTCGTACATCGCCCAGACACCAAGATGGGATATAGTGATGACTTTTCCCTGCTGTGCCACTGGATCCCCAACTCCGACCACCAACACTAGCGTCGGTCTGACTTCTGTAAGCTGCGCCACCAAAGCTAAAATACCAATCTTAATGCGTTCGGGATGCTTAGTAGATCTGACAGCAGATGTCTGGGCACTGCGCGGCGTGTTGCATGGCAGGTAGCGAACACGGCCATTGGTCGGTTGGATCTTCACGCCGTAAGAATCTTACAAATCCAATCGTTACTATGAGACATCGGTGTTTCGAAGCACATATAAGATGAATCCCTGCTCGGGCATTCGTCTGCTACGATTGCACCAAATCCAGCTTCGGAGACGATCAACTGAATTCCCATATCTTGTCGTCGTCACTTATTATGGTGATCATGAAGTCGTGGTGTCTCCTGGCGTTGGCCTCGTCCCTCGCTGACGCCACTCAGCTGAAGCGGGTCACTCAAGTACCGACTTCAAACTCCGCTGGAACTGCCTACAAGACAGATCTATTCCAAGGACTCAACCAGGCGATACAAGACTCGACGCTGAACAATTCAGAATTGACCTACACTCGGCGGAATGGAAAACCATACTTCCAGCCTCTCGGTGCACAACGAGCTGGCAAGAATGGACCTCTTCTCCTTCAAGATGTCCACCTCCTCGATACCCTAGCCGCGTTCAACCGAGAGAGAATTCCCGAGCGCGTCGTCCACGCGCGAGGTGCCGGTGCTCATGGTTTCTTCGAGGCCACCACCGACTTTGCAGCCAACCTTTCCGCAGCCGAGTTCTTCCGGAAAGGAACCCGCACGTCGGTCACCGTCCGCTTCTCGACTGTCGGCGGTGCTCGTGGCTCTGCTGATCAAGCGAGAGACCCTCGAGGAGTCGCGATCAAGTTCCGCACATCCCAAGGCATCCTCGACTGGGTATTCAACAACACACCCGTGTTCTTTCTGCGAGATCCTGCTAAGGTATTGTCTTGTCCATTGACATTGATAACCAAGCTAACCCGGAAAAATAGTTCCCGCGATTCATCCACACACAAAAGACGGATCCCGCGACCAACGCACGCGACTGGAACACATTCTGGTCCTGGCCCGCTCAATTCCCCGAAGCTCTGCTGCAGTTTCTCCGCCTGTTTTCCGACCTCGGTACTCCGTATGGTTTCCGCCACATGGATGCATGGTCCGGACACACATATCGTCTGGTGAAAGAGGACGGCAGCTGGGTATATTGTCGGGTCTACCTGTCCACCGACCAGGGCGTCAAGAACTTCACCGACGCCGAAGCCGGCGCAAAGGCTGCTAGCAACGACGCCTGGGCAACAAAGGAGCTCTACGACGCGATCGAGGCAGGCGACTACCCGTCCTGGACGGTCGGCATCGCCACCAAGACCGTCGAGCAAGCGAAGAACTATCGCTATGACATTCTCGACCTTACCAAGGACTGGCTCGATGCCGAATATCACGAGGTTGGCCGCATCACGTAAGTGTTCTTCCAATGCACAGCAAACGAATGTCACAAAAACTGACCCATCTCCTTGCCATATAGCCTAACCCAGAACCCCTCAAATTATCACGAAGAGGTTGAATCAAGTCACTACTCGCCAGGACACACGATTCCGGGCTGGGAGCCGTCCGCCGACCCGGTGCTCCAGAGCCGACTCTTCGCCTACAACGACGCAGGCCGGTACCGCGTCGGCGTCAACGTGGACAACGTCCCCGTCAACTGCCCCTTCACCCAAGTCGCCAACTTCGACCGGGACGGGCACCTCTCGAACCTGGGCAACCAGGGTTCGCGCCCGAACTTCCCCGCCGAATACATCGACCCGATCCACGTGATCCCCCGACCGAAGACGGAGATCGAGGACCCGCTGGAGGGCAACACGGTCTTCTACCAGTCCGAGCTGGACCCGAACCTCGACTACGAGCAGCCGGCGCTGTTCTACAACACGACCCTGTCGCCGCACGACCGCGGGAACCTCCACGCGAACATCGCCGGCACGTTGGTGAACGTGGATAACAAGCAAGTCTTCGATGCGCTCCTGGCGCAGTTTGGCAAGATCAGCCCGGCTCTCGAGGAGGGCGTCCGATCGGCGTATCGGGACGCGGCCGGGAAGGCTTCCGGGGGGGAAGGACACTGAGGCGTGCTGGAAGAGAGGATGGTACCTGGTCTAGTAAATACTACTTCGCTCTTGTCATCATGACGGAGATTGTTGGTTCGCTGTCCAGCTATTTCTTTCTTTTCTTCCCTTCGAAAGGCTGTTTTTTTGATTCTTCTTCTTCTATGGCCGCACAGGTGATATGCGGAAGGGCTGCCTGCACGCAGACGCAGCTCAAATTGTATTGAAAGATACCTATGTCTCTCTCCCCATCTTCTATCTAGGGAAATTCTATATCCAGAAGAGAAAGGGGGAAAATTCGATGCCTGAGGCAGCAATTGCGGCACCTGTCGCGTGTATGTACCTCAGACATCTAGCAGAATTACGTCATCCAGCGCGGAGGGTGACATAAGCACCCAGTTGCGGCTGACGTAAGCAGATGCGTACCTCTGGCAATGTCTTTTGTTTCCCTCCCTCTGAGGAGAGGACTGTAATTCCTGGTGGTAGGCTCATCGCGTGTTCACGGAGGGTGGACGGAATCTCTTTCGAAATTCGCCGTTCATCTGGGAGTTGTTGTGTTCTCCCGTCCACGATTCCCAAAAATGCCTGATCGATGGAAGAAAGGAAGAAAGAAAGAGAGAAAAGAATCGGGTTTCTCCACCCGCTGTTATGGGTCATACAGACAAGTAGGCTGATTAGAACCTCCTACTCGTCGTCCTTCTCCTCCAAAGATCGTAGAGAGAGAGAAATGATACATATTTCCATCCCAGAAACGCCACAGACATCGAGCCCTCACCTCACACCCTCCATTCAGAAATGTCCCATAAAGCCCCAATCTTCCCCCCAAACGCCATTGGAATTCCACGCCTAAGCGAGAGAGAAAGCCCAACAAAAAATAAAAATAACAGGAAACAAGGACCGCCTTGTCCAGAACCCGAACCCTAAACTCCATCGAGGACATCACCCTCCCACCCAGAAAAAAGAGGGCGGAATAAAAACCCCCCCTCCTCCTCACACGTCGTTGCTCAGGCCGAACATGACCTGCGGCGCAATCGTCTTCGTCGACGCCGGTTTGCTGACGTTGGAGTCTTTCCCTACTCCTGCTGGTGTTTCGTCGGATTTGTTGGAGGAAGAGGAGGAAGAGGAGAGTTTGTCGGCGCAGTAGTCCAGGACTTGGAAGGCGGCCATTTTGGAGGAGGCGCGGGTGTTGAAGGCCGGGCGGGTTGGGCCGTCGGAGGTGGATGACGAGGTGGAGGGCTCGTTTTGGGTGGGTTGTTGTTGTTGGGCGGTTGATGATGACATTGTGGATGAGGGTTCGGACGGGTTGGAGGATTGGAGGAGGAAAGGTGGTTGTGAGTTGGTCGGGTTGAAGTTGGAGGGACCCTTCTTGATCGCGGAGGAGAGTATGGGAGTATTGGTGGTGGTTGCGAGAATTGCGTGACGTTGGTAGTTGGTTTGTTCGTGAATTCAAAGGTAAAGCTCGGATGTCGTGTGATATATAGATGGTGTAAATGGAGTAGAAGGAGAGTATAATGAGAAGGAGGAGAAAAGAGGATTAAGAAACGGAACAGCTGGGATCTGTCAGCACTTCAGCTGGTGGTGATGAGGAAGAGGAGGAGGATTGTCCATACCCACCAACCACATACGCCGGACGACAGGGAAAGACGTGATGCAGATGCCTAATCGGTAAAGAGCGTGAGTGAGTGTCTGCGACGAAGATCTCGCCTCTCGCCGAGAGTTATAATGCCCAATCTCTGCGGTGTGCCCAAGCGACGAGGTCTAGGCCAAGCTCTAGACACCCATTGTTCATCATTGTCGCTTCCGAACACTCCCCTCTGGGCTGACTCCCTTCTCACACTCACTCACGCACACTCACTTGATCACTCACTCACGCTCACTGGATCACCCACCACCTGGAGAGTACTACACACAGCTACATGATGGACAGTAATACCACCTATAGGAACATCTATAGTACAGCCGGAGTACGTACAACAGCACAACACGACGTGGAGACCCGCACCCGTATCTTCCAAGTCTTCCAAGAAAACTGTTCGGAGGAGAGCTCCCAACGGAGCGCTCCAACGGGCGCGTCATCGTACTGCCCAGCCTGGCGTTTCTCTCTCTCTCTCTCTCTCTCCATCCACCTCCGTGTATATGTATCCCACTCCTCCTCCGACCACGCGGCTTATTTAGCGAGATCGGGCGCACCTGGAGGCGTTCACATTGGCTAGCACCAGGCACTATCTATGATGATGGCGACGGAGCAGGTCGATCTTCCCCCCATTCGATCGCAGACACACGCCGCGTAACGAGGACCCTCGCGGCCATGGACGACCATGTCCAGATCCGCATTGGACCTCCGCGTTCTTCTGGAGGCGGTTTTGGCGAAAGCGCCGCCCTTGCTGGACAGATCCTCCCAAGATCTGTTCATGCGTCTTCCTGAACACCATCGTCTCCTCTTCAGCGGATCCGAACGCTTTGTCCTCGAACAAGACGTTTTCCGGAATCCCGAGCGAGGTCGTATATGTCCCTGCCTGCCTACCTACCTACCTAGGTGGGTCCATGATAATACCGGTATGTAACAAAGGCGCGAGCGAGTGGTGACATGTGCGAATATCCCCGGACCCTGCATGGACGATACACATATGACATCATAGCACCCCCCCTCTCCCTGCTCAGAGGTTCGAGCCAGGTCCCATCGTGGACGACACCACCACACTTCATGACCATCGCCGGCCCGGACTCTGTTCGTTCCCTGTTTAGCCTGGTCCGGCTGGACGCACGTGTTGGAGCGCTGTACAGTACGTGGGATGTACACGTGGATCACAGCGGAGACGCGCGAGACCACGGGACTTTGGGCCCGGGTTCTGATGATAACACACAGAGGGTAGGACAGTACAATGCAATACAGCGCAGGACAGGACAGGATAGGACAGCCAAGCTCTCGGTCTCTCATCCTCGGAGGCGACGGGATTCTTCTGGTTGTAATCATCAATGGACAATGGACGCCTATATTCTATTCAGGAAATTTGAATGAAAAACCTCCCATACGAAAAATCTATGCCCCGTGCTGGACGGTAACCTCTACTACTCCTCCCTAACCTCCCTACTTCTCTGAACGCCGTGTCTAGAAGGAAATATGAAATAATCAAAGACGAGAGAAAAGGGAAGAAGAGAAGAAAGAAGAGAAAAGGCCGTACACACCGCGCTCCGAAAGAAAACAACAACAACAACAACACTCTTGCTTTATCCCGTCCAAAGTCCCACCAGACTCCCCACAATCGGTCCCCCAAAAAGAAGAAAAGAAATCTAACCCGCGATCTTCTTCTTCACGAGCCGGTTCATCGGCGCGCGATTCTCCTTCTCCGCGCCACCGAGGATCGCAGCCGCGGCCTCCAGGCACGGCACACGATGGGAGTTGAAATTCGGCGGCCGCAACGCCAGGCAATTGCCGCTGCTCGCGGCGAGCGGCGGGTGTCTGTGGCTGCGGCCCGCCGCGAGGGATGCGCGGCCGTCGCTGAGCGTCTTGCCGAGGTTCGGATGCGGGGTCGGTTGGCGAGTCGGGGGGAGGAGGGGGACGGCCGCCGCCGGCATGCGCTGGGAGTTGTCGTGGGTCTGGCGCAGGGAGGAGTGGCGGAGGCGGGGGAAGTCGTTGCCGGGAGGGAGGAGGTTGTCGGCGGAGGTTCGGGGCGGGGGCTGGAGGGGTGGCAGAGAGGATGTTGCGGTGGGACGTTCCGGGGGGGAACGGTAGGCGTTCCCTTGGGGCGTGGGATGCGAGTTGATCGCTGTAGGCAGGTCTGGGACGCTGCAGGGAGGCGTGAGCATGCCGAGTCGTGAGTAATTGCCGCGAAGCGCGATGTTGGGGGGATCTTTCGGCAGGGGTTCCTGGGACGTCCGGGGCCGGTGCCTGTCGGGAGCGACGTGCAGGGAGCGTGAGCGGCCGGGGATCTGCGCCGGCTCGTCACTTGCTCGGTCGCGCGACTCGGTCCTTCTCGGTGAGCGTTGTCGTGGCCCTACGCTCTGGTGCCTCGGCTTCGATGTGTTGCTTTGCGTCGCGGGTCGTCTAGGTCGGGCGGTAGGGGTTTTCGATCTGGGTTCTTCAGTCCTCGAATCCCGCTCGATGGCGTCCTTTCGACTGAGGCGTTCCGGCGGCGCTGGGAGTCGCTCCTGCACAGAGCTTTCGGTTTGTGCGGGACGATAGGCCCATTTCATCACGAATACCCCGTCTGGAGTGGTGCGGGTCTCGACGAAGTCAAGCTGTTGGTCTGACGGCCCTTGGATTGTCACCTTGACGTTCTTCGAGGGTGGTTTGGACGCTGGCTTTGCATTGGAGCGGTCGTCGTGCCGAGGACCCGACACTGCACGTGCTGGAGAAGCTTCGTTCGCGCCCCCACAGAAGGACAAGGCAAACGACGCCTGAGCTGGGGCTGCAGCAGTTGATGGCCTCTGTTCACTTCCTGCGTGGCGAGCTGAGCCGGACCGCTTGAGAGGCGCCATTGTCGATGGCTGTGTATCGATCGCCTCGCCGTGACGCCGGTCCGCTTCAGACTGTAAACTTCTAGGCTTCGTACTTTCCAAGCGGTTCGTTCGAACGCAGCGTTGCCGTTCGAAATTCCTCATGCGCTCCGTGTAGCGGTATTCGGAGGCAGGCGTCACGGAACTCTTGGTTTCGACGACAGGCGGACTCCGGTGCGACCTCATGTCAGAGCACCGGCCCTTCCGTGATCGAGATCGTGAAATCTCAGCGCGGCGGCACGAGGTGAGGAATAATGCTTGTGTTCGGTGGCGGATCTGGGAAACTCGGGGAGATTTATCATGGAACCGACGGGCCGGTCATTTCCACGTACATCTCCGGGACGAACCATATGACCATGTTTTCTTTTCTGTCGGGTTCGAGGGTTCTTGATAGGAGTGCTCATTGTGCATTTGTTTGTCATGTTCGACCAAAGCCTTGCTTGGGCACGGGCTCGTACTGAACAGGAAGGTCCACATTCCAACCCCATCAAGCAACATTCCGCAACAGGCAAGAATCGGTGCTGGCCTGACAGCGCAGGAGGAACATTCCAGGAAAATTAGCCCGGACTGGCACTTCTCACCGAATATTATGTATATTTCTGATGAATATTCTTGAGGTTGAAGGTACAGCACGCTCACCTCTTAGACGCACATGCGTCGTCGACTTATCACTGAGACACGTATTGACATTTCGAGCCTAAATTGCTGCAAGGGGCAGGCGACGTTGTCTGAGTGAGAGGACCAGGGTGCTTGAGCGTCTCTCAATGGTCCAGCTTGCAGCCTGCAGATCAATGTATTTCGCGCACATGGAATGAATGATATTGGTGTACCAGGGTCCGCCACCTGGATGCCAGAGGACAACGGCCTGCAGGTCAAAGGATGCTTTTGTCCTGGGTGAAGTCCGAGTTTGGTAGATGACTGCCAATGCCAATAGAAACCCGCAGCTGCAGGACGCGAAAGTATAGTAATACTAGGTGTCAACAATGAATGGGTACGGTAGTGGTAATGATGAGCAACGATGCCCACTGAGCAGGTAATGTGTTCATTTGTTGTGTGGTGGAGTCACGACAGTGAAAGTGATGCGTCACCACCTGTGGCAACCTTGGCAGTGTGTGTGTGCGCCCAGGGTGTGTGTTGATGAGAGTCGGTGGACAGTACATACAGTAGGTAGTATGTCTTGCTTGGGACTTCCCCGCAATTCTTGCTTTTGCAGGTGCCCCGTCTGCCCTGTTTGCCCTGTTTGCCCTCCACCTGAGCAGAACTGTTTGCCCTGTTTACCCAGGCGCGCCCAGTCTTCTCCACCGGTCCGCCCGTCCGCCCGCCCGCCCAGTGTCTCGCCTGTCTGTGCCTCTGCCTGCCTTTGCCTGCCTTTGCTCCTCCTCGTCCCCCCCAAAATCCACGCCCCGTACTGTGCCCGCATACCCATCCCACCTGCACTTTCACATGCACGCGGCGGACACATTACCTGTTTCGATGAAGCTTCACGGGCATGCTGTAACACATTACCACCACTACTACCACCACTACTATTACCACCACCAACCATTACTGCTTCTGAACTTCTGACCCCACAAGGCTGCAGGTGATCTTCCATTGTCATCATCGTCATCATCATCATCATCGTATTTTGGTTAAAAAAAATAACAACATCGTCAATCTTGCTCCAACCGAATTCTCCTCTGACCCGCGCGACACGACCTTGCTGAACTGCATCGAGATCTCCGCGCCTGTTCGTCAACGAGCACATCAATCGAAGCCGTCTAGGCTCGTGATGGGAAAGCGTTCAACGACAGCATGTGACCCGGACACAAATCCAACAAACATCATCTAGACTTCACGACAGCGCGCGCAACTGATGATCTCGGTCGCCGTCGCCCATCATGAACGACATCGCCTTCTATGCCTCTGACATTGCGGAGGGCATAATCAATTTGTTCGGCGTACTCCTATTCTTCATCTTTGTGCTACCTCCGTTCTTGGTCGTCTTCGTTCCCTTGCTCATCCTCAGCTCTTCGGTGATCATGTGCGGCGTTGGGGTCTACATTTCCTACATCTTGTGCAGCATCTCCTGGGACCTCGCAAAGAGTTTCCTCTTCTGGTTATGGACAGGCCAGTCGGTGCCGACCAAGACCCGTCCACGGCGCGGGTCCGCGTACACGCGACAGGACCTCGCGCTCCTCTCGGACCTGGCGGATCTCGACAAGACTCGTCGTCAATCGGCGTTTGAAATCCCACGGCGCATCGCGCAGCCTCGCAGCAGGAGCGGATCGATGCACCTCAAGAAGAGCGACAGCATGCGAAGTCTCGTCGGGCCCAGCTCAGACCACGACTTCGAAGACACCGGCGGATGGGCCAATAGCCACGAGGACGATGAAGCCATGTACATGGCCCGGTCGGTCGGGGTCTCGGAAGGCATGTACTCGCCAGTCCTCTACCACAGCGAGACGCCACATGGCCATCAAACCCCCTCCGGGGCCCGCACACCCGCCACGATCAGCCGTCCGGTCAGTCGCGGCGAGGTCTGGAAACTGGGACCCAACGGAACAGGGGCGACGACGCCCAAAGCTTATCGAAGCGGGACGGTGACCCCAGAGAGCTACTTCTCCATCCCCGCCGCACAGGGCAAGACGCTGGCGTTCGTCGAGCAGCCATATTCAGGCGGTCCCGGTGCGCAGTACGCACACCGAAAGAACAACTCCAGCTCCTCCATCCTCGCGTCCCTCGTGTCTGCCGACGGAAAAGCCTCGCAGCGCGACAGCGGGTTCTTCGGATGAAACTTCCAACCATTGAAAAACGTCTCATCAACGAGCCTCGAGCTTCGAATGCATCTTGCCCTCTGCAGCGATCGTTTTGGTGGACATTTCCAC